CTGTTCAAACCAGGAATGGGAGGGGCAGCCAGTGGCGTAGCATGGGGGGTGCAGGGGGGGCCGGCCGCACCGGGCGCAACATCTGGGGGTTAGGGTTAGGGGGCGCAAATCCACGGGTTAGGGGGCGCAAATCCACGGGTTAGGGGGAGCAAATTACTTGCCTTGCCCCGGGTGCTGACAACCCACGCTACGCCACTGGGGGCAGCTAAACGACTCCCCCCAAATCCCAGCTCCCCACCACAGCCTCTGACTAAGGCCAGGACAATGACCGTGGACACAGGCACCGTCCATGCACAACAGCCAAGAGGCTCAGCAAAGCAGCCGATACAATTGTAGCCAGAAGCGGATTCCATGTGTTAAGGGAGAAATCTGCGGACGTTGCGGACGTGTTTGTAGGCTTGGGGGATTATGGCTGCCTTGTGTCAAGTCTCCCCCCCTTTGATAGTCCTTCCCTCATGGTGTAAAATAAAAGTGGAACGGTGCAGATCCGATGTATGGCTGATTTTCTATGAATTTATAACAGAAGCATTGTGTATGTCTTGTGTGTGTGTCGTCGTTTATGTACAAATTGAATGATTGGGAGGGGGGGTTCCTGCAACACATGAATCCCAATCCCAAAGAAGGGCAGTGCCAAAGAATGCTCCACCTACCGCACAATTGCACTCATTTCACACGCTAGCAAGGTTATGCTTAAAATTCTACAAGGCAGGCTCAAGCAGTATGTGGACCGAGAACTCCAGGAAGTGCAAGCTGGATTTCGAAGGGGCAGAGGAACCAGAGACCAAATTGCAAACATGCGCTAGAGAGTTCCAGAAAGACATCTACTTCTGCTTCATTGACTATGCAAAAGCCTTTGACTGTGTTGACCACAGCAAACTATGGCAAGTTCTTAAAGAAATGGGAGTGCCTGATCACCTCATCTGTCTCCTGAGAAATCTCTATGTGGGACAAGAAGCTACAGTTAGAACTGGATATGGAACAACTGATTGGTTCAAAATTGGGAAAGGAGTATGACAAGGCTGTATATTGTCTCCCTGCTTATTTAACGTATATACAGAATTCATCATGCGAAATGCTGGACTGGATGAATCCTGTAATAAAAAAATTAAAGTCTTATATATATAATAAATGTTCATAAATGTACCAACCAAGCACATACATAGATATGTGGACCACATGTCTGGAGCAGCACAGGAAGACCGACCTGAAATCATTTTGACTCCCAAACTGACCAAATGTTTTCTCTGCAAGGAGGGAGCGGGTGAGGGAACCTTCCCATTGTCTCAGGAATTGGGAAATCACCATCTCAAAGGAATGGCCAGACTACCAGGAAAGGCAATCAGATAAGGCATTATCAGATAACCTGGCAGACAGGAAAAGACAAGAACATTCAAATTTCTGTTGTAGACCACCTTTTCTGTGATGTAGGTATGTTTGTGGGGGGTGGTCTTGGGTTACACCCCTTCTGTGATGAATGCAGGGGTGGTCTGGAGCTCCAGGGCAGGGAATTTAAAATGTTTATATAAGGGCAGGTACGCCTTGGTTCGAGGTCCTCGTCAGGGGAGCACCCTGTTGCAACAGATCAATAAAGATCAGGCTTCTTAGCTGCTTTGCTTCTCAATATTCTCTGGTTGGCCTCTGTTATTTCCTCCTACCGATGGAGAACCTACAAGGGACTCTATAAAGGGCTCTTGTGTCCCCCATAAGGGAAGAAGGGCAGCTTTTGTTTACAACAGATGGCACCCCAGATGGGACCTTCGGTTGCCTGGATTCAAGGGGGGCAAGGAAGGACTGGTGATCCAGCGCGCACAAGGCCATTTGCCAGGAGGAGCCACCAGTCCTCTAGTGACCCCAGGGTCTGGAAAGAAGTGGAGTTCCAGCGGGGCTAACCAGAGGAAGCAACGCTTGATCAGGCCGGCCACAGATTTATTTATTTTTTAAAATAATCTTTATTGATTTAAACTACACACATATACAAAGAATTTACAATCTCATACTGCAAAAAGAAAATTAAAGAAAAAACAATTAAGAAAAAAGAAAAGAAGAAAATACAGAAAAAAGAAAGAAGATAAAGCAGATTTATGTGCATTAAAAAATTTAATCTTCCTAATTAATACTTAAACACTTAAATAAAAAAGACTTCTGACAAAACGAGTCTTCCAATCATTCTCATTGTACTGTTTATACTGCCGTTGCCCCCCCAAGTTTTATATTCTTTAATATTGTTCCCGTCTACTCCACAAACAGTATTAGTTGTGTTTACAAGTATCACTCAAGTTCTGCTAACATGGTGTGGTTGGTACAATATGATCTTATATAATCCTTAAATATTCTCCATTCTCCAAATATTTTCTGGTTCAATACTCCTCTAACTCGTCCCATCAGTTTTGCTAGTTGTAAATATTCAAATATGAGTATATGGCTTCTCTTGGTGATGTCCACAAGGGTATTTTTGGCTCAAGTAGTCCTTTATATTTATTCCAGATATTATTCCAGATATCACGATTTCCTTATCACATGGCTCAAAATTCCCCTGTGGACCTTCACTTTTTCGTATATTAAAGAAGCGTGCCATCCAGACCAATTCTCGTGGCCTTCCAAGTCTAATAGGTCCGTATCTTTTAGTGTAATCCTGTCTTTTATCCAAACCAATCCTGCTGCCGCATGGTAGAATTCCAAATCTGGCAATGCAAAACCTCCTCTCTCCTTTTGATCTGTTAATAACTGGTGTTTAATTCTCGGTTTCTTTCCACTCCATATAAATCTAGATATTTCCCTTTTCCACTCCTTAAAACAATCCATTTCTCCTAAAATGGGCATTGTTTGGAATAAGAAAATCATTTTGGGGAGGATATTCATTTTCACAACCGAGACTCTTCCCCAGAGCGAGAGATGGAGTTTGGTCCAGGTTTCCATATATTTCTTTTAAAAATTCTTTCCATACTTTACTAGAATCATCCTCATATAAATTTAAACTTTTATTTGAAATCCAGATCCCTAGGTATTTAACCTTATTTTTAATTTCCAGGCCTGTTTTTTCCTGAAGTTCTTTTTTTCTTCTTCCATTGTGAGGTTTTTTGTCAGTAATTTAGTTTTTTTGGTAGTTTATTTTCAGTCCCAGGCCAGCCATAAATTAATCTAGTAAAAGACCTCGGGATGGCCAGGAGCAGCGCATGCGGACGTGAGTCTAGGAATGGAGAAGATTGTGGGCGGGATTCTCTGAAACACCCAGCAACCAAGATTCTCATCCTTTGCTATATCTTTTGCTTACGGTCTTCACTCCCAGCCTTTCTGGCAAGAGGTAGCTAGGAGGGGGAGGGGAGAACGGGAGAATTGGGGTTCTGCAATTAGAGAGGCAATTAACTGCAAGGGGAGAACGCCAATCAAAACTCTCATTCCCTGTCGGGGAACCTGAGATCTGAAACTTTTCCTTTTTCCCAAGGAAGAAAATACAGAAAAAAGAAAGAAGATAAAGCAGATTTATGTGCTGGTCCAAGTGGCCAGTTTGGATAGCAAGGGACTTGGGCTCGGTTTCCAATTTCTCTTTTTCTCGTAAATGCAGCTGCACCAGCAGCACCAAGATCTGGAAGGAAGTGACTGGTGCACGTCAGAGCGCAAGGGCGTTTACAGTTCCTTTCCGTTCTCTCTGGAGCAGCCGGATTTGGCACTGGGCTGCCAGGCATCCAATGGAAAGGGACTCTTTTCCCTAGAGTGTAAGAGGCAGAAAAGGGTGCTGGGACCCCATGGTAAATAAAGGGAGGGAGAAGGACTTTGTAGAGTCCTTCGTAGAGAAGACGAACGACTGTCAGGTCAGGAAAGACCTGGGAAAAGGCTAGCGGATTTTTGCTTTGGTTGAAAACTGGGATCCCCACATTCTAAGAGTTCTAACTGCCAGACTCAAAGGCATGCGCTGGTCGCAGCAGGAGTCTCCCTGGATGCTTCAGCAGCCGGCCTCCCCTGGGTCTCCTGGCCCCCTCCTCTCCTCCCTCTGAGCCTGAACTGCTCTCTGCCCCAGACTCTTCCTGCTCACCAACCCTGTTTCCTCTTCAGTTTGCAACACCTCCTCTCCCATTCTGCTCCCTTTTCTCCCTCTTTCTGCTCATTGCCATCCCACCACCAGTCCCTGGGCTCTGAGCCTTCTTCCCTTGTGGTTCCCCCAGCTGGTACCTCCCCACCCTCACCAGCCAGTCCATGACAACAACAGCAGCCACAGCACTGTGGTCCTCTGGTAGGAAAACTCCTGAGAAGCATGATTGAAGCAAAACTTCTGGGACTATGGAAAAATACTATCTTCCTCAAACCCCAGAATAAGCAGGAGCTTTGGGGTTGCCCCATGGGGTTCATGAGCGAAGATGGGGCCCCCCCAGGAGACTTCTCTGATACCTGCAGCCCCCTCTTCCCCCTCTTGAAATTAGGCTTGGGGGGAAATCTCCCATTCAATTTCAGTATTTCAAGTTTTCTTCAGAACGCGCAGGAGGCAGCGATGAAGTTGGGGTGAAGAAGCAGTGCTTGGAGATCATGTGGTGGGGGGCGGGACAGAGTTTGGTGCAAAAACCAAAGGTACTTTCATCTAAAATTATACTCACCATTGTAAAATGCTGCCTTCATTATTTCATTATTATACAGTTTTACATATAAAGTCTTATATTTCAAGTCTTAAAGTTCTTCCTGTCCATGAGTCTGTTGATTTTGAACTTCCACTAAGAGTGAACCTCTATCTACTTTCCTGATATTTATATGGTTTGTCTTTTGTGTGAGTTTGTTGACATAAATCAAGGGTTCCACTCTGACTGAAGCTCTTTTCACACTCCATACATTTAAAAGGTTTCTCCCCTGTGTGAATCTTTTGATGTCTTCTAAGGCTTCCACTATCACTAAAACTCTTTCCGCACTCCATGCATTTAAATTGTTTCTTCCTCGTGTGAGTCCATTGATGTTTCCTAAGGTATCCACTATTACTATAACTCTTTTCACTCTCCATGCATTGAAATGGTTTCCCCTCATGTGTGAGTCCGTTGATGTTTCCTAAGGTTTCCATTAACATTAAAGCTCTTTCCACACTCCATACATTTATATGGTTTCTCCCCTGTGTGAGTTCGTTGATGATTTCTAAGGTCTCCACTCTGACTGAAGCTCTTTAAACAATCCATGCATTTAAATGGTTTCTCCCTTCTGTGAGTCCGTTGATGTTTCCTAAGGTTTCCATTAACATTAAAGCTCTTTCCACACTCCATACATTTATATGGTTTCTCCCCTGTGTGAGTCCGTTGATGTCTTCTAAGGCTTCCATTTTCACTAAAGCTCTTTTGACACTCCATGCATTTAAATGGTTTCTCTCCTGTGTGAGTCCGTTGATGTGATCTAAGGCTTGTATTACAATGGAAACTCTTTCCACACTCTATACATTTAAAAGGTTTTTCCCCTGTGTGAGTCCGTTGATGTGATCTAAGGTTTCCATTCTGACTGAAGTCCTTTCCACACTCCATACATTGATATGGTTTCTCCCCTGTGTGAGTCCGTTGGTGTTGTCTAAGGCTTCCACTATAACTAAAGCTCTTTTCACACTCCATACATTTGAATGGTTTCTCCCCTGTGTGAGTCCGTTGATGTTTTCTAAGGTTTCCATTACCAGTAAAGCTCTTTTCACACTCCATACATTTATATGGTTTCTCCCCTGTGTGAGTTCGTTGATGATTTCTAAGGTCTCCACTCTGACTGAAGCTCTTTAAACAATCCATGCATTTAAATGGTTTCTCCCTTCTGTGAGTCCGTTGATGTTTCCTAAGGCATCCACTATTACTAAAACTCTTCTCACACTCCATACATTGAAATGGTTTTTCCCCTGTGTGAGTCCGCTGATGTTTTCTAAGGTTTCCATTATCACTAAAGCTCTTTCCACACTCCATACATTTAAATGGTTTCTCCCCTGTGTGAGTCCGCTGATGTTTTCTAAGGTTTCCATTATCACTAAAGCTCTTTCCGCAGTCGATACATTTATATGGTTTCTCCCCTGTGTGAGTCCGTTGGTGTCTTCTAAGGCTTCCAGTATCACTAAAGCTCTTCCCACACTCCATACATTCATATGGTTTCTCCCCTGTATGAGTCCCTTTGTGCAATTTAAGGTGTCCACTCTGACTGAAGTTCTTCCCACACTCCCTGCACGTAAAACGTTTTCTCTCTATGTGAGTCCGCTGGTGTGTTCTAAGTTTTGCATTGAAAGAGAAGCTCTTTCCGCACTCCATACCTTTAAATGGGTTCTTTCCTTTTTGTGTTCGTTGATGTGAACTATGTGTGCTCATTCAGTGAAGCATATTCCACATTTAACACATTTTAATGGCTATTCCTAATGAAACGAAAGGTGCCCTGTCCCCCGCAATTCTGTCTTCTCCATCACCTTTTTCAGAGTGGGCAGAAAGCAAATCCTGTTTGGGTTTCAAGAAAGAGAACAAAGGGAAAGAGAACACATCAACCGCCATTAGCACCTTCTCTTATTTCAACATCTCCTACATTCTCCCATGTCCTCCCCATGTTCCCAATTTTTAGGAAATGAAAATCCTATGATGTCAAATGATAGTAATGCATCAGCAACCATTCATAATCTTCAATCATCTTTAATAACACAGCATGATCTTGTAATACCGTTGTCCTCTGAGACTACCTTTCAAATCAAGTGGTTGCCCCCATTTCCACCTCTAGATCTTCATGAATCACCTGCACAGTCTCACTGACCTCAGGAGGTCCATATGGGCCATTTTGGGAGGCTCAGGCCTACATCTCTTCCAGGGACTGTGGTCTGGGTCAGTGAGAGAACTAGTGACAAGGCTTGGTGCTTGGGGTCAGCTGAATGGGTGCTCAGGGAAGCTACTGTTCTGGGAGATGGACCTCTGTCTACATGCCTCACTTTGCATGGAGAGAGCAGGAGAAGCAGAAGGAAAGCAGCTGGCACATGGGAATCCCAGACGGAAACACCCACCCCAATGGTTCTTTATAATGATGATGTGCTGCCTGATCCTCTGCTTGTCTTCTGACACAGGACTATCCTAATCTGGCACTGAAAAGCAGGATATTCAAGGCAAGGAGATAACTGTAGTTAATGGTTGGTGGCCATAATTGTCTGACACAGTTGAAGTAAAAAAAGTAAAAAAATTAGTCCAGTAGCTTTTTAGAGACCATCTAAGTTTGTTCTAGGTATAAGCTTTCGTGTGCTTGCACTTCTTCATATAGTGATGGGTAGTGGGAGATGGTAGTAGGGGTACCCTTCTGAGAAAAACCCCACCCCACCCTCCCACGATATACAAGGGTCTGGTGACATCTGTGTCAGTGTATCTGAAGAAGTGTGAATTCTGCTGCACCTGAAGTCAAGCCCTGGTGGATGGAGAGGAGGAAAACAACCGTGAATCCCACAGTCCAGAAGGCAGATTCTGCCCGTGCGGAAGAGGAACGTGAAGGGCAGATGGGGCACGTCCACCTGGAGGCTTGTTATCTAGTCCCTGGGTTACTCTGACATTGAACTATATATAAATTACAGTATTGAAATGCGCCTGCTCCCGCTTCATATTCTGATATTACTCTACTCTGCTTGTCTGTTTCTTACTTGAGTGCTGTTTTGGTTTGCTAAGTCAGGGTTTTACTGTGAGTTACATTTTTGCTATTTGTTGGGTCCTGTTATGCTTCTCTGTCTTCGGTAATAAATTTCTCAGCTGAATTATTTTTTTGCTGCCTCTGAGTGTTTTTTCCTACTCTGCTAACTATAAATCGATCATTATGGAGGAGCAAGATCTGCAACCTAAAGCCCTCAACAGCCTCGGCCCTGTGGACCTGAAGGAGCATCTTCACCCCCATCGCTCAGTCCGGACAGGGAGGTCCACCTCCGAGGGTCTTCTGCTGGTTCCCTTGCTGTTAGAAGTGAAGTTCCAGGGAACCAGGCAGAGAGCCTCCTGCCTCAGGGAATGCCCTTCCTTCCGAGGGCAAGGAGGTAGGCAACTATCTAACATTTAGAAAACAGCTGTATCAGGAGGTTTTTAATGTTTGATGTTTTACTGTCTTGTATATGTATTGAAGTGAAAGGAAAGTCCAATGCTGTAAAGAAAAATATTGCATAGGAACCTGGAATGTAAGAACCATGAACTTGGGTAAGTTGGATGTGGTCAAAAATGAGATGGCAAGAATAAATATTGACATCCTGGGAATCAGTGAACTAAAATGGATGGGAATGGGCGAATTCAGTTCGGATGACTATCATATCTACTACTGTGGGCAAGAAACTCGTAAAAGAAATGGAGTGGCCCTCAGAGTCAACAAAAGAGTGGCGAAAGCTGTACTGGGATGCAATCTCAAAAATGATAGAATGATCTCGATACGAATCCAAGGCGGACCTTTTAACATCACAGTAATTCAAGTTTATGCACCAACTACTGGTGCTGAAGAAACTGAAATTGACCAATTCTATGAAGACTTACAAGACCTTATAGAAGTGACACCAAAGAAGGATGTTCTTCTCATTATATGGGATTGAAATGCTAAAGTAGGGAATCAAGAGATAAAAGGAACAACTGGCAAGTTTGGCCTTGGAGATCAAAACGAAGCAGGGCAAAGGCTAATAGAGTTCTGTCAAGAGAACAAGCTGATCATCACAAACACGCTTTTCCAACAACACAAGAGACGACTCTACACATGGACATCACCAGATGGGTAGCATCAAAATCAGATTGATTATATTCTCTGCAGCCAAAGATGGAGAAGCTCTATACAGTCAGCAAAAACAAGACCTAGAGCTGACTGTGACTCAGATCATCAGCTTCTTATAGCAAAATTCAAGCTTAAACTGAAGAAAGTAGGAAAAACCACTGGGCTGGTAAGATACAATCTAAATCAAATCCCTTATGAATACACAGTGGAAGTGAGGAACAGGTTTAAGGATTTAGATTTGGTGGACAGAGTGCCTGAAGAACTATGGATGGAGGCTCGCAACATTATACAGGAGGCAGCAACGCAAACCATCCCAATGAAAAAGAAATGCAAGAAAGCAAAGTGGCTGTCCAACGAGGCCTTACAAATAGCGGGAGAGAGAAGGCAAGCAAAATGCGAGGGAGATAGTGAAAGATACAGCAAATTGAATGCAGATTTCCAAAAAATAGCAAAGAGATTCCCGCCCCATGGAATGCCCTCTCTTCAGAGGGCAAGGAAGTAGGCAACCATCTGACATTTAGAAGACAGCTGTATCAGGAGGTTTTTATTGTTTGATGTTTTACTGTCTTGTATATGTACTGTACTGTCGGGAAGGTAAACGGCGTTTCTGTGTGCTGCTCTGGTTCGCCAGAAGCGGCTTAGTCATGCTAGCCACATGACCTGGAAGCTGTACGCTGGCTCCCTTGGCCAATAAAGCGAGATGAGCGCCGCAACCGCAGAGTCGGGCATGACTGGACCTAATGGTCAGGGGTCCCTTTACCTTTACCTATATGTACTGTAAGCTGCCCAGAGAGGCTGGGGGAAAAGACGGATACTATAACTTTTACAGTGGTACCTCGTGTTACAGACGCTTCAGGTTACAGACTCTGTTAACCTAGGAATAGTACCTTACGTTAAGTACTTTGCTTCAGGATGAGGACAGAAATAGCACGGCGGCAGCAGGAGGCCCCGTTAGCTAAAGTGGTACCACAGGTTAAGAACAGTTTCAGGTTAAGAACGGACCTCCAGAACGAATTCAGTTCTTAACCCGAGGTACCACTGTACTATTATTATTATCATGTGATTTTTTGTAGTTATTTTGGAATTTTTACTGCAATATCAGCTCACGAAATGTTATGGGTGGAGAAAATCACAGGGTTGCCGTAAATTATAATCCCACCTACAAACTCTCATTCACATACAGTCTGTAAATTTGGGAAGGTCACACACCTCACCTGTGCTAATACTGGCAGTCTTTGGCCTGCACAGGCACACCCGGTGTGTAGAGCCTCCTGCCACAGGCACTGTCTATCATGAAAATGGGTCCATTGACTGGGAAGATTCATGCAGTCGCTGTCATTGGATGCTGATGGGTTGTATCTCAGCTTGTCAGTCACTCTGACACTGCCTACAAAGAATAAGAGGAACAGAAATGCTTTTGAGGTGCAACTTCTATATCAGCCCTGAGAGCCATTCCATGGACTCTGCACCCCCTGTTTCTGATGACAGGTGTACATTATCCTCATCCTCAGTGGAAAAGACAATAAAGATGGAAGCCTGAGAGAGAGGAAAAGGTTTCTGGCTGCTTCCTGGGTGGGATTGCAGAAACCAAGGGCCGCTTCTGAGAAGGCCTCCCCCCTCCCCTCTGGATTTCCTCTTCTCTCCAGGGGACCAAGGAATGGACTGGGCAGAATTGCTGCATCTGGACAGGGCAGGGGCTTATGGGGTGGGAAGAGGATGGAGGTTGCAGGAAGGAAGGGGTGGGGGGACTAGACCCCACTTTCCAGGGATCCTTCTCTGGTTGCCTTGAAGGGGGGGCCCATTCCTGGGTGGGAGGGAGAAGCCAAGGCGGCCCATCCGGAGGTTTATCGTGGGCGTCTTGATGGAGATGTCTCCCCAAAGACTGGTCTTCCTCTCCCCCCACCATTGCTGCGTTTCCATGACCCGGGGGTGCCCCCTCTCTTCTCCCCCCACTTCCATAGACCCCACTTTTCAGGGATCCCTCTCTGGTCTCCTTGAAGGTCTCCCTCCTAAGCAGGAGGGAGAGGCCAAGGTGGACCCTCTGGAGATTCCCCTTGGGTGCCACGATGGAGACATCTCTCCCCCCCCCCCACTTCCTCTGCTCCCTCCTTTTCTCCTGGAGCCTCCCCTGCATCCTGTTAGAAGAATTTTAAGGTCATAAATAATAATAAAAATGTTCATAACTGTATATATAAACCACATGTCTGAAACCCCACTGAAAAGCTCTTGAACAAATTGACGTCAAATATTTCTCTGCAAGTTCAAAGTGGGAAACCTCCCCATTGTCTCTTTCCTCACAAATCCTGTCTTAAGAGCACATTCAAGATATGAACAGGGTGTGAGCCTGTGACCTGTGACCTAGATTAATGAATTAAGTATTTATAAAACCCAGATATTTCTGTTGTAGACCACCTTCTCTGTGTTGTATGTATGATGTTTCTGGGGGTGGTCTTGGACTCCAGGGTGGGCAATTTAAAATGTCTACATAAGGGCAGGCACACCTTTGTTCTGGGTCCTCCTCTCTACTGCATGTGGTGAGTGAGGACCCTGTTAACAGTTGCCATGAATCTGATTTAAACTGATTTTATAATGAAATGATTTCAGAATGTTGTCTATTTTACTGTTGTTAGCCGTTCTGAGCCCAGCTTCGGCTGGGGAGGGCGGGATATAAATAATAATAATAATAATAATAATAATAATAATAATAATAATAATAATTATTCTCAGTATTAAAGATCAGGCTTACTAGCTGCTTTGCTTCTCAATATTCTCTGGTTGGTCTTTGTTAATTTTCTCCTACCGATAGAGAACCTACAAAAGGCCTCTATATGGGCTCTTGTGTCCCCCGTAAGGGAAAAGGAGCAGTTTTTAAAACTTATATTAACCCAAAGACCCCACGTGGCTCGGCTCACCCCTCGCCGGGCGGTCCCATCTCTCCATCCGGAGGGGGCCACCAACACGCGCAAGGGAGTGGCAGGGGGGTCTCTATCCAGGGGGCCTCTCTCGCGCCAGTTAACCTTCCCATAGCCCGCCTCTCTCCGCACGGAGCCAGTGGAAACGGGGCAAGGGACGCTCGTGGGGACCCCCTGGGTGCGCGCCCCATGTCTGCCCCTGTCAAGGCGCCTAAGGGGCCAATGAAAGCCTCCTTCACAGCACGCGCGCAGGGGTCCAGGCCCTGTCGGTGGGGCCCACGGAAGGCGCTTTGGGGAGCTGGCGGGGGTCTCTGGGTCCTTTTCTCCCCTCTCCCCCCCCCCGCAACCCCTTTACCTCTTTGTCCTCGCTCCCGATTCTCCTTTCCTTTCCTGCAACATCCACGGCGGGGGAGGTCCGAAAGCGCGCGCCCCTAGAGCTACGGCGCAGAGCAGCAATCTGGAGTGGAAGCTCAACATCAGGGAAAAGCAGGCAGTTTGGGAGGGGGAGGTCCCCCCCCATTCCTGGAGCAGAAGCCGGATTGGAGGAGGAGGAGGAGGAGAAAGGGGTGCAACGTATGGGGGTGGGAATTGGGGTTGTGGGGGCGGGGTGAGAGGAGGATGTGCCGGGAGGGGAGGGAAAGAATTGAGGGGGGAGGAGAGGAAGGTTTTCCCCTCCCCTCTTCCTTCTGCGATCAGGAGAGCGGGCTGATCCCGGGAATCCAACTACAAAGTGGGGTCCCCTCCCCCTCAATGTTTACATTGCAGAAACCTTCCCTCCCCCACGCCACGAAGTTAGATCCGTCCATGTTTTGGTGCACATTGAGCAGCAAGTTGGGCTCTGTGACTCCTGTGTTATGGAAAAAGTGGGGTACACACACACATCCCGACACCCAGGTAAAATTCATCCCTTGTGTCTCCCTCAGAGGTAACACAATGAGGCCCGTAAGAAAACAAGGCAGCTGTTGATCTGTTTGCAGGCAGAGCCCCCCCCCCCCATGCGAGGAGTGAAGCAACCCAGAACTAAAGCGTGTTGCAATTTGTACACCCTCAGAAAGTAGCCCCCCCCCCGTCACAGAGAGAGCACCCCAAAAACATCCCCGGTTGCGCCACAAAATGCGTTGTACCTGGAAATCAGATCAGACTCCAAGTCTGTCCGTCGGGATGCCTGACGATTCCTGCTCCCTGCCTTTTCCTGGCCAGCCTGAGAGATCATTGGAAAGGGTGGATTTCTTGACTCCAGAATCCATCATCGCAGACCCGTTTCATTCAGGCATAGAGATCTGCTCTTTGGACCAGTCTGCTTGGATCATGTGGATCATCAATGGATCATATGGATCATCACTGGATCATCCATGATGTCATACCCGTCTCACGGAGAGGGGGGCTCAGGAAGAATCTCCTGCTACGTAACTGGGGGAGTCTGGAGGCTGACTGGGGTCAGACAGGGCTGCTGTTTTGCTCTCCTTACTATTTCAGCTCAGGTTTTCCTGGCAGAAGTTACATTTCATCAAGAAATGGTTGGGTTCGTTGAGGAAACGGGGCTAAGCGAAAGCATCAGTTGAAAAGAGGCAAACGTGTATACTTTGTAACCACCCAGTGAGTTGTGTCGCAAAGGCCATTTGCAGAAAGGCTTCTATTGTATCACCTGCGGCTACATGCCGGAGTTTTGGTGTTTTGTGGAAATGTGTCTGTGTAAATGCACTTATCCCCGTGCATGTATAATGGCAAGACATTAAATCCCATGAGATCCACAAGCACCAGAACCATAAGCCCACATAGGAGTCCAAAAGCACAGAACGAAGCAGCCCTTTATCTCTGTGTCGTTGGCTATTAAAAGCTGGATGTCCAACAACAACAACATGTACAAGAAGAACAAGAACATTGTCTCTGGGCAGCTTCCAAAAGAATAGAAGAAAACATGACCCAACATGAAATATTAAAAGCTTCCCGATACGGAGCTGCTTTCAGGCGTCTATGGAGGTTTATCTCCTTGACATCTGGTGGGAGGGCGTTCCACAGGGCAGCCACGACGACCGAGAAGGCCCTCTGTAACCTCACTTCTCACAATGAGGGACCTGCCAGAAGACCCTCGGAGCTGGACCTCGGTGTCCGGGCTGAGCGATGGACGTGGAGACGCTCCTTCCCTTCTACTGGGCTGAGACCATTTAGGTCTTTCAAGGTCAGCGCCAGCACTTTGAATGGTCCTCGGAAAAGGACCGGGAGCCAGTGAAGATTTCTTAGGACACTTGTTCAGGGGCCAGCTGTTCAGCTGCTGTCCAAAACTGAAGGTATCCGTTGCCGGAAGTAATCCATAAACCTCTCCTCCTCCGCCTTCTCGGGATGCCATTGGTGCGCGATGCTCCGGCTCTCGAGAGAGGGAAAGGCGTGAGTTGGGTGCGCTCGGCTTGCCAAGGGTTAAACGGAAACGAGCTAGATTCCTAGACAGGAAAGTAAGACGGGGGGGGGCAGGGTCCTCCAGAGCGAAAGCCCAATCCCCCCCTTCCCTGCAAGAAGTCGGGCGTGTGGGGGTCCCCTTGGTTCGGCTCTGCAGAGGCTGCCTGGGGGCGCCTGCTGGGATCCGGTGAGTCTCCTCTCTCCCAGCATAGGGCCCATGGGGAGAGCGGAGGTCCCAGCGCTGCATGGCGAGAGGGGGCAAGTCAGGGCGCGGAGGGTCGCAGGAGGGCGGCAGCTCTGCTCTTCCTTTGCATGGATGCGCTGCTGGCCCCTTGGGGAGGGGTCTGGGGTCCAGGAGTGGGGAAATGCATGCAGAGAAACCCCATTCAGATGTATGGATCAGTCCCCTTGTATAACAGAGGTTGTCCGCAGATAGAAACATTCGGACATGAAATATACCCTGGTCCCTAAAACCTCACTGGTGCAAGGAAGGAAGGAAGGAAGAAGGAAGGAAGGAGAGCAGAGAAGAGAAAGCGCTTCCTCTTGCAGGGCAGAGTAAAACCTGTGGAACTCCCTCCCACAAGAGGCAGAGGCCACCAATCAAGGTGGCGTTAAAAGAGGAGGAGGCCAATCTGTGGAGGAGAAGGAGAGGGCAATGGGCGGCTCCACTTCTCTGTCTCCCCTATAGGAGGGAGGCCTCTGGCCTGATCCTGCAGGGCCCATTTTCTCCTCCAGTGCTCAGTTCCTCCAGATGCAAGCGTGGCCTCTGAGATTGCTTGGGGTTGAGCTAGATGATCCTTGGGGTGCCATCCACCTCTATAGTTCCATGAAAGCACCACTGGAGGTCTCACAAGCCAAGGCATTGAGAGCAGGAGAGGTCCTGCTGGAATGGAAACAACCAGTGCAACTGTTTTAAAACAGGAATCCAATGTGTTTGTTGTGGGGGGACTCAGTGGGGAGGGGTAGACCCCTGGATGCCGCCTTGATCTCCTTGGACAAAGAGGTGGGAGAGGAAAGTCCTTCATAAAGAGAGGCAGCCCAGCCAATCATCTGGCTGTTGCATTTTGGACCAGTTCCCGAGTCGCCTTCAAGGCAGTTCCACACAGTTCCATCCCATCTGATACGGAGCAAGGAAGACCAGCGCCATGTCCTCTCTGTCCCAAAAGGTCTGTGGGGTGGGGAAGTAGCCTGAGCTGGACATGGGCCTCAAGCAACCATGATGGACCCAGGAGAGCCCTCAAGTATTCATGACTGGGGAGGGGGCATGTTAAGCAATGTAACATCATCATCATTTTTGCTTGTTCCCTGCCCATCACCCGAATTTCCAAGAGCAGATTACAAAATTTAAAAAACAGCAATAAGAACAGTTGAAAACACATTACACGCATAGAAAGGCGAGTCCCACTTTATTTGCTTTTGAGTGTTGTTGTCCTTTGACCCCACCCCCATGTCATTTGGCCTCACCCACTTGGCCCTCAGGAGTTAGCCAGATAAGGGAATAAATGTGCTCTGAATGGGCTTGGGCAGGAGACAACTCTTGAGGAACCCTGGGTTAGGATCCCCACTATAACCCAATGCTCAGATAACACTCAGTACAAATGAGTCACTTGTCAATCACAGTTCTGACTTCATTCCTTGACTGAAAACTCTGAAAGGCAGGGGCAACCAGGCTGATTCATCTCTCAGAAAGACCAGCAGTTCCCTGCACATTTTGCATGGTCACTTTCCCTCTAGGAGGGCGGGAGACTTACCGTATTTCTCTCTCCATAAGACACACTTTTTCCCTCCTAAAAAGGGGACATGTGTGTGCGTCTTATGGAGGGAATGCAGGCGGGAGGCAGGCAGAAAACGCCCCCAAGAGCCGCACATACGCTCCGCGTGGCTCTTGCAGGCTTTTCCCCGAGGAGGGAGGAGGGACTGACGTGGCCAGTCAGTCCCTTCTCCCTCCTTATAGAAATGCCCGCAGTTGCTGTGCACCCTTTAAAGAGCGTGCGGCTCTTGTGGCTTTTATGGGAGGTGGGGGAAGGGACAGAGGGCAGCCCCTCAGTCCCTTCCCCCACCTCCTGGAAAAGCCCCCAAGAGCCACACTCCCTTTCACTAGCTGCGTGGAGAATGTGTGCGGCTCTTGGGGGCTTCTCCCTCCTGGGGAAAAGCCTGCAAGCGCCACACACACGCTCCACGCTGCTCGTGAAAGGGAGCGCTGAGCAGAGCCTGGGATGCATACTGGCTCTGCTCAGCGCTCCCTTCACAAATATTTTTTTTCTTGCATCCCCTTCTAAAAACTAGGTGCGCCTTATGCTCAGGTGCATTTTATGGAGCAAAAAATACGTTTTCCTTCTCCTTTCTAAAGAAACCTCAAGAGTCTGGGTTGTGGTGCAGTCCAGAGCTGACTCTTCCAAGACTCATACATACTTCCTCACGGAACATTTTTCTCCTCCAGGCAATATGTCAGTTTTGTAACAGAACGATGTATTTGCTTTGTAGAATTTGCAAGGATCTCTAATTCAGACAGACAGAACTTGGCAGAAGATCAAGGGATTCCTTCATCTCTCTTGGAGGCTTCCTGAGAGCGCAGATGGATGAGAAAAATTCAGCTGGGCCTGAAGCAGGAAGAGACCATGCCATCAGAACTGGGAGCCGTGGAGGATTCTGGGGAAAAACTGTGCAGAAGATCCCGGGAGAGGAGGACACTCTCTGTTAGGTAGATTTATTGCTTTATTCTTGGCGTCCAGCACACTTCCCCCTGCGGGCCTCTGCAGGTCGTAAAGCAATTAGCAGAATTGCACAGCGTCCGTGTTGAAAGGGCAGTAAAACAAGTCCCACACGTTTCTTCTTTCCTAGTAGCACTTTATTTGCTCAAAAGCAGCATATTTACAATCCAGAAACACCATCTGATTCAAGCTGCATCTTCTTTGCGTCCTTCTCTCTCAGCTTGCAGCTGCGTAACAAAGCTGCTTTCACTTTTCACTCAGCTCACAGCATTCCAAGCTGCTTTCGTCACGTCCTGGCTTACTTCCCTTGTAAGCGCCTCCTCTCAGCCTCGAGACACAGAAGGTTAACCCTTCACTACACCCAACACCCCCTCTTGTCTCGCGCCTGAGGGGAGAATCGACCCTTGGTCGTCCCAAACCCAGACCTTCACAAAACTCCCCATGTCTTTGGAAGGTGAGTGGCTTCGTGAACCCATCAGCTAGGTTCTTGGCCGAGGGACAATACTTCAGCGCAACTAATCCCTCCTGAACACTCTGGCACACATTCCGAAAGCGAATGTCTAGGTGTTTAGTTCTGGCCTTGAACAGACCTGACTCTGCCAAACGCAGGCATGGTTGATTGTCCTCGAAAACACGTATCGGCAGACAATCCACTTCGCAGAGTTCCTGCACCAAACAAGCATAGAACTCTACTTCTCTGCACACATCTGAAAGAGCACTAAACTCAGCCTCAGTGGATGAGAGCGCTATAAGACTTTGCTTCTTGGACCTCCATCCAACTACTGAGTTCCCAAACTTCACCACTAGGCCAGACACAGACTTGCGATCCTCAAGATTAGCCCAATCCGAGTCCACAAAGCAAGTCAGTTTGACTTCTCCTTGTGCTGGCAACCTAAGACAAAAGTCTTTGGTCTCCTGCAAATACCTCAGAACTCTCTTGATGCCATTCCAGGCTTGCACACTAGGGTTTGATGCCTCCCTGCTGAGCAGATTGACAGCAAACGCTATATCGGGTCTGCTCCACTGGGACAAGTACAACAAACTCCCTAGAGCTGACTGAAACACTTCAGTATTTTTGAACGCAGCGCGTTCTACTTGCTGGCTGTCCTTCACAAAACTAGTCTCCATAGGACTTCTCACTCCTGCACAATCACTCATCCTCATTTTCTGAAGCAATTGCTCAATTTTACCTCTCTGGCTGAGCAAAAAACTTCCATCCCGTGCACGCTCAACATTGACACCTAGATCTTTCATGGACTTCATCTCTTTGTCCATTGCCCTGTGCCACTTGCCTGCTTCTTCCTCAGGTAAACTCTGAATATCCTCGAAGGATTCAGGTTCACATCTTGCAGAACCTACCCAGACGCCTGAAGCGTCGTACCGATCAGGAGGCCTCCTTGTCCTCGCTGATCTCCTCAGTGTGAATCCTAGTGACCCTGCCGCTTCACTGGGTCCAGCTAAATCATCCTCAGTGTCTTCCCCCTCTGACCTGCTGCGCCTCTTGGGCCTTACAGCTGGTCCAGCAGGTGAAGAAGGCTCACTCTTTGGCTCAAACTTGACACTTGCCTGAGGAGGTGTTCTAGGTTCCCCCCTCTGAGGGATCCTGAGCTGTCCCTGCCTTGGACTCTGTCGCTCTGGACTGTGGTCCCCAGCTCCAAGTTCCTCTTCCTCCTCAACATCTGAGTCATAGAACTGCTGTGGAAGTACGTCTGGATTGGCGTGCAGACGCTTCCAACCAGCTTGCTCACAGAACTCAGCGCTATTGCTGATAACCAACCTAGACTGGTCTCCACTTGGGTATGCAAACCGCCAGGCCTTTGAGCCAGGCTCATACCCTACAAAGATCATTCTTTTAGATCTTGGCTCACCTTTCTTGCGTAGAGCCTTTGGAATAAGCACCCAAGCCTCACAACCAAACACACGAAGGTAGTGCACCTTAGGCTTCCGTCCATGAAGTAAGAAATACGGTGTATTTCCTACACTAGAGTTGTACACTCTGTTCTCGGTATGGACCACATAGCGCCAGGCTTCCGACCAATATTTCTGGGGTAGCCCTGCATCCCACAGGATCGCAGACACAGCTTCCTGCACCGTCCTGTTCTTTCTCTCTGCCAGCCCATTCTGTTGCAGAGAGTAAGGAGCGGTCAGTCTGTGGCTAATCCCCTTCTCCCTAAAGAAATCCTGTAAAGCAGAACCAGTGAATTCAGCACCTCTGTCACTTTGAAAACCACGAACTTTGGTGGAAAAGGTTACCTCAACTGCGGTGATCCAATCCCTGATCATTTTAGCCGCCTCCCCTTTCGTTTTCAGAGAGAAGGTCCAAGCAGACCTCGAAAAATCATCAATCAAAAGCAAAGAATACTTCGAACCTCCCAGTGACTCAACAGACATGGGTCCACACAAATCTGCATGAATTAATTCAAAGGGTTTTGTGGTCTGCCTCTCTGACTTTGGATATGAGCATGTCACAACTTTCGCCTGTTTACATGCATTGCAACCTAGAAATTTGTCACAAACATTAAATTTGCACCCTTGTGTCAGCTCTGGCGCTTTCTGGAGATATATCCAATTCAAATGGGCGAAGCGTCGGTGCCAAATATGTGAACAGCCAGGGTGGGGCGCTACATTCACACATTGGCCCTTCACATCTTCGGTGTCATCTTCTCCTGTGGAAAAAGGCACATTTACAGCAAACAAATTATCTTTAGACTGCACTGTGTACACGTGTTTCCCATCCTTGGAGAATTCACATTTGTCACCTGCAAAAGAAATTTGAAAACCATCGATCAATAGATCATGCACACTTAACAAACAGTTAGTTAAACCGGGCACTGCATAAGCTTTGACTTCATGCTTAAGGAAAGGACAGAAGAACAGTCCTGTCTCCGTTAGCCTTTTTCTGCTTCCATCTGCAAACTTAACAAACTTCTCAGTTTTTACTGTCCTGCAATTCCTCAAAAGATCAGGAGATGGCACCAACGAATTTGAGGCACCAGAGTCTATTATTACAGTGAGAAAGTCTTGTTGTTGACATTTCTGGGTCGCCAGGGCAACAATCTCCTCACTACCCCCCTCCTTGGGGCTTCTGCAGATGTCCTCTCTGGTTGTCACGGCAACAGACTCCCCCCGGCAGGAAGACTTGCCCACGACCTTCACAGCTTCCGTAGATGCAACTCTCTCAGTTGCCATGGAGACTGGACTTGTCTCGGCGTTCCCACACAACTCTGAAGCTCTTATCTCTACTTGCTGCAGGTGGCCGACCTTGAAGCCTCTAGCTCTTTTCAGCTTCCCAGGCTCCGACTCACGACGTAAACAACTCTTGGCAGCTTTTGGAGAAAGAGGCGTCTTTGAGCTTTCACTGCTCACTGCCCCCCCACTGCTCATGGGGTCTCCAGGACGTTTTCCTGCACCCCCTCTGATGGGTGAAGGGCTCCCAACACTCTCTCCAGGCTCCTCACACAGACACGTTGCAGCATCCACACAGCTCCCAGGCTCAGCAAAAGCACAAGCAGCATTGCTAGCAACAACAACAGCAACAGTCCCTTCGCCCCCCTGTGGGGGCTCACAGCTCCTCCCAGCTGTGTATCGGCTCTCAAGGATGTGGGTGGCGCCATCTTGCCTCTCCCTTTCGGATGCAGCCACTTCTCGGCCCTTGCTTCCCACTCCAGCTCCACAAGCTTCTCGGAGTGCTAGCCAAGCGGCCTCTGGCCTTCTTGCACCCAGGACAACAGGCACCAGATGAGCATCCACACTTTCTGCCAAAAAAAGCAAGCACACGCTTCTCCACTTCACTTTGCTCTGCAGCCCTTTTAGCCTCTGCTTTCCCAGCTGCATTCTGTGTGGGGTGAATTACATTCCACAGCTGCTCCCCCACCAGCAAAAGCTCCACTTGAAAGCTCCACTGCAGCCAATTTTGGCGTGTCAGTTTCTGACATGGCAGTTTAAACTCAAAGCCATGTTCACAGGGCTGAGCCATTGCCTCCCTTCTGTTGGCTTTTCCAAAGGTACTCACTCAGCAGTCAAACTGGGCACTCCGGACGTCATGGCTCTCAGCTCCCTCTCCATCAGCCTCCTCCGATCTGCCCTCTTTGAAGTCTCCGGCAGTCGATCAAACTGACGATCAGCAGATAAAGCTTCAAAGCCCTTTCTCACACGCTTCACGCTGACCCATAACCATGTTAGGTAGATTTATTGCTTTATTCTTGGCGTCCAGCACACTTCCCCCTGCGGGCCTCTGCAGGTCGTAAAGCAATTAGCAGAATTGCACAGCGTCCGTGTTGAAAGGGCAGTAAAACAAGTCCCACACGTTTCTTCTTTCCTAGTAGCACTTTATTTGCTCAAAAGTAGCATATTTACAATCCAGAAACACCATCTGATTCAAGCTGCATCTTCTTTGCGTCCTTCTCTCTCAGCTTGCAGCTGCGTAACAAAGCTGCTTTCACTTTTCACTCAGCTCACAGCATTCCAAGCTGCTTTCGTCACGTCCTGGCTTACTTCCCTTGTAAGCGCCTCCTCTCAGCCTCGAGACACAGAAGGTTAACCCTTCACTACACCCAACACTCTCCACCCAGAGGTGCAGAGCCAGCAGTTCAGGCAGTTCTGCTTCCAGGAGGCCAAAGGACCTCGAGAGGTTTGCAGCCGACTCTACAACCTTTACCATCAATGGCTGAAGCCAGAAAGGCACCCAAAAGCTGAGATGCTGGACCTGGTGATCTTGGAGCAGTTCCTGGCTGTCCTTCCACCGGAGATGGAGAGCTGGGTGAGGGAATGTGGAGCAGAGACCAGTTCCCAGGCAGTGGCCCTAGCCGAAGGTTTCCTCCTGAGTCAGGCAGAGGAGAGGAAGCAGGCAGAGCAGCAGGTGAGAGAGACTTTCCTCTGGATACTCCCAAGGGGCTCCGAACGTGAGTGAGAGTATCTGAAAATTCTCTATTAATATTCCATCCTTTTTTGGAAAGCAGCCCTTGAATATTATCAGATTGCCCTTCAGTTTTTGCCTCTGTCATTCCTTTTCTAACTCTTCTTCATATTCTCTGTTTTGAATCTTTGTTGCTATTTCAGAGACAGGATCTGTTTGCAGAAATGGGCCCAGATTCCTCTGAGACCAAAAGGACTCCATTGGACACGAGAGAGAGGCTGCTGGGTAAGGAAGGAGTCCTTTCTCTGTTTGGTCCCTTTCTGTGGATATCAAAACGAATCCATGGGTTCTTGTCATCTTTTTTTTGGGGGGGGAGGAAGACACCAAGAGCACCAAGGAAGGGAGATGTATTTTTTAACCCAACTAAATTATGAAATGGGTCCAAATGTCCAGATGCACTCAGAAGGTGAGACCTTTTGGAGAGCAGCTGCACTCCTGGCTTCCCACTTACCTCTGTCTCTCACAGGTGACCAGATGATGCCAGCAAGACCTCCTCTTCCATCTATTCCTGGTGGTGAAGGAGAAGCAACAGCTGTGGAAGCAGCTCAGGTAGAGGGAGGGAGCCCTGTGGGGAAGGGGGCTGGGGGGGGCAGCCAGGGTGCCTCTGGCCCCCAAGGAATCTCTCTCCTCCTCTTGGCTTCTGTCCAAGCTTCTCTGAAGACGTCTTTGTCAAGGGCAGCCTAGACAGAAGCCAAGAGGCTGGGAATGCCGTTTGAGAAGTTTAATGTGCTGAGAATAAGGAACAGCCACCTTGCCTTAACTCACCTTCTGACGGTCAATAGGATGATTCATAAGTCATTGTAGTTTTATTTCTAGAGTTATCATTGAATGCTAAATAGGCTTCTAAGCAGTTCATCAAGCCTCAAAAATAGTTCCCAGGAATCACCTATCTTGTCGCATCAGTTGCACAATGGGGTTTCCCCACCTTCTCCTCCCCCTTTTAATGAGCAGAAAGAAACAGCATTGTGTAGCAGACAACCTTAGTGCTGTCTAAAAAGGACCTTTCTCTTTCTCTCTTAGGGTCCAGTGTGCTTTGAAGATGTCGCTGTTCATTTCACAGATGAGGAATGGGCGTTGCTGGATCCTGACCCGAGAGCTCTGCATAAGGAAGTCATGGAGGAGAATCACAGGATTGTGGCCTGTCTCAGTAAGGCTGCCTTGTGGATCATGACCTCTGTTTAGAAATTCCATGCATGTCTCTCTCTGATAAGCATCCCTGGTTTTGAGGGAGGTCTGCAGGGCCACTTGCAGCACCTGGGATTCTAATACCCCCCAAACTCACCTTAAATGGAGGGCTATTGACTGTTTTGACCATGGACATGATCAAGCCAACATAGACATTGCTGAGAATGAAATGGGAACATGCTGGGAATCTGAGGTCAGGAGAACACATCTTTGTTGACACTGTCCTGCCTTGTATTGCCCCAAATCTTCCTGATATGGAAGACATTGAGGGTTTTCCCCCCTAATGGTTGTAATTGTCCACAATTCACTTCACAAACTGCTTGCTCAACGCACAATCCTGATAGACCTTCCTCTTGGCATTGAAGAGTTAGTAACACATTTGCCTTGCCAATACACTTGTCCAGGTCAGCATCGATGAAGAGGTTGTTGGTTATGGTAGAACCTCCTAGGGAGACAAAATCATCCACCACCTCCAGTGTCTGAATCTCCCATAGGTGCATTTTGCAACAGGGAATTTCATAGACACGAGCAGTTTCTGAGCTCTGCGCGCAGTACTGCACCTAAGATTTCAAATTAAAACTGCGGAGTGGAAGGAAAGGAGGACCTTTTTCTGGCTCCCCACTTCCAGCTACTCTCTGAAAGCTGAAGGAGAGACCTGTCAAGGTGGTGTCTGCTCTTCGCAGTAAACACCCTCTGCTCACTCAGAGAGATATTTACAGTTCTTTATTTACATATGTACGAACAGCTACAGTTCAAAATCATGCCTCTGAATCCGATGAGTCAGATTCGGGGAGTGGCTTCCTTCGGCTCCTTCTCCAACACAGCAGCGTGGGAATCTCTCAAGATGTCTTTGATTCTCTCCTCGCCTGTGCCAAAGGCACCGCTTCCCCTTCTGTTCCTGAACTCCCTGGTTGGTGGCAGGGCTCTCCAGTACTGCAGAGCCCTGACACCACTTGACTGCTCTCCGCCTTCTCCTCCCCTACTTCGTCCGTCATTTCCCTGTTTTCCCCGTCTGACTGTCCCTGCTCTGATACTCCCCCTTCCCTTGACCCAAGGGCTCTCTGTCCCGTGACATCACCCCCCACTAAGCCCCCCCATCTGTCTCGCTTTCGCTGTCTTCTGAGGATCTGAAACCTACAAGTGGTGATATACCTGTGGGTGCGTGCATTGTGTTATTGTATGCAAACTCTGCCAGGCTCAATTTCCTCAAAACTTCTCTCTCTGTTCTCCCCTTGCCTGTCTGTCCCGTGACAAGACCTTCTTAAAAAATCAGGGGGTGGGGGTGGGCAGCGGAAGGACTAGACCACGTGAAAAATTAACATATTATTTTAGCTGCTGTTCATTCCTTTTCAGCTTTGTATTCTTGTTATAAAAGAGTGCGCCTAGACATTCGTTGATGCGCCCGTATCCTCGGTTTAAGGTGCCATAAGCTCCTGGCTGTCCTATCTCTGTTTCTAACACTGACCACCTCTAGTGTGTGGTCACCAATGTTGATGCATGGAATTCTTCCTCTATCACAAGGGTTAGAGATCAATATTCAATACAGTGGCACTCCCATTTCTTCCTACAGTTCTAATCCATTTCTTTCTTCATTGCAGGTGGTGATGATTTGGAAATTGAGAAAGAGGACGCCCATGACAGAATCCACACAGTGGAGAAGCCATTGCCACTCTTGGAGTGTGGAGAGAGCTTCAGTCACAGCTCCCATTCGACTACCCACCAAAGAAATGCTATTGGGAAGAAACCCTCTCAGTTCTCTGAATGGGGAAAAAATTTCTGTTGGAATGGAAGCCTCACTTCACAGGAAATAATTCCCACAGGGGAGGACCCACTGAAATACTTGGAATGTGGAAAGAGCTTCAGTAAGAGTGCACATCTCATTTCGCATCAAATAATTCATACTGGCGAGAAACCCTATCAGTGCTTAGAATGTAGGAAAAGCTTTAATACAAGCAAAACCTTCCGTAAACATCAGAGAATTCACAGGGGGGAGAAGCCATTTGAATGCCAAGAGTGTGGAAAGAGCTTCAGTCAGAGAACCCATCTCATGGCCCATCAAAGAATTCACAGTGGTGAGAAACCCTATCAGTGCTCGAAATGTGGGAAGAGTTTCACTGGGAGCTCCGGTCTCGCTTCCCACCAAAGAATTCATACTGGGGAGAAACCCTATCAGTGCTTGGAATGTGGGCGGAGCTTCAATTACAGGACGACCCTCACGGTCCATCAAAGGATTCACAGTGGTGAGAAAGCCTATCAGTGCTCAGAATGTGGGTAGAGTTTCACTGTGAGCTCCCATCTCACTTCCCACCAAAGAATTCATACCGGGGAGAAACCATATCAATGTGTGAATTGTGGAAAGGGCTTCACCCAAAAGGCAAGTCTCACTTCCCATCAAAGAATTCACAGTGGTGAAAAACCTTATCAATGCATGGAATGTGGGAAGAGCTTCAGTCGGAAGCAAAGTCTCACTTCCCACCAAAGCATTCATACCGGGGAGAAACCCTATCGATGCTTGGATTGTGGAAAGAGTTTCTGCCAGAGAGCCGATCTCACTTCCCACCAAAGAATTCACACAGGAGAGAAACCATATCAGTGCTTCGAATGTGGAAAGAATTTCCGCCAGAAAGTCAACCTCACTTCCCACCAAAGAATTCACACAGGGGAGAAACCCTATCAGTGCTTGGAATGTGGAAAGAGCTTCAGTCATAAGCAAAGTCTCCCTTCCCATCAAAGAATTCACAGTGGTGAGAAACCTTATCAGTGCTTGGAATGTGGGAAGAGTTTCAGCTAAGGGGCCAGTCTAACTTGCCATGAAAGAATTCACACAGGGGAGAAACCATATCAGTGCTTGGAATGTGGAAAGGGTTTCCTCCAGAAAGCCAATCTCACTTCCCACCAAAGAATTCACACAGGGGAGAAACCCTATCAGTGCCTGGAATGTGGAAAGAGCTTCAGTCAGAAGCAAAGTCTCCCTTCCCATCAAAGAATTCACAGTGGTAAGAAACCATATCAGTGCTTGGAATGTGAAAAGAGCTTTGGTAAGAGGACCAAGCTCATGGCCCATCAAAGAATTCATACAGGGGAGAATCATAGAATTTTAGACCTGCAGGAGACCCCTGGGTCGTCTAGTCCACTGCAGGACTCTCAACTAAAGCTTCCATGACATATTGCCTTCAAACTTCTCCTTACAAACCTCCAAGGAAGGAGATTCCACAACCTTCCAAGGGTGTACTAATTTGAAACCATTGGTTTGGGTGCCAGCCTCCAGAGCCGGTGAAAACAAGCTTGTTCAATCTTCTTCTTTTTTTTAAAAAAAAATATTATTAATTTTCAACAATTTAAACACAACACTACAAAAAACCAAAGAAAAACAATACAACAATACAATACCGTACAAAAAAGACTACACAACACTAACACAAACAATTAACAAAACAAAACAAAAACCATTCAAAACACAATCCAATTTCAACATCTTATTTTTCATTCACTTGTTTCCACAACCTCCTCACACCTCCCTTTTTGTCTTCCACTTCTATTAATTGTTTCAGCAATTCCTCTCCATCTTCCTCTGTTTTCTATCCTATAATTATCTTAACACATTCTAACCTTATTTTTCCCTTTAATACCCTATTAATTTATCTATACCTAATTCCTTATAACATTTCTACTAAAGCCATATAACTTCATTCCAACATTCATTAATTTTACAGTATTTCTGTAAGTAGTCCTTAAACTTTTTCCAATCTTCTTCCACCGATTCTTCTCCCTGGTCTCGGATTCTGCCAGTCATTTCCGCCAATTCCATGTAGTCCATCAACTTCATCTGCCATTCTTCCTGTGTGGGTAAATCTTGTGTCTTCCAATACTTCGCGATAAGTATTCTTGCTGCTGTTATTGCATACATAAAAAAAGTTCTATCTTTCTTTAACACCAATTGGCCGACCATGCCCAGGAGAAAGGCCTCTGGTTTCTTCAAAAAGTATATTTAAATATCTTTTTCATTTCGTTATAAATCATCTCCCAGAATGTCTTAATCCTTGGGCATGTCCACCAAAGGTGGAAAAATGTACCTTCAGTCTCATTACATTTCCAACATTTATTGTTGGGCAAATGGTATATATATTTTATATATATATATATATAATTTTTTATTAAAGTTTTAAACAACAAAAGAAAGAAAAACAACACACACAAAAAACAGTACAAAACTCAACAATAAAAACACAAAACATAACAATTAAAAACAGACTCTCTTTTCCATTTCCAATTTTAAATTACTTATTTTCTGGACTTCCTCATACCTCCCTCTTTTGTATTCCAATCCACATTATTTATCCAGCAGTTTCTTTTCCACTTTTTTAGCCCAATCTTTAATTTAATAAAATGTTAAAATATATAACTTCAACTTTTTTTTAAACCTAATTCTTGATCTTAATATCATATAACTTTAAAATTTTCCCTTTTAATATCAAATTTCCATTTCTTTAAACATCTTTAATCTTGATCTTCAATCTTCATCTATCATTAACTTTAACCTGTGCAGCTGGAAACCCCTTACTTTCAGTCCAACATCCCTTTAACATTCCTTAATTTTACAATGTTTCTGAAGATAGTCTTTGAATTTCTTCCAGTCTTCCTCCATCGACTCTTCTCCCTGGTCACGGATTCTACCAGTCATTTCCGCCAATTCCATATAGTCCATAAGTTTCATCTGCCATTCCTCCAGCGTGGGAAGTTCTTGTGTCTTCCAATACTTTGCGATGAGTATTCTTGCTGCTGTTGTTGCATACATAAAGAAAGCTCTATCCTTTTTTAACACCATTTGGCCGACTATGCCCAGGAGAAAGGCCTCTGGTTTCTTAGGAAAGGTATACTTAAATACCTTTTTCAATTCATTATATATCATTTCCCAGAAAGCCTTAATCTTTGGGCACGTCCACCAAAGGTGAACAAATGTACCTTCAGTTTCTTTACATTTCCAACATTTGTTATCGGGCAAGTGATAGATTTTCGCAAGCTTGACTGGGGTTATGTACCACCTGTATATCATTTTCATAATATTCTCTCTTAAGGCATTACATGCCGTAAATTTCATACCAGTGGTCCATAACTGTTCCCAGTCAGCAAACATAATGTTATGTCCAACGTCCTGTGCCCATTTAATCATAGCCGATTTTACCGTTTCATCTTGAGTATTCCATTTCAGCAGCAAGTTATACATTCTTGACAAATTCTTAGTCTTGGGTTCTAGCAATTCTGTTTCTAATTTGGATCTTTCCACCTGGAAGCCAAGTTTCCTGTCCAATTTAAATACCTCCATTATCTGATAATAATGAAGCCAGTCTCGCACTTTGTTGTTTAGTTTTTCAAAACTCTGCAATTTCAGTCTATCTCCGTCTTGTTCCAAAATTTCCCAATATTTCGGCCATTTGACCTCCATATTGACCTTTTTCAAGGCTTTCGCTTCCATTGGTGACAGCCACCTTGGGGTTTTGTTTTCTAACAAATCCTTATATCTTATCCAAACATTAAACAGCGCTTTCCTGACAATATGGTTTTTAAATGCTTTATGTGCTTTGACCTTATCATACCATAAATATGCATGCCATCCAAATACATTATTAAAACCTTCTAGATCCAAAATGTCAGTGTTTTCAAGAAGTAGCCATTCTTTCAACCAGCAAAAAGCTGCTGATTCATAGTAAAGTTTGAGGTCTGGCAGGGCAAATCCACCTCTTTCCTTTGCATCCGTTAGTATTTTAAATTTTATTCTGGGTTTCTTGCCCTGCCAGACAAATTTAGAAATATCTTTCTGCCACCTCTTGAAACAATCCATTTTGTCCACAATCTGCAAAGTTTGAAACAAAAACAACATTCTAGGCAATACATTCATTTTTATCGCAGCAATACGGCCTAGCAGTGAAAGCTTCAAATTTGACCAAATTTCTAAATCTTTTTCACTTCTGACCAACATTTTTCATAGTTATCTTTAAATAAATTCCCATTTTTGCTGTCATGTTAATCCCCAGGTATTTAACTTTCTTAACCACTGTTAAACCTGTCTCATTCTGAAACCTCTCTTTTTCAAACGGTGTTAAATTTTCTCTAGAACCTTGGTTTTTGACTTGTTCAATTTAAATCCTGCCACTTGACCAAATTCTTGAATCAGTTCTAAAACCCTTTTAGTACTAGATTCTGGCTCCTGTAACGTCAATACTAAGTCATCTGCAAATGACTTGCCGATCGCAACGACTTAGGACTTGCCGATCGCATGGTCGACGGTTTGAATCTCCGCGGCGGGGTGCGCTCCCATCGTTCGGTCCCAGCGCCTGCCAACCTAGCAGTTCGAAAGCACCCCCGGGTGCAAGTAGATAAATAGGGACCGCTTACCAGCGGGAAGGTAAACGGCGTTCCGTGTGCTGCGCTGGCTCGCCAAATGCAGCTTGTCACGCTGGCCACGTGACCCAGAAGTGTCTGCGGACAGCGCTGGCTCCCGGCCTATAGAGTGAGATGAGCGCACAACCCTAGAGTCTGGCAAGACTGGCCCGTATGGGCAGGGGTACCTTTACCTTTACCTTAACTTATCGTACCACAAATATGCATGCCAGCCAAATGCGTTATTAAAACCTTCTAAATCCAACACGTCTGATATCTTAAATTTTATTTGAGGCTTCTTGCCCTGCCAAACAAATCTGGAAATATCTTTCTGCCACTTCTTGAAACAATCCATCTTATCTAAGATTTGCAATGTTTGAAACAGAAACAACATCCTTGGCAGCACGTTCATTTTGATCACAGCAATTCGGCCTAACAATGATAACTTCAAATTTGTCCATATTTCTAGATCCTTTTTCACTTCAGACCAACATTTTTCATAATTATCTTTAAATAAATTCACATTTTTTGCAGTCATGTTAACCCCTAAGTATTTCACTTTCTTAACCAATGTTAATCCTGTCTCCTCCTGAAATTTCTCTCTCATTCACAGTTAAGTTTTTCTCTAAAACCTTAGTTTTCATCTTGTTCAACTTAAAACCTGCTACCTGTCCAAATTCTTGTATCAATTCCAGTACCCTTTGAGTACTAGATTCTGGCTCCTGTAGAGTCAATACTAAGTCATCAGCAAATGCTTTCAGTTTGTACTGTTTAGCTCCCACTTGTATACCTTTAACCTCTTGATCCTTTCTAATCATATTTAACAAAACCTCAAGGACCGATACAAAAGCAATGGAGAAATTGGGCAGCCTTGTCGTGTCCCTTTCTCAATCTTAAACTCTTCTGTCACTACATTGTTCACAATTAATTTAGCCTTTTGTTCAGAATAAATTGCACCTATACCATTTTCAAAACCTTGGCCTACCCAAGCTTGTTCAATCTTCCACCTGACAGCCCTTCCTGTTCCTCAGAAGGCTTGGTTTCCCAACACTTAATTGTCTTGCTCACCCCCCTCTGCACACCTTCCAGCTTGTCAAAATCCTTCTTAAATTGGGGCACCCAGAACTGGACACAGGACTCCAGGTGTGGTCTGAACAAGGCAGAAGAAAGTGGGGCTATTACTTTTCTTGATCTGGACACTTGACTTCTTTGGACGCTGCCTAGAATAACAGCCTATTTCGCTGGTGTTGACTTATGTCAGTCTTGTGGTCCACTAAGACCCCAGGTCTTTTCCACATGTACTACTGGCAAGCCTGGTATGTCCCATCTTATATTTGTGCAGCTGATTCGTCTTGCCTAAGAGCAGAATCTTACCTTTCTTCTTAGTGAAATTTATTGGATGCCTTTATATACCACCTGTTTCTTCAAGAAGCTCAGTGTGGTCTTAAGTCGTTCTCCCCCTCATCGTTTAATCCTGACAACAACCCTGTGAGGTAGGTTGGGCTGTGAAGCCATCACCCAGTGACTGAGTGGAGATTGGAACCCAGGTCTCCCAGTTCCTAGTCCAAAACTCTTAAGGACTGCCCCCCACTGGCTCTCGAATGAGACTCTTGGAAAGTGCATGCATGCGCATTTACCGAAAGTTTCAGTGCAATGTCTTGGTGTTTGTATTTAAAGTTTTATACGCATGTATCAATGACATTAATATAATAATGTTAATTACAGTAGAAGAGTAAATTTTAGGAAATGCTAGATGGTGATAGGGGTAGTTTGGAATGCTGGGATTGAGCAATTGAACTGAACAATTTCCACATAAATCACAAGATCTAAAATATAAAAACAAAACACCAACAGCAACAACCCCCCCCCAAACCCCCAAATTCAAGAGTCTGTTCAGCAGCCTCAGCTTTTGCAGCTGGAGTCAATCCAGGCTCTGCCCTCCCAGGCTAGGTGGAAAAGGTCTCTAAGGAGAGAGCCCGTCTTCTGGGACTTGCAGCCAAGATGGTTGGCTGCAACCATTGGAGGGTGGAATGGAATGGGACAGTGGTGGCAATTGTGGAGCAGGGTTGGTTAGACCTGTAGTAGAGAGACAGCATTATAATCCCCGTTGTTGCAGCTGTAGTAAAGTTTCAAAAGGAAAAAGAAAAGAAAAGAGAACATTTGAAACCACATATGTCTATTTTTTAAATAAATCAGTTTAATGAATCGATGCACACTTCCTTCTTTGTTATGTTTGGGGTGAAGTGTTGCAGAGTCCTCTGTGGTGGCAACAGGAATAAAGTGGAGTTTGGTGGAAGATCCATCTCCTAGCCGTGCACCTTGAATGAAACGGGAAGGTGGCCCAGGGATGGGTGGGCAGAGCCCCTCTGAGCAAAGGCGGTGGGGGCTCAACATGGGGAGATAAACTAGAGGACACTCACAGCATTCAAAATGCTTCATAAAAACCAACTCTGCTGTCTTTACAACATCCCTATGAGGTGGACCTGTAGCATTTCCCCATTAATGTGGGAAGTCGAAGAGAGGAGGAGGAGAGCAGAGAGGGGCGTGAAGCAGAGACTCGGTCCCTCTGCCCTCTTGCAAGTTGCACGCACACAATGCGCTCTGATTTGCGCTGCTCATTCACATCTGTTTTAGGCCCCCAGGCATTTACTGAAACAGTCTAGGTGCTGATTTTTAAAGTATATGATGTTGTTGTTGAGTCGTTCAGTCATGTCCGCCTCTTTGTGACCCCCTGGACCAGAGCACACCAGGCCCTCCTGTCTTCCACTGCCTCCTGCAGTTTGGTCAAACTCATGTTAGTGGCTTCGAGAACACTGTCCCACCATCTCGTCCTCTGTCGTCCCCTTCTCCTTGTGCCCTACCTCTTTCCCAACATCAGGGTCTTTTCCAGGGAGTCTTCTCTTCTCGTGAGGTGGCCAAAGAACTGGAGCCTCAGCTTCACGATCTGTCCTTCCAGTGAACACTCAAGATTTTTTTGGAAAATCAATAAAAATTATTAAAAATGAAATAAAATCCACATCCCAGGATATTTCCCCTATCACCTCTTTTCCACCTGAGCCTCAGCCCCATACCTAAAACCCAGACATCCTGCAGTGTGCCAGGATTGTGACTCCTGCCCTCAGGAAACAAAATAGCTCCCCCCCGATGCTTAGGTGCCCTGAGGGCTGTGCAGAACCCCCAATCCTTGAAATGAAAAAGGGAGGGGCTCAGGAAACCTGAAGGGAGCAGGCAGGGAGGGGGCTGCACAGGATCCAGAAGCTCCTTCTCGCTGATTCCCCCCCCCCATGAAGTTCCTTTAAGACCCCACGTTGCAGGGGGCAGGCTCACTTGCAGCGAAACAAAATGCAGTTGCCCTGGCCGAGTGGAGCCAGGCTGGGGGGCACCATGGGGACCCCAGGAATATGCCCCTAGAAGAAATGTGCCCCCTCTGTTGGAGGCAGCCCTCCTTCTGAAACACCAAGAGAGTAAATGGACAGTCTCTGAATGGAGAGGAGCAGAAAGCGGAGTCCCCTCAAGATCAGTATTGGGACCTGCGGCTTTTCAACTTGTTCATAAATGATCTAGACTTAGGACGGAGCAGGGAGGGGGGCAAAGTTTGCTGATGGCAGTAGATTGTCCTGGGGTTCATGAGTGAAGGTGGGCCCCCCAGGAGACTTCCCTGGTACCTGCAGCCCCTCCTTCGCTCTCTTGAAATTAGGCTTGGGGGGAAAACAGTTACTGTACTCCATACCTTTAAATCGTTTCTTACCAATGTGAGCCTGTTGATGTCTTCTCAGGTTTCCACTAAAACTGAAGCTCTTTCCACACTCCATACATTGAAATGGTTTCTACCCTGTGTGAGTCCGTTGATGTTGTCTAAGGCTTCCACTATCACTAAAGCTCTTTCTGCACTCTATGCATTCAAATGGTTTCTCCTCTGTGTGTGTCCGTTGATGTATATTGAGGTGTCCACTCTGACTGAAGCTCTTTCCACACTCCATACATTTATATGGTTTCTCCCCTGTGTGAGTCCTTTGATGTGTTCTAAGGGCTGCATTGAAACTGAAGCTCTTTCCGCACTCCATACATTTATATGGCTTCTCCCCGGTGTGAGTCCTTTGATGTGTTCTAAGATTTCCATTATCACTAAAACTCTTTTCACACTCCATACATTGAAATGGTTTCTCCCCTGTGTGAGTCCGTTGATGTTTCCTAAGGCTTCCACTTTTACTAAAGCTCTTTTCACACTCCATACATTTATATGGTTTCTCCCCTGTGTGAGTCCGTTGATGTGTTCTAAGGGCTGCATTGAAACTGAAGCTCTTTCCGCACTCCATACATTTATATGGCTTCTCCCCTGTGTGAGTCTGTTGATGTCTTCTAAGGCTTCCACTATCACTAAAGCTCTTTTCACACTCCATACATTGAAATGGTTTCTCCCCTGTGTGAGTCCGTTGATGTCTTCTAAGGTTTCCATTATCCCTAAAGCTCTTTCCGCACTCCATGCATTCGAATGGTTTCTCCCCTGTGTGAGTCCGTTGATGTCTTCTAAGTCTTCCACTATCTCTAAAGCTCTTTCCACACTCCATACATTTATATGGTTTCTCCCCTGTGTGAGTCCGTTGATGTTTCCTAAGGTGTCCACTCTGACTGAAGTCCTTTCCACACTCCATGCATTTAAATGGTTTCTCCCCTGTGTGAGTCCGTTGATGTTTCCTAAGGTGTCCACTCTGACTGAAGTCCTTTCCACACTCCATGCATTTATATGGTTTCTCCCCTGTGTGAGTCCGTTGATGTGTTCTAAGGGCTGCATTGAAACTGAAGCTCTTTCCGCACTCCATACATTTATATGGCTTCTCCCCTGTGTGAGTCCGTTGATGTCTTCTAAGGCTTCCACTATCACTAAAGCTCTTTTCACACTCCATACATTTATATGGTTTCTCCCCTGTGTGAGTCCGTTGATGTCTTCTAAGGTTTCCACTAACATTAAAGTTCTTTCCACACTCCATACATTCATATGGTTTCCCCCCTGTGTGAGTCCGTTGATGTAGTCTAAGTCTTCCACTATCTCTAAAGCTCTTTCCACACTCCATACATTTATATGGTTTCTCCCCTGTGTGAGTCCGTTGATGGGATCTAAGGTGCCCATTCTGACTGAAGTCCTTTCCACACTCCATACATTTAAATGGTTTCTCCCCTGTGTGAGTCCGTTGATGTTTACTAAGACTTCCACTATCACTAAAGCTCTTTCCACACTCGATACATTTATATGGTTTCTCCCCTGTGTGAGTCCGTTGATGTTGTCTAAGGCTTCCACTAACATTAAAGTTCTTTCCACACTCCATACATTCATATGGTTTCTCCTCTGTGTGAGTCCGTTTGTGCAATTTAAGGTGTCCATTCAGACTGAATATCTTTCCACACTCGATACATTTATATGGTTTCTCCCCTGTATGAGTCCGTTGATGTCTTCTAAGGTGTCCACTGTCACTGAAGCCCTTTCCACATTCCATGCATTTATATGGCTTCTCCCCTGTGTGAGTCCGTTTGTGCAATTGAAGGTTTCCACTCTGACTGAAGTTCTTCCCACACTCCCTGCACTTAAAACGCTTTCTCTCTGTGTGAGTCCGCTGGTGTGTTCTAAGTTTTGCATTGAAACAGAAGCTCTTTCCGCACTCCATACCTTTAAATGGGTTCTTTCCTTTTGTGTTCATTGATGTGAACTATGTGTGCTCATTCAGTGAAGCATATTCCACATTTCACACATTTTAATGGCTATTCCTAATGAAACGAAAGGTGCCCTGTCCCCTGCAATTCTGTCTTCTCCATCACCTTTTTCAGAGTGGGCAGAAAGGAAATCCTGTTTGGGTTTTAAGAAAGAGAACACAGAAAAAAAGGACACATCAACCGCCATTAGCACCTTCTCTTATTTCAACATCTCCTACATTCTCCCATGTCCTACCCATGTTCCCAATTTTTAGGAAATGAAAATGGTATGATGTCTAATGATAGTAATGCATCAGCAACCTTTCATAATCCTCAATCATCTTTAATAACACAGCATGACCTTGGAATACTGTTGTCCTGTGGGACTGCCTTTCAAATCAAGTGGTTGCCCCCGTTTCCACCTCTAGATCTTCATGAATCACCTGCACAGTCCCACTGACCTCAGGAGGTCCATATGGACTATTTTGGGAGACCCAGGCCTTCATCTCTTCCAGGGACTGTGGTCTGGGTCAGTAAGAGAACTAGTGACAAGGCTTGGTGCTTGGGGTCAGCTCAATGGGTGCTCAGGGAAACTCCTGTTCTGGGAGATGGACCTCTGTCTACATGCCTCACATTGCATGGAGAGAGCAGGAGAAGCAGAAGGAAAGCAGCTGGCAAATGGGAAACACTCCATCCCAATGGTTCTTTATAATGATGATGTTCTTCCTGATCCTCTGCTTGTCTTCTGACACAGGACTATCCTAATCTGGCACTGAAAAGCAGGATATTCAAGGAAAGGAGATAACTGTACTTAATGGTGTGACACAGGTGAAATAAAAAAGTAAAAAATAGTCCAGTAGCACCTTAGGGACCAACTAAGTTTGTTCTAGGTATAAGCTTTCGTGTGCATGCATACTTCTTCATATAGTGAAGGGTAGTAGGAGATGGTAGTGGGAGTACCCTTCTGAGAAAAACCCCACCCCACCCTCCCACGATATACAAGGGTCTGGTGACATCTGTTTCAGTGTATCTGAAGAAGTGTGCATGCACACGAAAGCTTAAATCTAGAACAATCATAGCTAGTACCTAAGGTGCTACGGGACTATTTTTTACTTTTTTACCTCAACTCCGTCAGACCAACACGGCTACCTACCTGAATCTAGATGTCATGGGGTGTTGGGGAGCAGTAGTTCCTTTGGTGGGAGACATGTCCTGCACCTTCTGGGGTCATTTTTCCACCCTGGGTCCCCACCCTGCACTCAGCTCTCACCTGTGGCTTCCAGAAGCTGTCAGCATGCAACAGGGGTTCAAGCAACGGCTTCAACCGGCCGGCTAAACCAGGTGAGGAAAGCTGATGGGTCTCAAATCCTTGGGGGGCTGGGGAATTCTGCTGCACCTGAAGTCAAGCCCTGGTGGATGGAGAGGAGGAGAACAACCGTGAATCCCACAGTCCAGAAGGCAGATTCTGCTCGTGCGGAAGAGGAAAGTGAAGGGCAGATGGGGCATGTCCACCTGGAGGCTTGTTATCTAGTCCCAGGGTTACTCTGACATTGAATTATATATGAATTACAGTATTGAAATGCGCCTGCTCCCACTTCATATTCTGCTATTACTCTACTCTGCTTGGCTGTTGCTTACTTGAGTGCTGTTTTGTCCCCTGCCTTGGCCCTGTGGAACTGAAGGAGCATCTTCACGCCCATCGCTCAGTCAGGACAGGGAGGTCCGCCTCCGAGGGTCTTCTGCTGGTTCCCTTGCTGTTAGAAGTGAAGTTTCAGAGAACCAGGCAGAGGGCCTCCTGCCCCATGGAATGCCCTCCCTTCTGAGGGCAAGGAAGTAGGCAACCATCTGACATTTAGAAGACAGCTGTATCAGGAGGTTTTTAACGTTTGATGTTTTACTGTCTTGTATATGTACTGTACTGTCGGGAAGGTAAACAGCGTTTCCGTTCCCTGCTCTGGCTCACCAGAAGCGACTTAGTCATGCTGGGCACATGACCCGGAAGCTGTACACCGGCTCCCTCGGCCAATAAAGCGAGATGAGCGCCGTAACCCCAGAGTCTGCCACAACTGGACCTAGGGGTCAGGGGTCCCTATACCTTTACCTATATGTACTGTAAGCTGCCCAGAGTGGCTGGGGGAAAAGACGAATACTATAACTTCTACAGTGGGACCTCGTGTTACAGACGCTTCAGGTTACAGTCTCTGCTAACCCAGAAATAGTACCTTTTGTTAAGAACTTTGCTTCAGGATGAGAACAGAAATCGCAGGAGGCCCCATTAGCTAAAGTGGTGTTTCAGGTTAAGAACAGTTTCAGGTTAAGAACGGACCTGCAGAACAAATTCAGTTCTTAACCCAAGGTACCACTGTACTATTATTATTATTATCATGTGATTTTTTTTGTAGTTAATTTGGAATTCGTACTGCAATATCAGCTCATGAAATGTTATGGGTGGAGAAAATCACAGGGTTGCCGTAAACTATAATCCCACCCACAAACTCTCATTCACATACAGTCTGTAAATTTGGGAATGACACACACCTCACCTTTGCTAATACTGGCAGTCTTTGGCCTGCACAGGCACACCCGGTGTGTAGAGCCTCCAGTCACAGGCACTGTCTATCATGAAAATGGGTCCTTTGACTGGGAAGATTCATGTAGTCGTTGTCGTCGGATGCTGAAGGATTGTATCTCAGCTTGTCAGTCACTCTGACATTGCCTACAAAGAATAAGAGGAACAGAAATGCTTTTGAGGTGCAACTTCTGTATCAATCCTGAGAGCCATTCCATGGACTCTGCACCCCTGTTTCTGATGACAGGTGTACATTATCCTCATCCTCAGTGGAAAAGACAATAAAGATGGAAGCCTGAGAGAGAGGAAAAGGTTTCTGGCTGCTTCCTGGGTGGGACTGCGGAAACCAAGAGCCGCTTCAGAGAAGGCCTCCCCCCTCCCCTCTTCCTCTAGGGATTTCCTCTCCTCTTCAGGGGACCAATGGTTGGACTGGGCAGAAGCGCTGCATCTGGACAGGGCTGGGGCTTATGGGGTGGGAAGAGAATGGAGGTTGCAGGAAGGAAGAGGTGGGGGGACAGGACCCCCACTTTCCAGGGATCCCTCTCTGGTCGCCTTGAAGGGCGGGGGGTCGATACCTGGGCGGGAGGGAGAAGCCAAGGCGGCCCCGCCAGCTCTCTCCCTCCCCCCCCCCCCACTGCCTCGCTTCCTTGCCCCGGGGGTGCCCCCTCCTCCCCCCGCCCTTGCCCCCCTCGCATCCCCCCCACTGCCCGCAGACGCCCCCTTGGCTCACCCCTTGCCATCTCTCCGTCCCTAATGCCCCCCAAGATGAGCCGGGGAGGGACAGGGGAGTCTCTATCCAGGCGCCTCCCGCACTCCTTAACTCTTTCCTGGCCCGCTTCTATCCGCGCCCCAGGGATGCCTGCGCGGGGGAAAGGGGGCCAGGGGGTCCTCGTCCGCCCCTTCGCAGCAGGCATGCCGGGATCCAGGCCCCACGGAAGGCGCTTGGGGAAGCTGGCGGGGGTCTCTGGGTCCTTTTCTCCCCCCTCCCCCCCGGGACCCCTTTACCTCTTTCTCCTCGCTCCCGATTCTCCTTTCCTGCAACATCCTAGCGCCCCCCCTAGAGCTGTGGGGAAGAGCAGCAATCCGGAGAGGAAGCTCCACTTCCGGGAGAAGCAGGCAGGTTGGGAGGGGGCTCACCCCCCCTCAGTTCCGGAGCAGAAGCCGGATTAGAGGAGGAGGAGGAGGACGTTTGGGGGCCGCATCTGGGGTTGTGGGGGCGGGGTGAGAGGAGGAGGTGCCGGGAGGGGAGGGAAAGAATTGAAGGGGGGGAGAGGAAGAGGAAGGTTTGCCACTCCCCTTTTCCTTTAGTGGATCAGGAGAGCGGCGGAGGGGCTGATCCCGGAGATCCGGCTGCAAAGTGGGGTCCCCCCCCCACAAGTTCAACATCCTCCCCTCCCCCACCCCACGAGCTTAGATCCCTCCGTGTTTTAGGTCTTGGTGCTGTTCAAACCAGGAATGGAGGGGGGCAGCTAAACGACTCCCCCCAAATCCCAGCTCCCCACCCCAGCCTCTGACTAAGGCCAGGACAATGACCGTGGACACAGGCACCGTCCATGCACAACAGCCAAGAGGCTCAGCAAAGCAGCCGATACAATTGGAGCCAGAAGCGGATTCCAAAATCTGAGGGATCCCTTGGACCAGAAACAAGGAGACCAGCCAGGAAGAGCAGAGCAAAAGAGCAGCCAGTCGGCTTGGTCTTGATTGAAGACTGTCGCGACAGGACTCCCAGCTGCCACCAGGTGGAACAAGATGGAAGCCCCCAACAAAAGAAGACCCCAACTTTTATTAGCTCCGAATCCCCCATGCTACACCCCCAAGACTACATCATGACTACATCATGATTACATCATTGACACATCACAAAGAGGAGGGGTTCAGGGAGAAGAAGAAGAAGAGTTTGGATTTGATATCCCACTTTATCACTACCCAAAGGAGTCTCAAAGCAGCCAACTTTCTCCTTTCCCTTCCTCTCCCACAACAAACACTCTGTGAGGTGAGTGGGGCTGAGAGACCTCAGAGACGTGTGACTTCTCTGAAGGAGGAGGAGTTGTGGTGGTAACCTGAGGGTCTTGTCACCTGTCTGGTTCCTCCTTTCCCCTCCCCGTGATTACATTCCTGAGGGCAAAGGGGAGTTCACTGTTTCCTGCCCCAGAGGGAAGGGCTGGTCAGTGTCCTGTGTTTCAGTCCGTACTGAATCCACTTCCATATGCAGGTGCTTTGTGAATGGAATGATCTTCTGTCTAGGACCATCAAGGTTGGCATGCCAACTGGGTGGGGCTCACTGCGGACGTGTTGGCTGCCTTGTGTCAAGTCTCCCCCCTTTGATAGTCCTTCCCTCATGGTGCAAATTAAAAGTCGAACGGTGCAGATCCGATGTACGGCTGATTTTCTATGAATTTATAACAGAAGTGTTGCCTATGTCGTGTGTGAGTGTCGTGTTTGTACAAACTGAATGATTGCAACATATGAATCCCAATCCCAAAGAAGGGCAGTGCCAAAGAATGCTCCACCTACCGTACAATTGCACTCATTTCACACGCTAGCAAGGTTATGCTTAAAATGCTAGAAGGAAGGCTCAAGCAGTATGTGGACTGAGAACTCCCAGAAGTGCAAGCTGGATTTAGAAGAGGCAGAGGAACCAGAGACCAAATTGCAAACATGTGCTGGATTATGGAGAAAGCTAGAGAGTTCCAGAAAGACATCTACTTCTGCTTCATTTAGTATGCAAAAGCCTTTGACTGTGTGGACCACAGCAAACTATGGCAAGTTCTTAAAGAAATGGGAGTGCCTGATCACCTCATCTGTCTCCTAAGAAATCTCTTTGTGGGACAAGAAGCTCCAGTTAGAACTGGACATGGAACAACTGATTGGTTCAAAATTGGGAAAGGAGGACGACAATACTGTCTTCCTGCTTATTTAACATAAATGCAGAATTCATCATGCAAAAGGCTGGGCTGGATGAATCATGTAATAAAAAATTTAAGGTCTTGTATATATAATAAATGTTCATAAATGTACCAACCAGACTACCAGGAAAGGGAATCAGATAAGGCATTATCAGATAACCTGGCAGACAGGAAAAATGACAACATTCAAATTTCTGTTGCAGACCACCTTTTCTGTGATGCAGGTATGATATTTGTGGGGGGTGGTCTGGGGTTACACCCCTTCTGTGATGTATGGAGGGGTCTGGAGCTCCAGGGCTTGAGCTCCCATTCAATTTCAGTATTTCAAGTTTTCTTCAGAACGCGCAGGGCAGGAGGCAGCGATGAAGTTCTGGTGAAGAAGCCGTGCTGGGAGATCATGCAGGGGTGTGTGTGTGTGTGACAGAGTTTGGTGCAAAAACCAAAGGTACTTTCATCTAAAATTATACTCACTATTGTGAGATGTTCCCTTCATTATTTCATTATTATACAGTTTTACATATAAACACCAGAACTTCACATATGCCTCATGCTTTTAAAGTGCCCTTTCCCTGCGCCCTTTCCCTTTCCCTGGGTAGACCGGAGGAGCTAGTAGCATATTTTATGAATGAACAGACTATTTGCCTACGGCGGTGTCCTGACCAATCAGCCTGCACCGAGCGCAGCCTCCAGCCAATCAAGACAATGCATTTGGTCTGCAGTGTCAGCTCTTGCAGGCCTCCTTTACCTTCTGACAAGCTGTTGACAGCTCCCTGCTCTGAGAAGAATGAACTGACACCTTGTATCCTTGCTAATCCCGTCAAAATTGATATTGTATCAATTCGTTTCCAAAATGAGCTGCCTCTGTTTTAAAGGGCTAAAAAAATATAAAAATTCATAGAAAATCACCTGTACCACCGATTCTCTTGCTTTCAATACCAAACTGCTCAATTTCCTCAGGACTTCAAGACTGCCCAGTACCTTCCATAATCCCTCAAGTGGGAGGTCACGGTCACGTACACCCAGGAAAGACCTCATTGATGCCAAATCACCCAGTCTAGCCCTTCCTCCAGGCTCGGCCGGGTGACAGACTATGCAAACTAAGACCCCATTGTTCTCTTACCACCGGTACTCAGAAAGTGCCTTTCATTTTTTTTAAATTATATTTTATTAATTTTCCATACATTCATACCACATTACAATTTCTAATAAATTTTCCGTTTTTGACTTCCCTCGGCTTCTCTGCCAATCATCCAAATTCTAACTTCTTCAGTTACACATTTCCAAATTTTGCTATTGCCTTTATACCTACCCCCCACTTCTATTTTGCCTTTTTACAATATTTCTTATGCTGTTACAGAGCTTCTCTAAATGCCACTAGCGTTATTTCATCAGAACGTGCCTTTCAATACATGTTCCAACTCTGCATGTTTCCCCCTCCCTCCTCCATATGTTAATCCTGTATAACCCACCCCTGTTCTGATGCAATCGTGATGTAGTGATGATGTAGCTGTGAGGGATGTGTTTGCTGCCAAGCTAGTTTAGAGAGAACATTCCAGGCACCAAGCCACTTCTGTCCGGTAGATTTATTACTGCAAATTCCAAGCCAACACCGGAGCTCCAAACAACGCGTCCGTGTTGCTTACTCAGTTGACGCTTCTGAATCTTCGTGACGTTTTCTAGACCAGCATGCCCAGCGAGACAGGGAACGCCTCTTATTTCCTCTCCTCTGAAAGTAGCTAGTTCCTGGAACAGACTGGCCACTCCCTAATTCAGTCTCCGATTCGGAAGACAAGCTGGAAAAGGGCTGTTTAGGCACTCGGTAAGTGCTTCCATGCCCCCACCTTCTCTGGCTGCCTCCCTTTCCCTGAAAGTAGTGATGATGCTTTTGAACTGTATCTTGGGTAATGGTGGGAAGTTTTAAAAGTTCATGTCACCCCATCCTTGGGGGTCAATCTCGCCTTGAACCTGTTGTGCAATAAATGTGGATCTTCTCCAACTTGCTCCGGTCTCTGGCTGCGCTCCTTTTGTTCTGCAGGGACCCGCGGACTCAGTCCGACGAACTGGATGGCAGAGCAGCCTCGTACCTAGATTTTCCATAACAATGTCTTATATATATAATAAATGTTCATAAATGTACCAACCAAGCACATACATAGATATGTGGACCACATGTCTGGAGCAGCACAGGAAGACCGTCCTGAAATCATTTTGACTCCCAAACTGACCAAATGTTTTCTCTGCAAGGAGGGAGGGGGTGAGGGAACCTTCCCATTGTCTCAGGAATTGGGTAATCACCATCTCAAAGGAATGGCCAGACTACCAGGAGAGGGAATCAGATAAGGCATTATCAGATAACCTGGCAGACAGGAAAAACAACAACATTCACATTTCTGTTGCAGACCGCCTTTTCTGTGATGTAGGTATGATGTTTGTGGGGGGTGGTCTGGGGTTACACCCCTTCTGTGATGTATTTATGATGTATGGAGGGGTGGTCTGGAGCTCCAGGGCAAAGAATTTAAAATGTCTACATAAGGGCAGGCACGCCTTGGTTGGGGGTCCTCCTCAGGGGAGCACCCTGTTGCAACAGATAAATAAAAATCAGGCTTACTAGCTGCTTTGCTTCTCAATAGTCTCTGGTTGCCTCTGCTCTTTTATCCTACCAATGCAGAACCTACAAGGGACTCTATAAAGGGCTCTTGTGTCCCCCATAAGGGAAGAAGGGCAGCTTTTGTTTACAAAGGATGGCACCCCAGATGGGACCTTCGGTTGGCTGGATTCTGGGGGCAAGGAAGGACTGATGATGCAGCGCGCACCAGGCCATTTGCCAGGAGGAGCCACCAGTCCTCTAGTGACCCCAGGGTCTGGAAAGAACTGGAGTTCCAGCGGGGCTAACCAGAGGAAGCAACGCTTGATCAGGCCGGCCACAAATTGATTTATTTTTAAAAATAATCATTATTGATTTAAATTACACACATATACAAAGAATTTGGAATCTCATATTGCAAAAAAGAAAATTAAGAAAAAATTAAGAAAAAAGGAAAGAAGAAAATACAGAAAAACAAAGAAGAAAAAGGAGATTTATGTGCATAAAAAAACTTAATCTTCCTAATTAAATAAAAAAGACTTCTGACAAAAGGAGTCTTCCAATCATTCTCATTGTACTGTTTATACTGCCGTTGTTGGTTTTTTCCACAGTTTTATATTCTTTAATATTGTTCCCGTCTACTCCACAAACAGTATTTCTTGTGTTTACAAGTATCACTCAAGTTCTGCTAATATGGTGTGGTTGGTACAATATGTTCTTTTATACTCCTTAAATATTCTCCCTTCTCCAAATAATTTCTGGTTCAATACCCCTCTAACTCTTCCCATCAGTTTTGCTAGTTGTAAATATTCTAACATGGGTATATGGCTTCTCTTGGTGATGTCCACAAGGGTATTTTTGGCTCAAGTAGTCCTTTATTTATTCCAGATTTTATATCACGATTTTCTTATCACATGGCTCAAATATCCCCTGTGGACCTTCACTTTTCCATATATTAAAGAAGCGTGCCATCCAGACCGATTCTCGTGGCCTTCCAAGTCTAATAGGTCCGTATCTTTTAGTGTAATCCAGTCTTTTATCCAAACAAATCCTGCCGCCGCATGGTAGAATTCCAAATCTGGCAATGCAAAACCTCCTCTCTCCTTTTGATCTGTTAATAACTGGTGTTTAATTCTCGGTTTCTTTGCACTCCATATAAATCTAGATATTTCCCTTTTCCACTCCTTAAAACAATTCATTTCTCCTAAAATGAGCATTGTTTGGAAAAAAAAATCATTCTGGGGAGGATATTCATTTTCAGAACGGAGACTCTTCCCCAGAGTGAGAGATGGAGTTTGGTCCAGGTTTCCATATTTTTTAAAATTTCTTTCCATACTTTACTAGAATTATCCTAAGATAAATTTAAACTTTTTTTGAAATCCAGATCCCTAGGTATCTAACCTTATTTTTAGTTTCCAGACCTGTTTTTTCTTGAAGTTCTTTTTTTTTCTTCCATTGTGCGGCTTTTTGTCAGTAATTACTTTTTTGGTAGTTTATTTTCAGCCCCAGGCCGGCCATAAATTAATCTAGCAAAAGACCCTGGGATGGCCAGGAGCAGCGCATGCGGATGTGAGTCTAGGAATGGAGAAGATTGTGGGCGGGATTCTCTGAAACACCCAGCAACCCAGATTCTCATCCTTGGCAGTCTCTTTTGCTTACGGTCTTCACTCCCAGCCTTCCTGGCAAGAGGTAGCGAGGAGGAGGAGGGGAGAACGGGAGAATTGGGGTTCTGCAATTAGAGAGGCAATTAACTGCAAGGGGAGAACGCCAATCAAAGCTCTCATTCCCTGTCGGGGAACCTGAGATCTGAAACTTTTCATTTTTCCCAAGGAAGACGCCCCAAGGCTGGTCCAAGTGGCCACTTTGGATAGCAAGGGACTTCGGCTCGGTTTCCAATTTCTCTTTTTCTCATAAATGCAGCTGCACCGGCAGCACCAAGATCCAGAAGGAAGTGACTGGTGCGCGTCAGAGCGCAAGGGCGTTTACAGTTCCTTTCCTTTCTCTCTGGAGCAGCTGGATTTGGCACTGGGCTGCCAGGCGTCCAATGGAAAGGGATTCTTTTCCATTGCATGTAAGAGGCAGAAAAGGTTGGTGGGACCCCATGGGAAAAAGAGGGAGAAGGACTTTGTAGAGTCCTTCGTAGAGAAGACAAATGACTGTCAGGACAAGAAAGACCTGGGAAAAGGCTAGCGGGTTTTTGTTTTGGTTATGGCTTTGCTTGAAAAATGGGATCCCCACATTCTAAGAGTTCTAACCGCCAGACTCAAAGGCATGTGCTGGTCGCAGCAGGAGGGGGAGTTTCCCTGGATGCTTCAGCAGCCGGCCTCCTCTGGGTCTCCTGGCCCCCTCCTCTCCTCCCTCTGAGCCTGAACTGCTCTCTGCCCCAGACTCTTCCTGTTCACCAAACCCTGTTTCCTCCTCAGCTTGCAACATCTCCCCTTCCGGTCTGCTCCATTTTCTCCTTCTTTCTGCTCATTGCCATCCCACCACCAGTCCCCAGGATCTGAGCCTTCTTCCCTTGTGGGTCCCCCAGCTGGTGCCTCCCCCCTCCACCAGCCAGTCCATGACAACAACAGCAGCCATAGCACTGTGGTCCTCTGGTAGGAAAACTCCTGAGAAGCATGATTGAAGCAAAACTTCTGGGACCATCTTCCTCAAACCCCAGAATGAGCAGGAGCTCTGGGGTTGCCCCATGGGGTTCATGAGTGAAGGTGGGCCCCCCAGGAGACTTTTCTGGTACCTGCAGCCCCTCCTTCCCCCTCTTGAAATTAGGCTGGGGGGGAAATCTCCCATTCAATTTCAGTATTTCAAGTTTTCTTCAGAACGCGCAGGAGGCAGCGATGAAGTTGGGGTGAAGAAGCAGTGCTTGGAGATCATGTGATGGGGGGGACAGAGTTTGGTGCAAAAACTAAAGGTACTTTCATCTAAAATTATACTCACCATTGTGAGATGTTGCCCTATTTCATTATTATACAGTTTTACATATAAACACCCGAACTTCACATATACCTCATGCTTTTAGGAATGATTTCCTGCTGAGTTTATTGCTCAGAGTGGACTCTGAGAGGAAGACGTCCCACACTCCATACTTCTAAATGGGTTCTCCCATGTGAGAGTCCCTGGATGTTCCTTAAATAAAGGTAAAGGTAAAGGGACCCCTGACCATTAGGTCCAGTAGTGGCCGACTCTGGGGTTACGGTGCTCATCTCGCTTTATTGGCCGAGGGAGCCGGCATACAGCTTCCGGGTCATGTGGCCAGCATGACTAAGCCGCTTCTGGCGAACCAGAGCAGCGCACGGAAACGCTGTTCACCTTCCCGCCGGAGCGGTACCTATTTATCTACTTGCACTTTGACATGCTTTCGAACTGCTAGGTTGGCAGGAGCAGGGACCAAGCAACGGGAGCTCACCCTGTCGCGGGGATTTGAACCGCCAACCTTCTGATTGGCAAGTCCTAGGCTCTGTGGTTTAACCCACAGCGCCACCCGCGTCCCTGTTCCTTAAATACTCCGTTATAAATAAAGCACTTTTTGCAGTCTTTTCATTTAAACTGCTTCTCCTCTCTGAGTTTGTTGATGGTTTGAAGGGTTTCAACTCTTAAACTTCTTCCTGTCCATGAGTCTGTTGATTTTGACTCTGACAGAAGCTCTTTCCACACTCCATGGATTTAAATGGTTTCTCCCCTGTGTGAATCCGTTGATGGGATCTAAGGCTTCTGCTATCACTAAAGCCCTTTCCACACTCGATACATTTAAATGGTTTCTCCCCTGTGTGAGTCCGTTGATGTTTCCTAAGGCTTCCATTTTCACTAAAGCCCTTTCCACACTAGATACATTGAAATGGTTTCTCCCCTGTGTGAGTCCGTTGATGGTTTCTAAGGCTTCCATTTTCACTAAAGCTCTTTCCACACTCTATACATTGAAATGGTTTCTCCCCTGTGTGAGTCCGTTGATGGGATCTAAGGTGTCCATTCTGACTGAAGCTCTTTCCACGCTCCATGCATTTAAATGGTTTCTCCCCCGTGTGAGTCCGTTGATGGGATCTAAGGTGTCCATTCTGACTGAAGCTCTTTCCACACTCCATACATTTAAATGGTTTCTCCCCTGTGTGAGTCCGTTGATGTTTACTAAGACTTCCACTATCACTAAAGCTCTTTCCACACTCGATACATTTATATGGTTTCTCCCCTGTGTGAGTCCGTTGATGTTGTCTAAGGCTTCCACTATCACTAAAGCTCTTTCCACACTCGATACATTTATATGGTTTCTCCCCTGTGTGAGTCCGTTTGTGCAATTTAAGGTTTCCACTCTGACTGAAGTTCTTCCCACACTCAATACATTTATATGGTTTCTCTCCTGTGTGAGTCCGTTGATGTCTTCTAAGGTGCCCACTGTCACTGAAGCCCTTTCCACATTCCATGCATTTATATGGCTTCTCCCCTGTCTGAGTCCGTTTGTGCAATTTAAGGTTTCCACTCTGACTGAAGTTCTTCCCACACTCCCTGTACTTAAAATGTTTTCTCTCTCTGTGAGTCCGCTGGTGTGTTCTAAGTTTTGCATTGAAACAGAAGCTCTTTCCGCACTCCATACCTTTTAAATGGGTTCTTTCCTTTTTGTGTTCGTTGATGTGAACTATGTGTGCTCATTCAGTGAAGCATATTCCACATTTCACACATTGTAATGGCTATTCCTAATGAAACGAAAGTGGTCCTGTCCCCTGCAATTCTGTCTTCTCCTTCCCTTTTTCAGAGTGTACAGAAAGGAAATCCTGTTTGGGTTTCAGCAAAGAGATAACAGAGGGAAAAGGGCACATCAAACGCCATTACCACCTTCGCTTATTTCAACATCTCCTACATTCTTCCATGTCCTACCCATGTTCCCAATTTTTAGGAAATGAAAATGTTATTTTGTCAAATGGTAGTAATGCATCAGCAACCTTTCATAATCCTCAATCATCTTTAATAACACAGCATGATCTCTGAGACTGAACTATATATAAATTACAGTATTGAAATGCGCCTGCTCCCACTTCCTATTCTGATATTACTGTACTCTGCTTGTCTGTTTCTTACTTGAGTGCTGTTTTGGAATGCTAAGTCAGAGTTTTACTGTGAGTTACATTTTTGCTATTTTTTGGATCCTGTTATGCTTATCTGTCTTCAGTAATAAATTTATCAGCTGAATTATTTTTTTTCTGGCTCTGAGTGTTTTTTCCTACTCTGCTAACTATACATCGATCATTATGGAGGAGCAAGATCTGCAACCCAAAGCCCTCAACAGCCTCGGCCCTGTGGACCTGAAGGAGCATCTTCACCCCCATCGCTCAGTCCGAACCGGGAGGTCCGCCTCTGAGGGTCTTCTGCTGGTTCCCTTGCTGTTAGAAGTGAAGTTCCAGGGAACCAGGAACTTCCAGGGAACCAGGCAGTCTGTAAATTTGGGAATGACACACACCTCACCTTTGCTAATACTGGCAGTCTTTGGCCTGCACAGGCACACCCGGTGTGTAGAGCCTCCAGCCACAGGCACTGTCTATCAGCAAAATGGGTCCTTTGACTGGGAAGATTCATGTAGTCGTTGTCGTCGGATGCTGAAGGATCGCATCTCAGCTTGTCAGCACTCTGACATTGCCTACAAAGAATAAGAGGAACAGAAATGCTTTTGAGGTGCAACTTCTATATCAATCCTGAGAGCCATTCCATGGACTCTGCACCCCTGTTTCTGATGACAGGTGTACATTATCCTCATCCTCAGTGGAAAAGACAATAAAGATGGAAGCCTGAGAGAGAGGAAAAGGTTTCTGGCTGCTTCCTGGGTGGGATCGCGGAAACAAAGAGCCGCTTCTGAGAAGGCCTCTCCCCTCCTCTCTTCCTCTAGGGATTTCCTCTCCTCTCTGGGGGAACAATTGTTTGACTCGGCAGAATTGCTGCGTCTGGACACGGCAGGGACTTATGGGGTGGGAAGAGGATGGAGCTTGCAGGAAGGAAGGGTGGAGGGACAGGACCCCCACTTTCCAGGGATCCCTCTCTGGTCGCCTTGAGGGGGGGGGCATTCCTGGCAGGAGGGAGAAGCCAAGGCGGCACCTCCGGAGATTCATCGTGGGCGTCATGATGGAGACGCCCCCCCCCAGGACGGGTCTTCCTCTCCCCCCCCATTGCTGCGCTTCCCTGACTCGGGGATGCCCCCTCCCTTCTCCCCCCACTTCCATGACCCCCTCTCTTTCTCCCGGCGTCTCCCCTGCACCCAGACACCTCCTTGTCCCGGCTCACCCCTCGCCAGGCGCCCCCATCTCTCCGTCCGGAGGGGCCCCCCAAGACGAGCAAGGGAGGGACAGGGGGTCTCTAGCCAGGCGCCTCCCGCACCCCTTAACCCTTTCTGGCCCGCTTCTCCGCGCCCCACGGAGTCCTCGTGGGTGGGCGCCCCATCTCCGCCCCTTCGCAGCAGGCGTGCCGGGATCCAGGCCCCACCGAAGGCGTTTGGGGGAGCTGGAGGGGTCTCTGGGTCCTCTTCTCCCCTCTCCTTCTCCCCCCCCCCCGCGACCCCTTTACCTCTTTCTCCTCGCTCCCGATCCTCCCTTCCTTTCCTGCAGCATCCACGTGGGTGGGTGGGGGAATTTACCTGCCGCCCCTCCTCCCCTTTCCGAAAGCGAGCGGCCCTAGAGCTACGGGGCAGAGCAGCAATCCGGAGTGGAAGCGCCACTTGCGGGAGAAGCAGGCAGGTTGGGAGGGGGGCTCCCCCCCTCATTTCCGGAGCGAAGCTGGATTGGAGGAGGAGGAGGAGCAATGTGTTGGGGGCGGGATCTGGGATTGTGTGGGCGGGATGAGAGAAGGATGTGCCGGGAGGGGAGGGAAAGTGTTGAGCGGGTGGGGGGGAAGGAGGAGAGGAAATCCCCCCCCCCGGTCTTACTTCTGGGATCAGGAGAGCGGGGGAGGGGCTGATCCCGACAATCCAACAGCGAAGTCACAAAATGAGTTCTGCATGGAAATCAGATCAGACTCCGAGTTCATGTTTTGGCAAAAGTCTGTCCGTCGGGATGCCTGACGATTCCTGCTCCCTGCCTTTTCCTGGCCAGCCTGAGAGATCACTGGAAAGGGAGGATTTCTTGACTCCAGAATCCATCATCGCAGACCCGTTTCATTCAGGCATAGAGATCTGTTCTTTGGACCAGTCTGCTTGGATCATGGGGATCACCAATGGATCATATAGATCATCAATGGATCATCCATGATGTCATACCCATCTCACGTGGCGGGGGGGTGCCCTCAGGAAGAATCTCCCGCCACGTGACTGGGGTCAGACAGGGCTGCTGTTTTGCTCTCCGTACTATTTCAGCTCAGGTTTTACTGGCAGAAGTTACATTTCATCAAGAAATGGGTGGATTCATTGAGGAAACGGGACTAAGCGAAAACATCCGTTGAAAAGAGGCAAATGTGTATACTTTGTTACCACCCAGTGAGTTGTGTCGCAAAGGCCATTTGAAGAAAGGCTCCTATTGTATCACCTGCGGCTACATGCCGGAGTTTTGGTGTTTTGTGGAAATGTGTCTGTGTAAATGCACTTATCCCCGTGCATGTATAATGGCATAACATTAAATCCCATGAGATCCACAAGCACCAAAACCATAAGCCCATATAGGAGTCCAAAAGCACAGAACGAAGCAGCCCTTTATCTCTGTGTTGTTGGCTATTAAAAGCTGGATGTCCAACAAGAACAACATGTGGAACTAGAACAAGAACAAGAACAAGAACTAAAGAACAAGAACATTGTCTCTGGGCAGCTTCCCAAAGAATAGAAGAAAACATGACCCAACATGAAATATTAAAAGCTTCCCGATACGGAGCTGCTTTCAGGCGTCTGTGGAGGTTTATTTCCTTGACATCTGGTGGGAGGGCGTTCCACAGGGCAGCCACGACAACCGAGAAGGCCCTCTGTAACCTCACTTCTCACAATGAGGGACCTGCCAGAAGACCCTCGGAGCTGGACCTCGGTGTCCGGGCTGAGCGATGGACGTGGAGACGCTCCTTCCCTTCTACTGGGCTGAGACCATTTGGGGCTTTCAAGGTCAGCACCAACACTTTGAATGGTGCTCGGACCGGGAGCCAGTGAAGATTTCTTAGGACCCGTGTTCAGGGGCCAGCTGTTAGGGGGCCGTTCAGCTGCTGTCCAAAACTGAATGTATCCCTTGCCGGAAGAAATCCATAAACCTCTCCTACTCCGTCTTCTCGGGATGCCATTGGTGCGCGATGCTCCAGCTCTCGAGAGAGGGAGAGGCGTGAGTTGGGTTGCCAAGGGTTAAGCGAAAACGAGCTAGATTCCTAGACAGGAAAGTAAGGGGGGGCAGGGTCCTTCAGAGCGAAAGCCCAATCCCCCCCTTCCCTGCAAGAAGTCGGGCGTGTGGGGGTCCCCTTGGTTCGGCTCTGCAGAGGCTGCCTGGGGGCGCCTGCTGGGATCCGGTGAGTCTCCTCTCTCCCAGCATAGGGCCCATGGGGAGAGCGGGGGTCCCAGCGCTGCCTGGCGAGAGGGGGGCACGTCAGGGCGCGGAGGGTCGCAGGAGGGCGGCAGCTCTGCTCTTCCTTTGCATGGATGCGCTGCTGGCCCCTTGGATCCAGGAGCAGGGAAATGCATGCAGAGAAACCCCATTCAGATGTATGGATCAGTCCCCTTGTAACATCCGGACATGAAATATACCTGGTCCCTAAAATCTCACCTATGGAAGGAAGGAGGAAAGAGGGCAGAGAAGAGAAAGCAGAGTAAAACCTGTGGAACTCCCTCCCACAAGAGGCAGAGGGCACCAGTGGTTGCAGGACTTGATGTACAGGTTGGGGGGGTTGCCCCTCCATCAGATATCATGCACATGCAGCCCACTACCAAAATCAGCACAATCCCTTTTCTGACTTTTGTGATTTGTCCCCACACGCAAAACACTTAATCACAGTTTCTTCCTATCTATTCAAAGGGCCTCTGCTGCACAATACCAAATGTATGAATTCACTGATAAATGTCTCTATGTACTGACTCACTGGGGTAACTTCAGAAATTGCTATAGACATGTGAGCTCAGCTACTCAGCAGCCCCTCTGCCTGAGTGATAATCCCTGGCCTCCTGATACCTGAGTGCTAGACAGGTAGCCATTCCAGAAATACCAAACCCAGATGAAGACAAAAGGGTGTGATTAACTTGGCTGTGATTAACTTGGCTGGGAAAAGTAAATATATCTTTTGTTTCACTTGATGGGTGTTTGGTGGAGGGCAGGGGGAACCATGGGGCAGGGTCCAGGATGCTCAGATTACTGCCACCAGACCTCCCCTTTCATGATGTAACCATGATGATTAGTGATGAGTGATGTAGTTGGGGGGGGGGGCGTAACATGGGGAATAAAGATAAAGGGTAAAGGGACCCCTGACCGTTAGGTCCACTTGCAGACGACTTTGGGGTTGCAGCGCTCAATCTCACTTTATTGGCAGCTGACATTTGTCTGCAGACAGTTTCCGGGTCATGTGGCCAGCATGAGTAAGCCACTTCTGGTGAACCATTTACCTTCTCGCCACAGCAGTACCTATTTATCTGTTTGCACTTGACATGCTTTCAAACTGCTAGGTTGGCAGGAGCAGGGACCAAGCAACGGGAGCTCACCCCGTCGCGGGGATTCGAACCGCCAACCTTCCGATCAGCAAGCCCTAGGCTCTGTGGTTTATTAGCGCCACCCGCTAATAAAAGTTTGTGTTCTCTTTTGTTCTGGGCTTCCATCTTGTTCCACCTGGTGGCAGGTGGGAGTCCTGTCCCGACAGTCTTCAATCAAGACCAAGCCTGTTTGCTCCGGTATTCCTGGCGGGTGTCCTTGTTTTTGGTCCAAGGGAGCCCTCAGATTTCACTGTTAGTACAATCACGGTGGCGTTCAAAGAGGAGGAGGCCGATCCGTGGAGGAGGAGGAGGAGGAGAGGGCGATGGGGGGCTCCTCTGCTCTGTCTCCCCCATAGGAGGCTGTCATGAGACAAAGATTCTTGAGAGCAGGAGCAGTAAGGCCTACATCTTTCAAGCCTGCTGGCTGTTAACTGTTAACAGCTAATTGCTGAGTCACTGTGACTCAGGACTCATCTCGAGTGATGACTCATTCTCCCTAGAAAAGTAGCCAGTCTCTCTGTGGGCCTCAGGAGCTGAGTAGTATTGCTTTGTGATGTTGCTGTGAATGTGTAGCGGAGTCGCCTTCAAGGGCAGTTCCACACAGAGAGCGTTGCCACCATCCCATCTGATACAGAGCAGGGAGGACCAGGGCCTTGTCCTCTCTGTCCCGAAAGGTCTGTGGGGTGGGGAAGTAGCCTGAGCTGGACATGGGCCTCAAGCGACCATGATGGACCCAGGAGTGCCCGCAAGTATTCATGACTGGGGAGGGGGAGCGTTAAGCAATGTAACGTCATCATCGTTATTGCTTGTTCCCTGCCTATCATCTGAATTTCCAAGAGCAGATTACAATTTTTTAAAAACATCAATAAGAACAGTTGAAAACACATTACACTCATAGGAAGGCGGGTCCCACTTTATTTGCTTTTGAGTGCTGTCCTTTGACCCCACCCACATGTCATTTGGCCTCACCCACTTGGCCCTCAGGGGGTTGGCCCGATAAGGGAATAAATGGGCCCTGAAGTGGGGTTGGGCAGGAGAGCAACTCTTGAGAAACCCTGGGTTAGGACCCCCACTATAACCCAGTGCCCAAACTATAAACACAGTACAATGGACTCACTTGTCAATCACAGTCCTGACTTCATTCCTTGACTGAAAACTCTGAAAGGCAAGGGCAACCAGGCTGATTCATCTCTCAGAAAGACCAGCAGTTTCCTGCACATTTTGCATGGTCACTTTCCCTCTAGGAGGGCTGGAGACTTACTTCACCTTCTCCTTTTTATAGAAACTCAGAGTCTGGGTTGTAGTGCAGTCCAGAGCTGGCTCTTCCAAGACTCATACATACTTCCTCATGGAACATTTTTCTCCTCCAGGCAATATGTCAGTTTTGTAACAGAACAATATATTTGCTTTGTAGAATTTCCTAGCACCTCTGATTTGGACAGACAGAACTTGGCAGAAGATCAAGGGATTCCTTCATCTCTCTTGGAGTCTTCGTGAGAGCAGAGATGGATGAGAAAAACTCAGCTGGCCCTGAAGCAGGAAGTGACCATGCCATCAGAACTGGGAGCAGTGGAGGATTCTGGGGAAAAACTGTGCTGAAGATCCTGGGTGAGGAGGACACTCTCCACTCAGAGGTGCAGAGCCAGCAGTTCAGGCAGTTCTGCTTCCAGGAGGCCAAAGGACCCCGGAAGGTTTGCAGCCAACTCTACTGCCTTGACCATCAGTGGCTGAAGCCAGAAAGGCACACGAAAGCTGAGATGCTGGACCTGGTGATCTTGGAGCAGTTCCTGGGTGTCCTTCCACCGGAGATGGAGAACTGGGTGAGGGAATGCGGAGCGGAGACCAGTTCCCAGGCAGTGGCCCTGGCCGAAGGTTTCCTCCTGAGTCAGGCAGAGGAGAAGAAGCAGGCGGAGAAGCAGGTGAGAGAGACTTTCCTCTGGATACTCCAAAGGGGCTCCGAACATGAGTGAGAGTATCTGAAAATTCTCCATCATTTTTTGGAAAGCAGCCATTGAATATTATCAGATTGCCCTTCAGTTTTTGCCTCTGTGATTCCTTTTCTAACTCTTCTTCATATTCTCTGTTTTGAATCTTTGTTCCTGTTTCAGAGACAGGATCTGTTTGCAGAAATGGGCCCAGATTCCTCTGAGACCAAAAGGACTCCGTTGGACACCAGAGAGAGGCTGCTGGGTAAGGAAGGAGTCCGTTCTCCGTTTGGTCCCTTTCTGTGGATATCAAAACAAACCCATGGGTTCTTTTCATTTGGTGTGGGAGGGGGGAAGACACTTGGGGCCAAGAGCACCAAGGAAGGGAGATGTATTTTTTAACCCAACTAAATTATGAAATGGGTCCAAATGTCCAGATGCACTCAGAAGGTGAGACTTTTTTGGGAGCAGCTGCACTCCTGGCTTCCCACTTACCTCTGTCTCTTGCAGGTGACCAGATGATGCCAGCAAGACCTCCTCTTCCATCTATTCCTGGTGGTGAAGGAGAAGCAACGGCTGTGGAAGCAGCTCAGGTATAGGGAGGGAGCCCTGTGGGGAAGGGGGCTGGGGGGGGCAGCCAGGGTGCCTCTGGCCCCCAAGGAATCTCTCTCCTCCTCTTGGCTTCTGCCCAAGCTTCTCTTAAGGCATCTTTGTCAAGGGCAGCCTAGACAGAAGCCAAGAGGCTGAGAATGCCGTTCGAGAAGCTTAATGTGCTGAGAATAAGGAACAGCCACCTTGCCTTAACTCGCCTTCTGATGGTCAATAGGATGATTCATAAGTCATTGTAGTTTTATTTCTAGAGTTATCATTGAATGCTAAAATAGGCTTCTAAGCAGTTCATCAAGCCTAAAAAATAGTTCCCAGGAATCACCTATCTTGTCGCATCAGTTGCACAATGGGGTTTCCCCACCTTCTCCTCCCCCTTTTAATGAGCAGAAAGAAACAGCATTGTGTAGCAGGCAACCTTAGTGCTGTCTAAAAAGGACCTCTTCCTTTCTCTCTTAGGGTCCAGTGTGTTTTGAAGATGTCGCTGTTCATTTCACAGACGAGGAATGGGCGTTGCTGGATCCTGACCAGAGAGCTCTGCATAAGGAAGTCATGGAGGAGAATCACAGGATTGTGGCCTCTCTCAGTAAGGCTCCCTTGTGGATCATAAGCTCTGTTTGGAAATTCCATGCATATCTCTCTGTGATAAGCCTCCCTGGTTTTGAGGGAGCTCTACGGGGCCACTTGCAGCACCTGGGATTCTAATACCCCCCAAACTCACCTTAAATGGAGGGCTTTTGACTGTTTTGACCGTGGACATGATCTAGCCAGCATAGACATTGCTGAGATTGGAATGGGAACATGCTGGGAATTTGAGGTCAGGAGAACACACTGTCACTGTCCTACCTTGTATTGCCCAAAATCTTCCTGACTTGGAGCATGTGGAAGACATTGAGGGTTTTTCCCCCCTAATGGTTGTAATTGTCCATAATTCACTTCACAAACAGGTTGCTCAACACACAATCCTGATAGACCTTCCTCTTGGCATTGAACAGTTAGCAACACATTTGCCTTGCCAATACACTTGTCCAGGTCAGCATCGATGAAGAGGTTGTTGGTTATGTTAGAACTTCCTAGGGAGACAAAATCATCCACCACCCCCAGTGTCTGAAACTCCCATAGGTGCATTTTGCGACAGGGAATGTCATAGACACGAGCAGTTTCTGAGCTCTGCACACAGAACTGCGCCTAAGATTTTGGATGAAAACTACAGAGTGGAAGGAAAGAAGGACCTTTTTTATTTTTTTTAAGAATTTTTTTTTATTAACCAACCAATCACATCAAATTACATATATTCCAAATTACACAGCCGAATTTTAAATTTTTGTTGGGAGTACCCATATTTCAAGTTCCGAAGGAGATCCAATCAACTTCTTGCTTCTTACTGCTGTTTTAATGTCCACAAATCTAACCTTATGATGTTCACAGTACTATCCTGTCCTTTCTTATTATTTTTCCACATCTCTTGTTGTTATTTTCATATATTTTCCTTTCTCTTTGTGACCTCTGATAGTCTCCACAAGCTGGTTAGAACAGTTTGTAATCCTGCGTGAATATATATTTTTTTATCCAGTAGCCATATCCAGACGTTTTCCATATAACATCACTTCCATACATCAAAACAGTCTTAGCATCATTAATCTTCACCAATCTGCCTCCTTTCTCAAAACCTCTGAGGAGATTCACTAGGAATGCAGTCTGAAAACAAATCCGTTCTTCCTCCCGGCTATAAATTCTTTGGCAAGATGGCGACTCCGAATTAATTGCTGCGCCATTCCCAAAAGCTCTTATTGCTTCTCTGTCTCCATAAAACATACTTTTGGTTAAAGTTTATCTCCACACAGACCTTAATCATCCTGCTTGGGTCAGTTCAACCAACGGTTCTAATGAGGAGGGGTTCTTGTAAATCACATAGAAGGAAAGTAAAAAAGGTTCCCCCCCCCCATTCAGCCCCGTCATCAACATACCCCGCCTTTGGTGTATCTTCATCGTAAAATATTCCTGTTTCTCCAGCCCGTCGTCTTCTTTCGCAGAGGTCACTTAAATTAGCAGACTTCACTCCCCTTCTTCACTTGAAATATGTGCATTTGCTTCTTTTGTAATTAATTATTCCAAATTGCTGCAACTAGTGCGCGATCAGAGACAGCATCCAGGAGAGCCGATGTCCACATGGGGGCATTCTGCCTAGGGCCCTCACCCCTTCTTTCGAATTAGGGGGTGATTTATGGGCACAGCAGGCAAGGGCAGTGTTCCCCATTTCCTTGGGGCAACAAGGGAGGCTGCCTACTCCCATAACAGCCTCTTAATTACCCCGTGTGGGTCGGAAATATGGTATTGTCGGCCATCTTCCAATGCGCCCCCTAGTGGCCCCCCGAAAGGACCTTTTTCTGCCTCCCCACTTCCAGCTACTCTCTGAAGGCTGAAGGAGAGACCTGTCAAGGTGGTGTCTGCTCTTCGCAGTAAACACCCTCTGCTCACTCAGAGAGATCTTTACAGTTCTTTATTTACAGCTACAGTTCAAAATCATGCCTCTGAATCCGACGAGTCAGATTCAGGGAGTGGCTTCCTTCGGCTCCTTCTCCAACACAGCAGATGTGGGAATCTCTCAAGACGTCTTTGATTCTCTCCTCGCCTGTGCCAAAGGCACCGCTTCCCCTTCTGTTCCTGAACTCCCTGGTTGATGGCAGGGCTCTCCAGTACTGCAGAGCCCTGACACCACTTGACTGCTCTCTGCCTTCTCCTCCCCTACTTCATCCGTCATTTCCCTGTTTTCCCCGTCTGACTGTCCCTGCTCTGATCCTCCTCCTTCCCTTGACCCAGGGGCGTTCCCTGTCTGTCCTGTGACATCACCCCCCACTAAGCCCCCCCATCTGCCTCGCTTTTGCTGTCTTCTGAGGATCTGAAACCTACAAATTCTTCCTCTTCCTCGTCACTTTCTCCAAATATTTCCCTAAGTCGCCAATTGTGGGGTTTGGGCTTGTGGGGGTAACGTTCATGAAAATCTTTCTGTAACTGGTGCATGGATGTTTTCTACAGGTTCCCAAGAGTTCTCAGTTGCCGAATAACCCTTCCAAGCTACTAGATATTGCAGTCTTTTCCTGTGCCACCTGGAGTCTAGAATTTCCTCCACACTCTTGCTCCCCTTCCACCAGTATGGGAGGCGGGGGAGGTTCTTGAGTAGTACCTTGATACCTGTGTGGTGGATTATATGGCGACAGCAATGCCCTGTGGAATACGGGGTGTATCTTCATAGTCCCTGGCAGAAGGAGTCGGAAAGACACTGGATTAATCCGCTCTATAACTTCAAAAGGTCCTAACTTTCTTGGTTCCAACTTTCTGCATCTACCCTTAAAGGGTAATAATAATAATAATAATAATAATAATAATTTTTTATTTATACCCCGCCCATCTGGCTGGGCTTTCCCAGCCACTCTGGGCGGTTTCCAACAAAATATTAAAATACTGTAATACATCAAACATTAAACGCTTCCCTAAGCAGGGCTGCCTTCAGATGTCTTCTAAAAGTCTGGTAGTTGTTGTTCTCTTTGACATCTGGTGGGAGGGCGTTCCACAGGGAGGGCGCCACTACCGAGAAGGCCCTCTGCCTGGTTCCCTGTAACTTGGCTTCTCGCAGTGAGGGTGACCCTTTTGAGGATAACCAAACCTTATCTCCTACCTGGATTCTTTCCCTCCCCTGTCTATGTGCATCGGAGGCCCACTTGTAGGCTGCCTTGGCAATCTCCAAGTTCTCTTTCAGCATCTGATGCAGATACTCCATCTCTTCTACAAATTAGTCCACTGCAGGTACTGACAGTCTCTCTTTCCTATCTGGAAATGCCCTAGGATGCTCCCCATAACTTGCAACAAGTGGTGATAGACCTGTGGATGCGTGCATTGCGTTATTGTACGCGAACTCTGCCAGGCTCAATTTGTCTACCCAATTGTCTTGCTGGTAGTTCACATAGCATGTCACGTATTGTTGCAAGGTAGCGTTTGCCCTCTCTGCCTGTCCATTTGTCTGAGGATGTCTAGCTGACGGGGAAACTTATTTCTACCTGTAACAACTCCATCAACATCCTCCCAAAACGCTAAGTAAACTGACTTCCATGATCTGTGATCAGCCTTGAAGGCGTGCCGTGCGACCTGGAAACAATGTCTACAAACAACCTTGCTGTTTCTTGAGCGGAAGGTATTTTAGTGCAAGGTACAAAATGTGCCATTTTTGTTAGCACATCTACTACTACCAAAATGACTGGGGTATTTTTTGCGACCCTGGTAGGTCTGTAATAAAATCCATGGCTATCACTTCCCACGGTTTGTTAGGGGTGGGTAAGGGTTACAACAACCCGGCAGGTGCTGTCCTTTCCCCTTTTGCCCTCTGGCAGACTTCGCAGCCTTTAACGTACTCCTCTACCTCCTCCTTTATTTTGGGCCACCAGAATTCCTTGGTAACTAAGTACATAGTCTTGTTCTGACCAAAATGCCCTGCAGTCGGGCTGCCGTGATGCTGTCTAAGAATTTTGGCCCGCAGTTCTTCCCCTGGCATGTACAGCCCCCCCTTGTAATAGAGCAATCCCTCTCTTTCCTTAAAACTTCTCTCTCTGTTCTCCCCTTGCCTGTCTGTCCCGTGACAAGACCTTCTTAAAAAATCAGGGGGGTGGGCAGGGGAAGGACTAGACCACGTGGAAAATGAACATATTATTTTAGCTGCTGTTCATTCCTTTTCAGATTTGTATTCTTGTTATAAAAGAGTGTACCTAGACATTCCATTGTTGCGCCCGTATCCTTGGTTTAAGGTGCCTTTAGCTCTTAGCTTTCTTATCTCTGTTTCTAACACTGACCGCCTCTAGTGTGTGGTCACCAATGTTGATGCATGGAATTCTTCCTCTATCACAAGGGTTAGAGATCAATATTCAATAGAGTGGCACTCCATTTCTTCCTGCAGCTCTAATCCATTTCTTTCTTCATTGCAGGTGGTGATGATTCGGAAATAGAGAGAGAGGACACCCATGACAGAATCCACACAGTGGAGAAGCCATTGCCACTCTTAGAGTGTGGAGAGAGCTTCAGTCACAGCTCCCATTCGACTACCCACCAAAGAAATGCTATTAGGAAGAAACACTATCAGTTTTCTGAATGGGGAAAAACTTTCTGTTGGAATGAAAGCCTCACTTCACAGGAAATAATTCCCACAGGGGAGGACCCACTGAAATGCTTGGAATGTGGAAAGAGCTTCAGTACGAGTGCACATTTCATTTCACATCAAATAATTCACAGAAGGGAGAAACCCTATCAGGGCTTGGAATGTAGGGAAAGCTTTAATACAAGCACAACCTTCTGTAAACACCAGAGAATTCACAGGGGGGAGAAGCCATTTGAATGCCGAGAGTGTGGAAAGAGCTTCAGTCAGAGAACCCATCTCACAGCCCATCAAATAATTCATACAGGTGAGAAACCCTATCAGTGCTTGGAATGTGGGCAGAGCTTCAATCACAGGACGACTCTCACGGTCCATCAAAGGATTCACAGTGGTGAGAAACCCTATCAGTGTTCAGAATGTGGGAAGAGTTTCACTGTGAGCTCCCATCTCACTTCCCACCAAAGAATTCACAGTGGTGAGAAACCATATAAATGTGTGAATTGTGGAAAGGGCTTCACCCAAAAGGCAAGTCTCACTTCCCATCAAAGAATTCACAGTGGTGAAAAACCTTATCAATGCATGGAATGTGGGAAGAGCTTCAGTCGGAAGCAAAGCCTCAGTTCCCACCAAAGAATTCACAGTGGTGAGAAACCCTATCAGTGCTCGGAATGTGGAAAGAGATTCTCACAGAGAGCCAATCTCAGTTCCCACCAAAGAATTCACACAGGGGAAAAACCACATCAGTGCTTGGAATGTGGAAAGAACTTCAGTCTCAGGGCCCATCTCACTACCCATCAAAGCATTCATACCAGGGAGAAACCATATCGATGCTTGGATTGTGGAAAGAGTTTCCTACAGAGAGCTGATCTCACTTCACACCAAAGAATTCACACAAGGGAGAAACCATATCAGTGCTTGGAATGTGGGAAGAGCTTCACTGTGAGCGCTGGTCTTACTTCCCACAAAAAAATTCATATTGGGAAGAAACCCTATCAATGTGTGAATTGTGGAAAGAGCTTCAGCCAGAAGCAAAGTCTCACTTCCCACCAAAGAATTCACAGTGGTGAGAAACCCTATAAGTGCTTGGAATGTGGAAAGAGTTTCTGCCAGAGAGCCAATCTCACTTCTCACCAAAGAATTCACACAGGGGAGAAGCCATATCAGTGCTTGGAATGTGGAAAGAGCTTCAGTCTGAAGAAAAGTCTCACTTCCCACCAAAGAACTCACAGTGGTGAGAAACCCTATCAGTGCTCAGAATGTGGAAAGAGTTTCTGCCAGAGAGTCAATCTCACTCATCACCAAAGAATTCACACAGGTGAAAAACCCTATCAGTGCTTGGAATGTGGCAAGAGCTTCAGTCTGAAGAAAAGTCTCACTTCCCACCAAAGCATTCATACTGGGGAGAAACCCTATCGATGCTTGGAATGTGGGAAGAGTTTCTGCCAGAGAGCGGATCTCACTTCCCACCAAAGAATTCACACAGGAGAGAAACCCTATCAGTGCTTGGAATGTGGGAAGAGTTTCCGCCAGAAAGTCAACCTCACTTCCCACCAAAGAATTCACACAGGGGAGAAACCATATCAGTGCTTGGAATGTGGGAAGAGTTTCCGCCAGAAAGTCAACCTCACTTCCCACCAAAGAATTCACACAGGGGAGAAACCCTATCAGTGCTTGGAATGTGGGAAGAGCTTCAGTCATAAGCAAAGTCTCCCTTCCCATCAAAGAATTCACAGTGGTGGGAAGCCTTATCAGTGCTTGGAATGTGGAAAGGGCTTCGGTATGAGGACCAAGCTCATGGCCCATCAACGAACTCACAGTGGTGAGAAACCTTATCAATGCTTGGATTGTGGAAAGAGTTTCAGCCAAAGGGCCAATCTAACTTGCCATGAAAGAATTCACACAGGGGAGAAACCCTATAAGTGCTTGGAATGTGGGAAGAGCTTCAATCAGAAGCAAAGTCTCACTTCCCACCAAAGAATTCACACAGGGGAGAAACCTTATCAGTGCTTGGAATGTGGAAAGAGCTTTGGTGAGAGGACCAAGCTCATGGCTCACCAAAGAATTCACAGTGGTGAGAAACCCTATCAATGTGTGAAATGTGGAAAGAGTTTCTGCCAGAAAGCCCATCTCACTTCCCACCAAAGAATTCACACAGGGGAGAAACCCTATCAGTGCTTGGAATGTGGGAAGAGCTTCACCCGGAAGGACAACCTCACTTCCCACCAAAGAATTCACAGTGGTGAGAAACCATATCAGTGCTTGGAATGTGGAAAGAGCTTTGGTAACAGGACCAATCTCACTTCCCACCAAAGAATTCATACAGGGGAGAATCATAGAACTTTAGACCTGCAGGAGACCCCTGGGGCCTATAGTCCAATGCAGGACTCTCAACTAAAGCATCCATGACATATTGCCTTCAAACCTCTCCTTAAAAACCTCCCGAGGAAGGAGAGTCCACAACCTTCCAAGGGCGTCTCTAATTTGAAGCTATTGGTTTGGGTCCCAGCCTCTAGAGCCGGTGAAAACAAGCTTGTTCAATCTTCCACCTGACAGCCCTTTGTTCCTCAGAAGGCTTGGTTTCCCAACACTTAATTGTCTTGGTCACCCCCCTCTGCACACCTTCCAGCTTGTCGAAATCCTTCTTAAATTTGGGCACCCAGAACCGGACACAGGACTCCAGGTGTGGTCTGAAGAAGGCAGAAGAAAGTGGGGCTATTACTTCCCTTGATCTGGACACTTGAGTTCTTTGGACACAGCCTAGAATAACAGCCTTTTTTGCTGCTGCATCGTACTGTTGACTCATGTTAGTCTAAGACCCCAGGTCTTTTCCACATGTACTACTGGCAAGCCCGGTATCCCCCATCTTATATTTGTGCAGCTAATTCTTCTTGCCTAAGTACAGAATCTTACCTTTCTTCTTACTGAAATTTATTGGATGCCTTTATATACCACCTGTTTCTTCAAGAAGCTCAGAGTGGTCTTAAGTGGTTCTCCCCCTCATCGTTTAATCCTGACAGCAACCCTGTGAGGTAGGTTGGGCTGTGAAGCCATCACCCAGTGAGCTTCATGGCTGAGTGGGTGTTTGAACCCGTGTCTCCCAGGTCCTAGTCCAAAATTCTTAAGCACTGTACCACACTGACTCTCGAATGAGACTTTTGGTAAGTGCATGCATGCGCATTTACTGAAAGTTTCAGTGCAATGTCTTGGTGTTTGTATTTAAAGATTTATACGCATGTATCAATGACATTAATATAATAATGATAATTACAGTAGAAGAGTAAATTTTAGGAAATGCTGGATGGTGATAGGGGTAGTTTGGAATGCTGGGATTGAGCAATTGAACTGAACAATTTCCACATAAATCACAACAAGATCTGAAATAAAGATATAAAACACCACCAACAACAACCCCTGGAAAAACCCCAAAAATTCAAGAGTCTGTTCAGCAGCTCAGGTTTTGCAGCTGGAGTCAATCCAGGCTCCACCCTCCCAGGCCTGGTAGAAAAAACATGCAAGGCAGGAAGCTGCTCTTCCAGGACCTCATGTCAAGACAGTCCTCTTCAACAGGCCTCTCAGCAGCTTCAGCCTTTGTAGCTGGAGTCTGTCCGCCCATCAGTCACTCTGGGCCTCGCCTTCCCAAGCCAAATGGAAAGGTCTCTAAGGAGGGAGCACATCTTCCAGGACTTGCACCCAAGATGGTTTCTGGCCTCTTCAGCAGAGACCATTGGAGGGTGGAATGGAATGGGAGAGTGGTGGCAATTGCGGAGCAGGGCTGGTTAGATCAGTAGTAACGAGACAGCATTATAATCCCAATTGCTGCAGTTGTAGTCAAGTTTCAAAAGAAAAAGAAAAGAAACAAGAACATTTGAAACCACATGTCTATGCGCACAAAGTTACCTTGACACCCTTGTCTATTTTTTAAATAAATCAGTTTAATGAATCGATGCACACTTCCTTCTTTGTTATGTTTGGGGTGAAGTGTTGAAGAGTCCTCTGTGGTGGCAACAGGAATAAAGGGGAGTTTGGCGGAAGATCCATCTCCTAGCCGTGCACCTTGAATGAAATGGGAAGGTGGCCCAGGGATGGGTGGGCAGGGCCAGAGCCCCTCTGAGCAAAGGCGGTGGGGGCTCAACATGGGGAGATAAACTAGAGGACACTCGGAGAGTTCAAAGTGCGTCATAAAAACCAACTCTGCTGTCTTTACAACATGCCTATGAGGTGGACCTGTAGCATTTCCCCATTAATGTGGGAAGTCGAAGAGAAGAGGAGGAGAGCAGAGAGGGGCGTGAAGCAGAGACTCTGTCCCTCTGCCCTCTTGCAAGTTGCACGCACACAATGCGCTCTGATCTGCACTGCTCATTCACATCTGTTTTAGGCCCCCAGGCATTTACTGGAATGGTCTAGGTGCTGATTTTTAAAGTACTTGATGTTGTTGTTGTTGAGTTGTTCAGTCGTGTCCGACTCTTCGTAACCCCCTGGACCAGAGCACGCCAGGCACTCCTGTCTTCCACTGCCTCCCGCAGTTTGGTCAGACTCATGTTTGTAGCTTCAAGATCACTGTCCAACCATCTCGTCCTCTGCCGTCCCCTTCTCCTTGTGCCCTCCATCTTTCCCAACATCAGGGTCTTTTCCAGGGAGTCTTCTCTGCTCATGAGGTGGCCAAAGTCTTGGAGCCTCAGCTTCAGGATCTGTCCTTCCAGCGAGCACTCAGGGCTGATTTCCTTCAGAATGGAGAGGTTGGATCTTCTTGCAGTCCATGGGACTCTCAAGAGTCTCCTCCAGCACCAGAATTCAAAAGCATCAATTCTTCAGCGATCAGCCTTCTTGATGGACCAGCTCTCACTTCCATACATCACTACTGGGAAAACCATGGCTTTCACTATACGGACCTTTGTTGGCAAGGTGAGGTCTCTGCTTTTTAAGATGCTGTCTAGGTTTGTAAGTATTTGATAGTGGTTGCTTTTTTTATAGTTGAAGGGATTTAAGAGGGGGCTGTGAGCTATGTATGCTGTCCTCATACTGGAGCAGAGGGAAGGAAGTTGCCCTGAAGAAGGGGCAGGCCAGCCTCTCCCAGCGGACAGACAGAAGTCCAAAGTTTGGAGCAATGAATAACCTGGCTCAATACACTCCTTCGGATCCTTGAGAGTCACTTTCAATGAGACACTTTTCTGGAAGGGGCATCTGGAGGCTGCAAAACTTAAAGTGCAGGAAGCTTGTGGGGCACTAATGAAATTCTGCCTCACGGTGGGTAGACACTTATTAGAACCTGTGCTGATAATTGGAAGCTGAGCTGAGGGAAGTCTTTGGGGGAGGGGAGGGTGGGTGGGAAAAAAGGGGTAAATAATGAATATATTTTTTGATATGTTGTTGAATTGCTAATAAAAAAATATTTTTAAAAAAAATTAAAAGTATATAAAATAGTTTACTCACATTCTGTTCACAGAAGGATCCCAGAAGGCAGACTTAGGTTACAAAATATATACACCTGGAATCTATCTCATAAGGAGATAGTTCCTTTGTCCTCTCTTGAAGCCAAGAGAGCATCTCATGCTAAGGAGATGTTGCTTCTTCGAGGAATGGAGTCAGAGAGAGAGAGATGGCTGCCTCCCCTGTGCTATGTTGTTACCTGCACAGGTGAGGTCACGCCCACCTCTGGTCACATGTAGAGGAAGTTTGTCCCAGCCCAGGAGGAAACAAGATGTTCCGAGTGGCTGGTCCAGACATCCCCTTTTTATGTCTACTCTAGGAATGTTGTATTTGACTGCTCTGTGTTTCACACCCCACAGTTCAAAGAAAGAGAGATTGCAAGGAGCTCCAAAAAGAGCTCTCCAAACGGGGTGGATGGGCAGTAATTACAGTTCATTGTCAATGAGATCAAAGTGATGCATGTTGGGACACCCCCCCCCTCTTAATATGTACAGGCTCATGGGGTCTGAACCGGATTTCTCTGTGTGCTCTAGGAGACCAGGGGAGAGGGGAGCTGGTCACAGCAGGAGGGGGAGTCTCCCTGGATGCTTCAGCAGCCAGCCTCCTCTGGGTCTCCTGGCCCCCTCCTCTCCTCCCTCTGAGTCTGACCTGCCAGGTACTTCTCCCCTCCTTAAAATGCTGTTCAGTACTTCTTTCAAGGGTGCAATCAGGATTTGATTTAGTTTTTTTATAATATTTTGCCGAAAATCCATCTGGTCCTGGGGCCCCCACAGTTTTTGATTCTTTTATTACTCGTTGGATTTCGTCTTCTTCTATTGGCTCTGCCTCTCGGCCCTTTCACTTTGCACCAACCAATACTCAGCTTTACTTAAGAATACTTTAGCATTTATGTAGCACATTTAAAGCATTACAAAATATAACATATATTATCTCAGTAATCTAAACAACGGCCCTGCAAGGCTGTCCAGTGTTATAATCCCCATTCATACGAAGAGTTGAGGTTGCAGGAAGAGGAGTTTGACTCACATCTCACACTTTGACTGCTACACTACATCAGTCCTTGCACTCCAGATCCTGAAAACAGCTCTGTGAGTTGTCAGAGGACTGCCCACCATCCTATTCAAAACAAGGCAGCATGGGCAGTAAGCCCTCGTCAGCAACCATTGCCAGAGATGTCTGTATGGGGAACGGTGGGCTGAGCATAACACACGGAGGCAGCTCAGAGGCATCCCTGCTGGTCGCTCGCTCCAAGGGAGGTGACATCCTACCGCAGGCTCTTTCTGTGAGAATGTTTAGGGAGGCAGGAGAGGATATATTCTTTTATGATATGCTTCCTAACTTGCGTTGGCAAGTTCTATAACTTAGCAGAGTTGTTAAACAATCCCTCTTTGAAATTATACAGCAGTTAGCTAGTTGCAGGCTCGTCTGAGCCTCACTATTTAGGATTCCTGGTAAGATCCCTTTTTCTATCCCTCCTAAAAGAATAGACACGACTATCTGATTAAAGTTAACATAAAACTAGTTGACTTACAATCATCCAGTTCACGATAAGATCCCTGAAGGCAGACTTAAGTTACATAACTAGATATATCGACATGAACTATCCCATAAGGGAAATAATCTCAAGTGACTGCAACTGAGCAGTCACTTCTTCCTAACTTGTAGGAACACAAAAAGGAGAAGAAGAAGAGCAGAACATGGAGGCCGTGTGCTCCTCTGTCCAAGAACAGGCCACACCTGCATTAAGTGCCATGCAGAGGAAGTCTGTCCCAGCTCAGGAGGAACTAGCAAGTCTTCTCCTGAGTGACACAAGCATTCCCCAGCATGTGCATTGTAGGAATGTTGCATTTGACTGCAATACAATTTTACACCCCACACCTTCGCTACCCAATAATCATTTGCAAGCGTACTTCTTCCAAGGCTCAGTATTTAAGATTCTGAGCTTGAAAAACAAAACCCCTGAGATTGAGGCATCACCAGAGAAGCTTCCTCATGTGCATCTCACACAACATTCTCATCTCCAGTTGGGATCACCTGAGACCTCAGAAAGAAATCATTGTTTTGGGGGAGAGTGGCGTGGAACCATGCCTGAGTCAAAAGATTACAGAGCAAACACAGCGCCCTATTCATGTTTCATACGAAGTTGGTTTGTTCCCATGAATTGTACCAGCGAGCTTCTTCACAGAATTTCACATCCCCTTATAAAGTCATGTCCAGCGATACCTTCATGCCCAAGCAGTCCCCTGTCTCAGTTGCAAGCAATCCCCTGGCCAGCTACCACTGGACATCCTGCACCTTGTTTTCTTTTGCAAACCTCCCAGCCTCAGCAGTTCAAATTCCAGCCTACACATGCACTTATGCGCACACACTTGTCAGGAACATGTTGTCTTTTATCCAGACCAGATAACTGTCAGCATTTAAAGGTGTAGTAGAAAGATGATAGAGAACAGGATGGAAGATGTTTAAGGGTCAATCCTAGGTACACTTGGAGTGCCATCTTCCCCCCATCTGCTCAGTCCCGTGCAGAATATACCCAGGGAAGTGGAGTCAGGGGTCAGGACTGCAACATTATTTATGCGTTGGGATTCGGCTGCAGAACTGCAGAGTTTACTAAGCACACTTGCTGGGGGAAAGTCTACACTAGCGTCCATCTGGCATACTTTTGGGCAAACATATACAGGGTTTTATTGCACGGTCTTCAGTAGTTTAGCCCTAAACTGAGGACGCCAAGAATTTTGGTTTGCTCCTTGGCGTATTGAGCTCCAAATTGCTGCTTGACTTCTCATGAAGCAAAGCTGCCACAAAGAACACTTGTCTCAAGGAAGACGGAGCTCATGCCCACCTAACAATATGCTTGCCCTGACGAAGCTAGAAGGTGCTGGTTTCCCCCCCAAAAAAATATTAATTGGTTTTCTCTTGTAATTTTGTTGTTGTTTAGTCGTTTAGTCCTGTCCGACTCTTCATGACTCCGTGGACCAGAGCACGCCAGGCTCTTATAATAAATAAACATAAACACAGAAAAGAACATTACTTTTAACACAACATAAAAACTTAACAACAATAAAAATGCAAAAGATAAAAGAAGGATTTTTCTTCTTCTTATTCCCTGGTATATTTACATTGCTAGAAGACTTCCTCGACACCTTCCAATCTGAATTTCATCATAACACATATTTAGCAGTTCCCAATTTCATATCTGAAAAATCAGTATCCTCTTTCATTACAAACTTCTTATCCCTACTTCCAATTGTAATCCATAATAATCATTATTTTCTATCCCTTAGCCTCATCTGTTACTTCTAGGAGTTTCTTATTTTATCTCATAGTTTACCACTTGCAAAATCTTCAGCTCCTGCTTTCAATTACGACAAACAAGGCACGGGAGCCCTGCTTGGGGGGGGGGCACAGGAGGGAAACCTGACAGACAGAGCAACTCGGGAGGCAGCAGCTCAAGTGCATCCCCCCCCCCAGCAGCCAACTCTGCCCCCTCACTTGTTGGCTCACCTGCCTCCGTTCCGCCCCGTCTTCTTCCCTGCCTGCCTCCTCCAGCCGAGAGCAAGGTGGCAAAGGCATGGGCACTGGGGCGGCCTGCCCCCACCGCCACCGCTTTGGTTCACCTCAGTTAAATACCCACACCCCAATTAAATACCCAATCATAATACTTCAATTAAAAAATAAAAAACAAGAATAAAAAAGATCAAATTATATATATATATTTTAAAGATATTTATTAGGATTTTCAAAATATTACAAAAAAGAAAAAGAAAAAAGAAAAATACAAAATAAAAGTAGTTAAAAACAATTCAGTCTTTCAATCACTTATCTTTCATTTGCTTATTTCCCGGACCTCCTCACGCCTCCCTTTTCTGTATTCCAATTCAGTTTGTTAGTTCAGCAAATCCCTCCCCTCTTTGTTTATCCTAGTCTTCAATCTTAAAGTATTGTAACATTAGATTTTTGCCTATTAATAGTCCATTTTTTCATATTCCCTTATAACATTACAGCTAAAAACCACTTAGTTTCTATCCAACATCATTCTGACATTCATTAATTTTACAATATTTCTGTAAATAGTCTTTGAACTTTTCCCAATCTTCTTCCACCGACTCTTCTCCCTGGTCTTGGATTCTGCCAGTCATTTCTGCCAGTTCCATATAGTCCATCACCTTCATCTGCCATTCTGCCAAGGTGGGTAGATCTTGTGTCTTCCAATACTTTGCAATGAGTATTCTTGCTGCTATTGTGGCATACATAAAAAAAGTTCTATCCTTCTTTGGCACCAATTGGCCGACTATGCCCAGGAGAAAGGCCTCTGGTTTCTTCAAGAAGGTATATTTAAATACCTTTTTCAATTCATTATAGATCATCTCCCAGAAAGCCTTAATCCTTGGGCACGTCCACCAAAGGTGAAAGAATGTACCTTCGTTTTCTTTACATTTTCAACATTTATTATCGGGCAAATGATAGATTTTTGCAAGCTTGACTGGTGTCATGTACCACCTGTATATCATTTTCATAATATTCTCTCTTAGGGCATTACATGCCGTAAATTTCATACCTGTAGTCCACAACTGTTCCCAGTCAGCAAACATAATATTATGTCCAACATCTTGTGCCCATTTAATCATAGCAGATTTCACCGTTTCATCCTGAGTATTCCATTTCAACAGCAAGGTATACATCTTTGACAAAATCTTAGTTTTGGGTTCTAACAGTTCTGTTTCTAGTTTTGATTTTTCCACCTGGAAGCCAATTTTCTTATCCAAATTGTATGCCTCCATTATCTGATAATAATGAAGCCAGTCTCGCACTTTGTCTTTTAATTTCTCAAAACTCTGCAATTTCAATTTGTCTCCTTCTTGTTCCATTTGGCCTCCATATTGAGCTTTTTCTGAGCCTTTGCTTCCATCGGTGACAACCACCTTGGGGGAAATTTATTAATTTCTTGGGGCTCCCCACAGTCTGGATCTCTGGAGCAGATCTCCACATCTTAGTCCTGCTTATCCTTGTTGTTTCCATATTTTCCACATTTTGTATCGATTTTTCCACATCTTGATATTTGTTGTTTAGTTGTTTAGTCATGTCCGCCTCTTTGTGACCCCCTGGACCAGAGCACGCCAGGCCCTCCTGTCTTCCACTGCCTCCCGCAGTTTGATCAAACTCATGCTGGTAGCTTCGAGAAAACTGTCCCACCATCTCCTCCTCTGTCGTCCCCTTCTCCTTGTGCCCTCCATTTTTCCCAACATCAGGGTCTTTTCCAGGGAGTCTTCTCTTCTCATGAGGTGGCCAAAGTCTTGGAGCCTCAGCTTCAGGATCTGTCCTTCCGGTGAACACTCAATATTTTTTTGGAAAATCAATAAAAATGATTAAAAATAAAACAAAATCCACACCCCAGGATTTTCCCCCAATCACATCTTTTCCACCTGAGCTTCATCGCCTTACCTAAAACCCAGACATCCTGCAGTGTGTCAGGATTGTGACTCCTGCCCTCAGCAAACAAAATAGCTCCCCCCCCAAAGCTTATGTGCCCTGAGGGCTGTGCGGGACCCCCAAGCCTTGAAATGAAAAAGGGAGGGGCTCAGGAAACCTGAAGGGAGCAGGCAGGGAGGGGGCTGCACAGGATCCAGAAGTTCCTTCTCGCTGATTCCCCCCCATGAAGTTCCTTTAAGACCCCACGTTGCAGGGGGCAGGCTCACTTGCAGCGAAACAAAATGCAGCTGCCCTGGCCGAGTGAAGCCAGGCTGGGGGGCACCGTGGGGACCCCAGAAATGCGCCCCTAGAAGAAATGCGCCTCCCCAGTTGGAGGCAGCCCTCCTTCTGAAGCACCAAGAGACTAAACGGACAGTTCTCTGAATGGAGAGGAGCAGAAAGCGGAGTCCCCTCAACATCAGTATTGGGACCTGCGGCTTTTCAACTTGTTCATAAATGATCTAGACTTAGGAGGGAGCAGGGAGGGGGCAAAGTTTGCTGATGGCAGTAGATTGTCCCGGGGTTCATGAGTGAAGGTGGGCCCCCCAGGAGACTTCCCTGGTACCTGCACCCCTCCTTCGCTCTCTTGAAATTAGGCTGGGGGGGAAATCTCCCATTCAATTTCAGTATTTCAAGTCTTCTTCAGAACACGCAGGGCAGGAGGCAGCGATGAAGTTCTGGTGAAGAAGCAGTGCTTGGAGATCATGCGGTCGGGGTGTGTGTGACAGAGTTTGGTGCAAAAACCAAAGGTCCTTTCATCTAAAATTATACTCACCATTGTGAGATGCTGCCTTCATTATTTCATTATTATAATGTTTCACATATAAACACCAGAGCTTCACATATACCTCATGCTTTTAGGAATGATTTCCTGCTGAGTTAATTGCTCAGAGTGGACTCTGAGAGGAAGATGTCCCACACTCCATACATCTAAATGGGTTCTCCCATGTGAGAGTCCCGGGATGTTCCTTAAATACTCCGTTATAAATAAAGCACTTTTTGCAGTCTTTTCATTTAAACTGCTTCTCCTCTCTGAGTTTGTTGATGGTTTGAAGGGTTTCAACTCTTAAGGTTCTTTCTGTCCATAAGTCTGTTGATTCTGAACTTCCACTAAGAGTGAACCTCTATCTACTTTCCTGATATTTATATGGTTTGTCTTTTGTGTGAGTTTGCTGACAAAAATCAAGGGTTCCACTCTGACTGAAGCTCCTTCCACAGTCCATACCTTTAAATGGTTTCTCCCCTGTGTGTTGCTGATGTTTTCTAAGATTTCCACTCTGAGTGAAGTATTTACTGTACTCCATACATTTATATGGTTTCTCCCCTGTGTGAGTCTGTTGATGTTTCCTAAGACATCCACTATTACTAAGACTCTTTTCACACTCCATACATTGAAAGGGTTTCTCCCGTGTGTGTGTCCGTTGATGTGTTCTAAGATTTTCATTATCACCAAAGGTCTTTCCGCACTCCATACATTTAAATGGTTTCTTACCTATGTGAGTCTGTTGGTGTATTCTCAGGTTTCCACTATAACTGAAGCTCTTTCCACACTCCACACATGTAAATGGTTTCTCTCCTGTATGAGTCCGTTGATGTGATCTAAGGCTTGTATTACAACGGAAACTCTTTCCACACTCCATACATTTAAATGGTTTATCCCGTGTGACTTCGTTGATGTGATCTAAGGTTTGCACTCTGACTGAAGCTCTTTCCACACGCCATACATTCATATGGTTTCTCCCCTGTGTGAATCCGTTGATGTTTTTTAAGGTCTGCTTTCTGACTGAAGTTCTTTCCACATTCCATACATTTATATGGTTTCATCCCTGTGTGAGTCTGTTGATGTCTTCTAAGGCTTCCACTATTACTAAAACTCTTTTCACACTCCATACATTGAAATGGTTTCTCCCCTGTGTGTCTCCGTTGGTGTGTTCGAAGGCTTGTATTACAACGGAAACTCTTTCCACACTCTATACATTTATATGGTTCCTCCCCTGTGTGAGTCCATTGATGGTATCTAAGGCTTCCACTAATACTATAGCTCTTTCCACACTCGATACATTTAAATGGTTTCTCCCCTGTATGAGTCTGTTGATGTGATCTAAGGCTTGTATTACAACGGAAACTCTTTCCACACTCTATACATTGAAATGGTTTCTCCCCTGTGTGAGTCTGTTGATGTTTTTTAAGTGTTCCACTCTGACTGAAGTCCTTTCCACACTCCATGCATTTAAATGGTTTTTCCCCTGTGTGAGTCTGTTGATGTTTTTTAAGTGTTCCACTCTGACTGAAGCTCTTCCCACATTCCATACATTCATATGGTTTCTCCCCTGTGTGAGCCCGTTGATGTGATCTAAGGCTTCCACTATCACTAAAACTCTTTCCACACTCCATACATTGAAATGGTTTCTCCCCTGTGTGAGCCCGTTGATGTGATATAAGGCTTCCACGATCACGAAAACACTTTACACACTCCATACATTGAAATGGTTTCTCCCCTGTGTGAGCCCGTTGATGTGATCTAAGGCTTCCACTATCACGAAAACACTTTCCACATTCCATACATTTATATGGTTTCTCCCCTGTGTGAGTCCGTTGGTGTGATCTAAGATCTGCACTCTGACTGAAGCTCTTTCCACACTCTATGCATGTAAATGGCTTCTCCCCTGTGTGAGTCCGTTGATGTCTTCTAAGGTTTCCACTACCATTAAAGCTCTTTCCACACTCCAGACATTCATATGGTTTCTCCCCTGTGTGAGTCCATTGATGTGATCTAAGGTTTCCACTATAACTGAAGCTCTTTCCACACTCCATGCATTTATATGGTTTCTCCCCTGTGTGAGTCCGTTGATGGTTCCTAAGGCTTCCACTATCACTAAAGCTCTTTTCACACTCCATACACTGAAACGGTTTCTCCCCTGTGTGAGTCCGTTGATGTTGTGTAAGGTGTCCACTCTGACTGAAGTTCTTCCCACACTCCCTGCACTTAAAACGTTTTCTCTCTGTGTGAGTCCGCAGGTGTGTTCTAAGTTTTGCACTGAAAGAGAAGCTCTTTCCGCACTCCATACTTTTAAATGAGTTCTTTCCTTTTTGTGTTCGTTGATGTGAACTATGTGTGCTCATTCAGTGAAGCATATTCCACATTTAACACATTTTAATGGCTATTCCTAATGAAACGAAAGGTGCCCTGTCCCCCGCAATTCTGTCTTCTCCATCCCCTTTTTCAGAGTGGGAGGAAAGGAAATCCTGTTTGGGTTTCAGGAAAGAGAACACAGGAAAAAAAGCACACATCAACCATTAGCACCTTCTCTTATTTCAACATCTCCTACATTCTCCCATGTCCTCCCCATGTTCCCAATTTTTAGGAAATGAAAATGGTATGATGTCAAATGGTAGTAATGCATCAACAAACTTTCATAATCCTCAATCATCTTTAATAACACAGCATGACCTTGGAATACTGTTGTCCTGTGGGAAATCCTTTCCAATCAAGTGGTTGTCCCTGTTTCCAGCTCTAGATCTTCATGAATCACCTGCACGGTCTCACTGACCTCAGGAGGTCCATATTTTGGGAGACCCAGGTCTACATCTTTTCTGGGGACTGTGGTCTGGGTCAGTCAGAGAACTAGTAAAAAGCTTGGTGCTTGGAATCAGCTGAATGGGTGCTCAGGGAAGCTCCTGTTCTTGGAGATGGACCTGTGTCTACATGCCTCACATTGCATGGAGAGAGCAGGAGAAGCAGAAGGAAAGCAGCTGGCACATGGGAATCCCAGGTGGAAGCACCCACCCCAATGGTTCTTTATAATGATGATGTGCTGCCTGATTCTCTGCTTGTCTTCTGATAGAGGACTATCCTAATCTGGTACTGAAAAGCAGGATATTCAAGGCAAGGAGATAACTGTAGTTAATGGTAGGTGGCCATATTAGTCTGACACAGTTGATTCTGCGTGTGCTGAAAAGGAAAGTGAAGGGCAGAGGGGGCACGTCCACCTGGAGGCTTGTTATTTAGTCCCAGGGTTACTCTGACATTGAATTATATATAAATTACAGTATTGAAACGCGCCTGCTCCCACTTCATATTCTGATATTACTCTACTCTGTTTGTCTGTTTCTTACTTGAGTGCTGTTTTGGTTTGCTAAGTCAGGGTTTTACTGTGAGTTACATTTTTGCTATTTTTTGGGTCCTGTTATGCTTATGTGTCTTCAGTAATAAATTTCTCAGCTGAATTATTTTTTTGCTGCCTCTGTGTTTACTCCTACTCTGCTAACTATTCATCGATCATTATGGAGGAGCAAGATCTGCAACCTAAAGCCCTCAACAGCCTCAGCCCTGTGGTCCTGAAAGAGCATCTTCACCCCCATTGCTCAGTCCGGACAGGGAGGTCCGCCTCTGAGGGTCTTCTGCTGGTTCCCTTGCCGTTAGAAGTGATGTTCCAGGGAACCAGGCAGAGGGCCTCCTGCCCCATGGAATGCCCTTCCTTCCGAGGGCAAGGAAGTAGGCAACTATCTGACATTTAGAAGACAGCTGTATCAGGAGGTTTTTAATGTTTGATGTTTTACTGTCTTGTATATGTACTGTAGGGATGCGGGTGGCGCTGTGGGTTAAACCACAGAGCCTACGACCTGCCGATTAGAAGGTCGGCAGTTTGAATCCCCACGACAGGGTGAGCTTTCATTGCTCGGTCCCTGCTCCTGCCAACCTAGCAGTTCGAAAGCATGTCAAAGTGCAAGTAGATAAATAGCAACCGTTCTGTCGGGAAGGTAAACGGCATTTCCGTGCGCTGCTCTGGTTCGCCAGAAGCGGCTTAGTCATGTTGGCCACATGACCCGGAAGCTGTACGCCAGCTCCCTCGGCCAAGAAAGTGAGATGAGCGCCGCAACCCCAGAGTCGGCCACAACTGGACCTAATGGTCAGGGGTCCCTTTACCTTTACCTTTACCTATATGTACTGTAAGCTGCCCAGAGCGGCTGGGGGAAAATACTAATACTATAACGTCTAGAGTGGTACCTCAGGTTACAGGCGCTTCAGGTTACAGACTCTTCTAACCCAAAAATAGTACCTTTTGTTAAGAATTTTGCTTCAGGATGAGGACAGAAATCCTGCTCTGGCGGCGCGGCGGCAGCAGGAGGCCCCATTAGCTACAGTGGTGCTTCAGGTTAAGAACAGTTTCAGATTAAGAGTGGACCTGCAGAATGAATTCACTTCTTAACCCGATGTACCACTGTACTATTATTATTATCGTGTGATTTTTTTGTAGTTATTTTGGAATTCGTACTGCAATATCAGCTCATGAAATGTTATGGGTGGAGAAAATCACAGGGTTGCCGTACATTATAATCCCACCCACAAACTCTCATTCACATACAGTCTGTAAATTTGGGAATGACACACACCTCACCTGTGCTAATACTGGCAGTCTTTGGCCTGCACAGGCACATCCTGTGTGTAGAGCCTCCAGCCACAGGCACTGTCTATCATGAAAATGGGTCCTTTGACTGGGAAGATTCATGCAGTCACTGTCATCGGATCTCAGCTTGTCAGTCACTCTGACATTGGCTACAAAGAATAGGGGGAACAGAAATGCTTTTGAGGTGCAACTTCTGTATCAATCCTGAGAGCCATTCCATGGACTCTGCACCCCTGTTTCTGATGACAGGTGTACATTATCCTCATCCTCAGTGGAAAAGACATTAAAGATGGAAGCCTGAGAGAGAGGAAAAGGTTTCTGGCTGCTTCCTGGGTGGGATTGCGGGAACAAAGAGCCGCTTCTGAGAAGGCCTCCCCCCTCCCCTCCCCTCTTCCTGTTCGGATTTCCTCTCCTCTCCAGGGGACTAATGGTTGGACTGGGCAGAATCGCTGCGTCTGGAAAGGGCAGGGGCTTATGGGGTGGAAAGAGGATGGAGATTGCAGGAAGGCTAGGGAGGGGGACTGGACCCCCACTTTCCAGGGATCCCTCTCTGGTAGCCTTGAAGGGGGGGCCGATTGCTGGGCGGGAGGGAGAAGCCAAGGCGGCCTCTCCGGAGATTCCCGAAGCAAGCCACGATGGAGACGCCCCCCCCCAAAAAACTGGTCTTCCTATCTCCCCCCCCCCCCATTGCTGCGCTTCCCTGACTCGGGGATGCCCCCTCCCTTCTCCCCCTACTTCCCCGACCTCCTCCCTTTCTCCCGGAGTCTCCCCTGCATCCAGACGACCCCTTGGCTCATCCCTTGCCAGGCGCGACCCATCTCTCCGCCCCTTTTGCCCCCCCAAGACTGGCTTCTCTCCGCGCCCCAGGGATGCCTGCGCGGGGTAAACGGGGCCAGGGAGTCCTCGTGGGTGGGCGCCCCATATTCGCCCCTTCGCAGCACGCGTGCCGGAATCCAGGCCCCACAGAAGGCGCTTGGGGGAGCTGGCGGGGGTCTCTGGGTCCTTTTCTCCCCTCTCCGCCCCCCGCGAGCCCTTACCTCTTTGTCCTCGCTCCCAATTCTCCTTTCCTGCAACATCCACCCTGCCTTCTCCCTCCCCTTTCCGAAAGCGCCTCCCTAGAGCTACGGGGCAGAGCAGCAATCCGGAGTGGAAGCTCCACTTCCGGGAGAAGAAGGCAGGGTGGGAGGGGGCTCACCCCCCCATTCCTTCAGCAGAAGCCGGATTGGAGGAGGAGGAGGAAGGGGTGGGATGTTTGGGGGCGGGATCTGGGGTTGTGGGGGCGGGGTGAGAGGAGGATGTGCCGGGAGGGGAGGGAAAGAATTGGGGGGGGGGAGAGGAAGGTTCTGGGGATCAGGTGAGCGGGGGAGGGGCTGATCCCGGAGATCCAGCTGCAAAGAGGGGTCCCCCCCACAAGTGCAACATCTTCCCCTCCCCCACCCCACGAGCTTAGATCCCTCCGTGTTTTAGGTATTGGTGCTGTTCAAACCAGGAATGGAGGGGGGCAGCTAAACTACTCCCCCCAAATCCCAGCTCCCCACCACAGGCTCTGACTAAGGCCAGGACAATGACCGTGGACACAGGCACCGTCCATGCACAACAGCCAAGAGGCTCAGAAAAGCAGCCGATACAATTGTAGCCAGAAGCGGATACCGTGAATCGGACTGTTTCCTCGACTATCCAATATAGAAAGCTGATGAAATGTCAAATAATTTCCAAAATTCTACGGTTTGACCGGTTTCCTTGCTTCCAATGTCTAATGACTCCTCTCCAATTAGGGGATCCAGGGCTCCCCCTAACTCCGTAATCCCTTAGGAGACAGGAGGCGATCAAGGGCAGCACATGCCCCAGGCAGAAATCCATCGGGATGGCGGATTGAATCCTGATACTTTGAAGGGAGAAGGGCAGGAAAGCCTTTCAGCTGGGGGATGGGTAAATACTATTACGTTCTTTGGGGAAGAGGATAGTTAAAAGGTTTGGGAAATTGGGGTTATTGACGGGGTGGGTGACAGGCTCATGTTTCTAAACGCCAAAGACTCCTACTTTGTGACATATTTGTGATGTATCGATGACCCTGTTGAAAAATGTATTGTGGGAAATGGGGAGAAAAAATTGTGGGGGGAAACCCCATGTCATGTATCGATGAAGTTGTTGGAAAATTTATTATGGGGAAGGGGGTAAAAGCCTGAAAAGTTCATGCAACCATATGTTCCTACTTTTTGTGTGTTTGAACCTTGTTGCAACACATAAAGATCAGGTCAACTGACCACTGTTAGCTTCTTTAACTTGGCTGGAGACTCCTTCTTTTGCTGACCGGAGGGACCCGCGGGGAGTGGCACCCTGACGAGCTGGGCAGCGGAGTAAATCTGCACCCCGGGGTATGTTCCTTCTCAACTCTTTCCCACCTGAGCCTCACCCCCTTACCTAAAAGCCAGACACAACACATTGTGACAGGATTGTGACTCCTACAGTCAGCAAACCAAATAGCGCCCCCCAGCAAGGCAACCCCTGGATGCTGAGGTCCCCCAATCCTTGAAATGAAAAGGGGGGCTCGGGAAACCTTCAGGGAGCAGGCGGGGAGGGGGCTGCCCAGGCTCCAGAAGCTCCTTCTTGCTGGTTCCTCCCCATCGCCCTCCTGCTGCCTGCCTCCCCTCCGCTCCTAGGGCTGCTTCGCAAGTGCGGGGAAGCTGCAGCCCCTCCGCCCCCCCAAAGTTCCCTTAAGAGCCCCACATTGCAGGGGGCAGGCTCACCTGCAGCGAAACAAAACGCAGCTGCCCTGGCAGAGTGGAGCCAGGCTGGGGGGCACTGTGGGGACCCCTGAAATGTGTCCCTAGAAGAAAGGCGCCTCCCCCCTTCTCTGGTGCTCAAGTGCTGCCAGTGGGCTTCCCAGAAGAGGCCCCTGCTTGGCCCCTGGGAGGACAGGGGCCCCTTGGGCCTGATCCTGCAGGGCTCACCTGATGTTCTGATGCAAGTGAACCCTCCTTTCTCCTTCAAGATGAACAATGTTTCCCAAACTTGGGTCCCCAGCTGCTTTTGGACTACGGCTCCCATCACCCTGAGCTAGCAAGACCAGTGGTCAGGCATGATGGGAATTGTAGTCATGCCCTCCAGGTGGCTCTGGCATGTGAGCCAAGCTGCATGTGACAAGAGTGGGGGAATTCTGTCCTGGTGTTACGGAAATTACAAGGGTGTGTGTGTTTACCATCTGACATTATTCCCTGGGTCGAAAACCCCTCTCTCCTCAGTCGCACAAGAACAACACACACATCGTATAAATACAGGAAAACACGGCATCTGTATTTTATTAATGGGATTTACGGACTTTGTGTTTTATGAATGGGATTTATGAATAACTGAAACTCACCAATCAAGAGCGCTTTGTTTTGACAGCTAGCCAATGGGGGAATCCGTAGACGGCTGAAACTGCCTCCAAACCAGCCTTTCAGCTCAGCCTTTGCACGATTGTCTCAGCGCCCTCCTGCTGCTCAGACTATGGGCAAAGTATATTAAATGTAGCCATTTTGGTTTCAATTGCCTAAAGTTTCTACACTGTTACAAAGATTGTGTCTGAATGTATCCTTTCAGCTTGACAGCTCAGGGAAAGATACCTAACTTTGCAAATTCATAGAATAGCCATTCTATAACCAATTCTTCCCATTCCGATGCCATTTTAAGGTGAATTTAGGCTTCACCCTCCTCCATGACCCTCGAAGCGGATAGTCACATAGGCAGTGAGAACAGGGCCTCCTGCCATAATCCCCTGAGCATGAGAGCACGTACACTTCACCCCACCCAGGGAGTGACCAAGGGGCAACAACAGACTTCCACAGAGGCAGCTGACCAAGCCAGGTGTTCTGAAAGCCCATCTCAGGAGAAGACCTGAGCGCAAGGATGTATGTCGATAGTTTTATTGTTCTCTGGGTGGTGGGTACTTGAGAGGTGTCCGGAGATGTATCTGATAGAAGGATGAACTGCTGAACTTGTGTAACCCTTTGATACTCCTCTCCACTTGTGACATACTAGTGAAGATGCTACTATGAATAAATCTGAGTGAAGGGGGGGGGGAGTTATAAAGGTTGATGTCACCCCAGGCTCAGGGTTCTTGCTCTGTGTGGGAATCTCTTGCACAACAATAAAGATTGTGGTCTACTGATCGCCAGTTTGCTCCAGATTACAGTGGTACCTCTAGTTATGAACTTAATTCATTCCAGAGGTCTGTAACTCTTCAAGGTTAGCGGAGTTTGTAATGTGAAGCGTTTGTAACATGAGCTGTTTGTAATTCGAGGTACCACTGTACTTGGCTGGAACTTCCTTCTTTCACTGACCTCACAGACTCATGGGGGGACTTGCACCCCAACGAGCTGGGCCCTCTCAACCCAGGATTTTCCTTATCACTGGCCATCCCCTTTGATTATAGGGGTCAATGCCCCTATTCCTCCAGCAGGAGCGATTGTGGGGATTCCATTCAGCTGTGCCGTTCCCAAATGGCAATTCTTCTTCAGCCATTGTGGGAGCAGACGGGCTGGAAGCTGAAGAGGTTTCCCTTTGAGTAGGCTTTGCTTCGCTTTCTGCTGACCTCAGTCTCTTGGATTGTGGCCAGCTTTCCTCGTCCATTTCCCTGAATGCTGACCAGTGTTGGATGTGTGGGGAAGCAAAATTCACCCCAGAACTTTTCTGCAGGGTTCCCTTCACTGTGCAGAAGGAAGGAGGGAGGGGGGAACATGTACTAATAAAGGGACAGTTCTCTGAATGGAGAGGAGCAGAAAGCGGAGTCCCCTCAAGATCAGTATTGGGACCTGTGGCTTTTCAACTTGTTCATAAATGATCTAGAGTTAGGAGTGAGAAGGGAGGGGGCAAAGTTTGCTCATGGCAGCAAATTGTCCAGGGTTGTTCAAACAAAGAGATATTGCAAGGAGCTCCAAAAGGACCTCTCCAAACACGGTGAATGGGCAGAAAATACAATTCATTGTCAATGAGATTAAAGTGATGCATGTTGGGACAAAAAAACCCTACGCCCATTAATATAATGTACAAGCTCATGGGGTCTGAACAGGGTTTCTTTCTGTGCTCTAGGAGACCAGGGGAGAGGGGAGCTGGCTGCAGCAGGAGAGGGAGTCTCCCTGGATGCTTCAGCAGCTGGCCTCCTCTGGGTCTCCTGGCCCCCTCCTCTCCTCCCTCTGAGCCTGAACTGCTCTCTGCCCCAGACTCTTCCCGCTCACCAAACCCTGTTTCCTCCTCAGCTTGCAACATCTCCCCTTCCGGTCTGCTCCATTTTCTCCTTCTTTCAGCTCATGCAACCACCAGTACCCAGGATCTGAGCCTTCCTCCCTTGTGGGTCCCCAGCTGGTACCTCCCCACCCTCACTAGCCAGTCCATGACAACAACAGCAGCCACAGCACTGTGGTCCTCTGGTAGGCAAACTCCTGAGAAGCATGATTGAAGCAAAACTTCTGGGACCATCTTCCCTTGTGGGTCCCCAGAATGAGCAGGAGCTCTGGGGTTGCCCCATGGGGTTCATGAGTGAAGGTGGGCCCCCCAGGAGACTTTCCTGGTACCTGCAGCCCCTCCATCCCCCTCTTGAAATTAGGCTTGGGGGGGGGGGGGAAATCTCCCATTCAATTTCAGTATTTCAAGTCTTCTTCAGAACGCGCAGGGCAGGAGGCAGCGATGAAGTTCTGGAGAAGAAGCAGTGCTTGGAGATCATGCAGTGGTGGGGGGAAGTAACAGAGTTTGGTGCAAAAACCAAAAGTACTTTCATCTAAAATTATACTCACCATTGTGAGATGTTGCCTTCATTATTTCATTATTATACAGTTTTACATATAAACACCAGAGCTTCACATATACCTCATGCTTGTAGGAATGATTTCCTGCTTAGTTCATTTCTGTGAAGAAAATAGTGGACTCTGAGAGGAAGACGTCCCACACTCCATACATCTAAATGGGTTCTCCCATGTGAGAGTCCCTAGATGTTCCTTAAATAGTCCATTATAAATAAAGCACTTTTTGCAATCTATTCATTTAAACTGCTTCTCCTCTTTGAGTTTGTGATGGTTTGAAGGGTTTAATTTTTTTTTTTTAATATAATATTTATTGGTTTTACAAAAAAAAAAAAAAATACAAAAATTCCAAAACATACAAAAATACAAAAATTCCAAAGACAAAAAACAACAATAACAATGACAAAAAGAAAACAAAAGATAACAATAACCATAAAAAAGAAAAAACAGAAAAATTTAAAAAATTTTACTTTCATTTAACCTTCTTATCTTTCCTTAGTTCTTTGACTTCCCCGCACCTCCCCACTTGTATTTCCATTTAAAAACTCCTTTCAGCAAATCCTTACCCTCCTTCCTTTATCTTAACTCAAAAAACTTAATCTATTTATAAATAAATATTTTTACAACCTTATCAATCAAATATTCCATGCTCTTAAACGCAAGGCTTTTGCCAATACCAATTATTTTCAATCAGACTTCAATTTAACATTCATTAATTTTATAGTATTTCTGTAAATAGTCTTTAAATTTCTTCCAATCTTCTTCCACCGACTCTTCTCCTGGTCACGGATTCTGCCAGTCATTTCCGCCAATTCCATATAATCAATTACCTTCATCTGCCATTCTTCCAGAGTGGGTAAGTCTTGTGTCTTCCAATACTTTGCGATAAGTATCCTTGCTGCTGCTGTTGCATACATAAAGAAAGTTCTATCTTTCTTTGGCACCAATTGGCCAACAATGCCCAGGAGGAAGGCCTCTGGTTTCTTTAAGAAGGTATACTTAAATACCTTTTTCAACTCATTATATATCATTTCCCAGAAGGCCTTAATCTTTGGGCACGTCCACCAAAGGTGAAAGAATGTACCTTCAGTTTCATTACATTTCCAACATTTATTATCGGGCAGATGGTAGATTTTTGCAAGCTTGACTGGGGTCATGTACCACCTGTAGACCATTTTCATTATATTCTCTTTTAAAGCATTACATGCTGTAAACTTCGTACCTGTGGTCCATAACCGTTCCCAGTCAGCAAACATGATGTTATGTCCAACATCCTGTGCCCATTTAATCATAGCAGATTTTACCGTTTCATCCTGAGTATTCCATTTTAGCAGCAAGTTATACATTCTTGAAAGTGTTTTAGTTTTGGGATCTAGCAATTCTATTTCCAACTTTGATTTTTCCACCTGGAAGCCAATTTTTCTATCCAAATTATAGACCTCTCTTATTTGGTAATAATGCAACCAGTCTCGCACTCTATCTTTTAGTTTCTCAAAACTCTGCAATTTGAATTTATCTCCTTCTTGTTCCAAGATCTCCCAATATTTTGGCCACTTGGCCTCCATATTGGGCTTTTTCAGAGCCTTTGCCTCCATTGGTGATAGCCACCTTGGGGTTTTATTCTCCAATAAGTCTTTATATCTTATCCAGGTTTGAAGGGTTTCAACTCTTAAAGTTCTTCCTGTCTGTGAGTCTGTTGATTTTGAACTTCCACTAAGAATGAACCTCTATCTACTTTCCTGATATTTATATGGTTTGTATTTTATGTGAGTTTGTTGACATAAATCAAAGGTTCCACTCTGACTGAAGCTCCTTCCAGTCCATACCTTTAAATGGTTTATCCCGTGTGAGTCTGTTGATGTTGTCTAAGGTGTCCATTAACCCTAAAGCTCTTTCCACACTCCATACATTTATATGGTTTCTCCCCTGTGTGAGTCCGTTGATGATTTCTAAGGTCTCCACTCTGACTGAAGCTCTTTCCACACTCCATGCATTTAAATGGTTTCATCCCTGTGTGAGACCGTTGATGTTTTTTAAGGTTTCCATTATCACTAAATCTCTTTCCACAATCGATACATTTATATGGTTTCTCCCCTGTGTGAATCCGTTCATGATTTCTAAGGTTTCCATTATCACTAAAGCTCTTTCCACACTCCATGCATTTAAATGGTTTCTCCCCTGTGTGAGTCCGTTGATGATTTCTAAGGTTTCCACTCTGATTGAAGCTCTTTCCACACTCCATGCATTTAAATGGTTTCTCCCCTGTATGAGTCCGTTGATGTGATCTAAGGCTTCCATTCTGACTGAAAACCTTTCCACACTCCATACATTCATATGGTTTCTCCCCTGTGTGAGTCCGTTCATGTGATCTCAGCTTTCCACTATCACTAAAGCTCTTTTCACACTCCATACATTTAAATGGTTTCTCCCCTGTGTGAGTCCGTTGATGTCTTCTTAGGGTTCCACTATCACTAAAGCTCTTTTCACACTCCATACATTTATATGGTTTCTCCCCTGTGTGTGACCGTTGATGTATATTGAGGTGTCCACTATGACTGAAGTTCTTCCCACACTCCCTGCACTTAAAACGTTTTCTCTCTCTGTGAGTCCGCTGGTGTGTTCTAAGTGTTGCATTGAAAGAGAAGCTCTTTTCGCACTCCATACCTTTAAATTGGTTCTGTCCTTTTTGTTTTCGTTGATGTGAACTATGTGTGCTCATTCAGTGAAGCATATTTCACACATTTTAATGGCTATTCCTAATGAAATGAAAGGTGCCCTGTCCCCTGCAATTCTGTCTTCTCCATCACCTTTTTCAGAGTGGGCAGAAAGGAAATCCTGTTTGGGTTTCAAGAAAGAGAACACAGGGGAAAAAAGTAGACATCAACCGCCATTAGCACCTTCTCTTATTGCAACATCTCCTACATTCTCCCATGTCCTCCACATGTTCCCAATTTTTTGGAAATGAAAATGGTAAGGTGTCAAATGGTAGTAATGCATCAGCAACCTTTCATAATCCTCAATCATCTTTAATAACACAGCATCATCTTGGAATACCGTTGTCCTCTGAGAATGCCTTTCAAATCAAGTGGTTGCCCCTGTTTCCACCTCTAGATCTTCATGAATCCCCTGCACAGTCTCACTGACCTCAGGAGGTCCATATGGGCCATTTTGGGAGGCTCAGGCCTACATCTCTTCCAGGGACTGTGGTCTGGGTTAGTCAGAGAACTAGTGACAAGGCTTGGTGCTTGGGGTCAGCTGAATGGGTGCTCAGGGAAGCTCCTGTTCTTGGAGATGGACCTCTCTCTACGTGCCTCACATTGCATGGAGAGAGCAGAGAAGCAGAAGGAAAGCAGCTGGCACATGGGAACGCCAAATGGAAACACCCACCCCAATGGTTCTTTATAATGATGATGTGCTGCCTGATCCTGTGCTTGTCTTCTGAGAGAGGACTATCCTAATCTGGCACTGAAAAGCAGGATATTCAAGGCAAGGAGATAACTGTACTTAATGCTAGGTAGCCATATTGGTCTGACACAGTTGAAGTAAAAAAGTAACAAAAATAGTCCAGTAGCACCTTAGGGACCAACTAAGTTTGTTCTAGGTATAAGCTTTCGTGTGCATGCACACTTCTTCATATAGTGATGGGTAGTGGGAGATGGTAGTAGGAGTACCCTTCTGAGAAAAACCCCAACCCACCCTCCCACGATATACAAGGGTCTGGTGACATCTATGTCAGTGTATCTGATTAAGTGTGCAACAAGGCTACCTGTGAGGAGAACCTGAGCTTACAGGGTTAAACAGCTCAGACTGTACGCCCTGCCTACAGTTGGGAGGAGGGAGGTACGTCAGTTCCGAGAGACTAAAGTCTTTGTTCTGTCTCTCTACTTTCGCTTTTGAGGAGAGAGGACGTGTTTTCACGATGCTGTTCGCTGTGATAGATAATGGATAGCCTGCTGTAAATAAAACTGCTTTTAGCTGCTAAGATCCTGTGTGGACTTTATTTAAGCACACTGAAGAATGCACTGGAGGTTTTTTCCTGCAGTTTCCTCTTACCGCTGTTGAAACTCTGCTATGCTCAGATGAGTCGGACTCTTGGAATGCAGAGACTCTTGGGGGAAGCGTGCCGGACCTCACGCTTATCTGAGCAATAAATCAAGATATCTCAGATACCTACCTGAATCTAAATGTCATGGGGTGTTCGTTCCTTGGGTGGGGGACATGTCCTGCACCTTCTGGGGTCATTTTTCCACCCTTGGTCCCCACCCTGCACTCAGTTCTCACCTGTGGCTTCCAGAAGCTGTCAGCATGCAACAGGGGTTCAAGCAACGGCTTCAACCGGCCGGCTAAACCAGGTGAGGAAAGCTGATGGGTCTCAAATCCTTGGGGGGCTGGGGAATTCTGCTGCACCTGAAGTCAAGCCCTGGTGGATGGAGAGGAGGAGAACAACCGTGAATCCCACAGTCCAGAAGGCAGATTCTGCCCGGGCAGAAGAGGAAAGTGAAGGGCAGATGGGGCACATCCACCTGGAGGCTTTTTATCTAGTCCCAGGGTTACTCTGACATTGAATTATATATAAATTACAGTATTGAAATGCGCCTGCTCCCACTTCATATTCTGATATTACTATATTCTGTCTGTTTCTTACTTGAGCGCTGTTTTGGTTTGCTAAGTCAGGGTTTTACTGTGAGTTACATTTTTGCTATTTTTTGGGTCTGGTTATGCATATGTGTCTTCAGTAATAAATTTCTCAGTTGAATTAATTTTTTGCTGCCTCTGAGTGTTTTTTCCTACTCTGCTAACTATACATCGATCATTATGGAGGAGCAAGATCTGCAACCTAAAGCCCTCGACAGCCTCGGCCCTGTGGACCTGAAAGAGCATCTTCACCCCCATCGCTCTGTCCGGACAGGGAGGTCCGCCTTCGAGGGTCTTCTGCTGGTTCCCTTGCTGTTAGAAGTGAAGTTCCAGGGAACCAGGCAGAGGGCCTCCTGCCACATGGGATGCCCTTCCTTCAGAGGGCAAGGAAACAGGCAACTATCTGACATTTAGAAGACAGCTGGGTGTCGTTGTGGGTTAAACCATAGAGCCTAGGACTTCCTGATTAGAAGGTTGGCGGTTCGAATCCCCGCGATGGGGTGAGCTCCCGTTGCTCGGTCCCTGCTCCTGCCAACCTAGCAGTTCGAAAGCACATCAAAGAGCAAGTAGATAAATAGGTACTGCTCCGGCGGGAAGGTAAACAGCGTTTCCGTGCACTGCTCTGGTTCTCCAGAAGCGGCTTAGTCATGCTGGCCACATGACCCGGAAGCTGTACGCCGGCTCCCTCGGCCAATAAAGCGAGATGAGTGCCGCAACCCCAGAGTCGGCCACAACTGGACCTAATGGTCAGGGGTCCCTTTACCTTTACCTATATGTACTGTAAGCTGCCCAGAGCAGCTGGGGGAAGATACTAATACTAGAACTTCTACAGTGGAACCTCGGGTTACAGACGCTTCAGGTTACAGAGTCTTCTAACCCAGAAATAATACCTTGGGTTAAGAACTTTGCTTCAGGATGAGAACAGAAATTGTGTGGCGGCAGCAGGAGACCCCATTAGCTAAAGTGGTACCACAGGTTAAGAACAGTTTCAGGTTAAGAACGGACCTCCAGAACAAATTCAGTTCTTAACCTGAGGTACCACTGTACTATTATTATTATCTTGTGATTTTTTGTAGTTATTTTGGAATTTCTACTGCAATATTAGCTTACGAAATGTTATGGGTGGAGAAAATCACAGGGTTGCCGTAAACTATAATCCCATTCACATACAGTCTGTAAATCTGGGAAGGTCACACACCTCACCTGTGCTAATACTGGCAGTCTTTGGCCTGCACAGGGACACCCGGTGTGTAGAGCCTCCAGCCACAGGCACTGTCTATCATGAAAATGGGTCCTTTGACTGGGAAGATTCATGCAGTCACTGTCATCGGATGCTGATGGGTTTTATCTCAGCTTGTCATTCACTCTGACATTGCCTACAAAGAATAAGAGGAACAGAAATGCTTTTGAGGTGCAACTTCTGTATCAATCCTGAGAGCCATTCCATGGACTCTGCACCCCTGGTTCTGGTGACAGGTGTACATTATCCTCACCCTCAGTGGAAAAGACATTAAAGATGGAAGCCTGAGAGAGAGGAAAAGAGAGAGGAATGTGGTGATGGAAGAATTTAAGATAGAAAAAGGGACATGACAAGGTTGCCCAATCTCCCCATTGCTTTTTATATCGGTCCTGGAGGTTCTGCTGAATATGATTAGAAGGGACCAGTTGGTTAAAGGTATACAAGTCGAAGCTAAACAGTACAAATTGAGAGCATTTGCAGATGACTTAGTATTGACAATACAGGAGCCAGAATCTAGTACCAAAAGGATTTTAGAACTAATTCAAGAATTTGGTCAAGTTGCAGGATTTAAATTGAATAAGTTAAAAACCAAGGTTTTAGAGAAAGATTTAACACCAATGGAGAGAGAGAGGTTTCAGAATGAGACAGGTTTAACAGTGGTTAAGAAAGTTAAATACCTGGGGATTAACATGACAGCAAAAAATGGGAATTTATTTAAAGACAACTATGAAAAATGTTGGGCTGAAGTGAAAAAAGATTTAGAAATTGGGTCAAAGTTGAAGCTTTCACTTCTGGGTCGTATTGCTGCGGTAAAAATGAATGTATTGCCTAGAATGTTGTTTTTGTTTCAAACATTGCAAATTGTGGACAAAATGGACTGTTTCAAGAGGTGGCAGAGAGATATTTCTAGATTTGTCTGGCAGGGCAAGAAGCCTAGAATAAAATTTAAAATATTAACAGATGCAAAGGAAAGAGGTGGATTTGCCCTGCCAGACCTCAAACTGCACTATGAATCAGCAGCTTTTTGCTGGTTGAAAGAATGGCTACTTCTTGAAAACACTGACATTTTGGACCTAGAAGGTTTTAATAATGTATTTGGATGGCATGCATATTTATGGTATGATAAGGTCAAAGCACATAAAGCATTTAAAAACCACATTGTCAGGAAAGCATTGTTTAATGTTTGGATAAGATACAAGGACTTATTGGAAAATAAAACCCCAAGGTGGCTGTCACCGATGGAAGCGAAAGCTCTGAAAAAGCTCAATATGGAGGTCAAATGGCCGAAATATTGGGAAATTTTGGAACAAGATGGAGATAAACTGAAATTGCAGAGTTTTGAGAAATTAAAAAACAAAGTGTGAGATTGGCTTCATTATTATCAGATAATGGAGGCATATAATTTGGACAAGAAAATTGGCTTCCAGGTGGAAAAATCAAAATTGGAAACAGAACTGTTAGAACCCAAAACTAAGAATTTTTCAAGAATGTACAACTTGCTGTTGAAATGGAATACTCAGGATGAAACGGTGAAATCTACTATGATTAAATGGGCACAAGATGTTGGACATAACATAATGATGGCTGACTGGGAACAGTTATGGACCACAGGTATGAAATTTACGGCATGTAATGCCCTAAGAGAGAATATTATGAAAATGATATACAGGTGGTACATGACACCAGTCAAGCTTGCAAAAATCTATCACTTGCCCGATAATAAATGTTGGAAATGTAAAGAAACCGAAGGTACATTCTTTCACCTTTGGTGGACGTGCCCAAGGATTAAAGCTTTCTGGGAGATGAGTTATAATGAAATGAAAAGGGTATTTAAATATACCTTTCCGAAGAAACCAGAGGCCTTTCTCCTGGGCATGGTCGGCCAAATGGTGTCAAAGAAGGACAGAACTTTCTTTATGTATGCCACAACAGCAGCAAGAATACTTATTGCAAAGTATTGGAAAACACAAGACCTACCCACTCTGGAAGAATGGCAGATGAAGGTGATGGACTACATGGAATTGGTGGAAATGACTGGCAGAATCCGAGACCAGGGAGAAGAGTTGGGGAAAGAAGATTGGAAGAAATTTAAAGACTATTTACAGAAATATTGCAAAATTAATGAATGTTAGAATGATGTTGGAATGAAGTTAGGTGGTTTAAGCAGTAATGCTATAAAGGTGTATGTAAAAAAGGATTGATAACAGATGAAAATTTAAAGTTATAGTATATTAAGTTAAAGGATCATGAGAAAACAAAGAGGGAAAGAAATTGCTGACTTAAATAATTGAACTGGAATACAAAAAAAGGGAGGTATGAGGAGGTCAGGGAAACAAGGATATGAATGTAAGCTATGGAAAGATTGATCCATTTTTCTTTTTTTTTCTTTTTAAGTGTCTTTTATTCTTTTATTCTGTATTTTGTATTTTTCTTGTATTTTTACTTTTTCTTTTTGTGTAATTCTTTTTTTCTCTGAAATTTTAATAAATATCATTTAAAAAAGAGAGAGAGAGAGAGGAAAAGGTTTCTGGTTGCTTCCTGGGTGGGACTGCAGAAACCAAGGGCCGCTTCTGAGAAGGCCTTCCCCCTACCCCCTCGTCTCGGGATTTCCTCTCCTCTCCAGGGGGACCAGTGGTTGGACTTGGCAGATTCGCTGTGTCTGGACAGGGCAGGGGCTTATGGGGTGGGAAGAGGATGGAGATTGCAGGAAGGAAGGGGAGGGGGGACTGGACCCCCCACTTTCCAGGGATCCCTCTCTGGTCGCCCTGAAGGGGGGATCGATTCCTGGGCGGGAGGGATAAGCCAAGGCGGGCCCCCCCCCGGAGATTCCCCAAGGTAGCCAGGATGGAGACGTGTCTCCAAAGACTGTTCTTCCTATCTCCCCCCCCCCCAGTGCTCCCCTTCCTCCCCCCTGGTTTCCCCTGCACTCCGGCGCGACTGCCCCCTCACCCTGCTCCCCCATCTCTCCATCCTAGGGCCCCCCCAACGGGAGTGGGGGAGGGACAGGGGGGTCTTTAGCCCGGCGCCTCCCGCACCCCTTAACCCTTTCCTGGCCCGCTTCTCCGCGCCCCAGGGAGTCCTCGTGGGTGGGTGCTCCATCTCCGCCCCTTCGCAGCACGCGTGCCGGGATCCAGACCCCACGGAAGGCGCTTGGGGGAGCTGGAAGGGTCTCTGGGTCCTTTTCTCCCCTCTCCCCCCCCCGGGACCCCTTTACCTCTTTGTCCTCGTTCCCGATTCTCCTTTCCTGCAACATCCACGGGGGGGGGGACCCTGCCTCCTCCCTCCCCTTTCCGAAAGCGCCCCCCCTAGAGCTACGGGGCAGAGCAGCAATCCGGAGTGGAAGCTCCACTTCCGGGAGAAGCAGGCAGGGTGGGAGGGGGCTCGCCCCCCCCCCCACATTTCCGGAACAGAAGCCGGATTGGAGGAGGAGGAGGAGGAAGGGGTGGGATGTTTGGGGGCGGGATATGGGGTTGTGGGGGCGGGGTGAGAGGAGGATGTGCCGGGAGGGAAGGGAAAGAATTGAGGGGGGGGAGGAGAACGTTCCGGAGATCCAGCTGCAAAGTGGGTCCCGTCCCTCCTACAAGGTTTGCATTGCAACATCCTCCCCTCCCCCACCCCACGAGCTTAGATCCCTCCGTGTTTTAGGTCTTGGCGCTGTTCAAACCAGGAACGGGGGGCAGCTAAACGACCCCCCCCCAAATCCCAGCTCCCCACCCCAGCCTCTAAGGCCAGGACCATGACCGTGGACACAGGCACCGTCCCTGCACAACAGCCAAGAGGCTCAGCAAAGCAGGTGATACAATTGTAGCCAGAAGCGGATTCCAAAATCTGATGGATCCCTTGGACCAGAAACAAGGAGACGAGACCAGCCAGGAAGAGCAGAGCAAAAGAGCAGCCAGTCGGCTTGGTCTTGATTGAAGACTGTCGCCACAGGACTCCCACCTGCCACCAGGTGGAACAAGATGGAAGCCCCCAACAAAAGAAGACCCCAACTTTTATTAGCTCCGAATCCACCATGCTACACCCCCAAGACTACATCATGACTACATCATTGACACATCACAAAGAGGAGGGGTTGAGGGAGGAGTTGTGGTGGTAACCTGAGTGTCTTGTCGAGAGGCAGTGGGGTGTAGTGGTTAAGAGCCGTAGATTCGTAATCTGGGGAACCGGGTTCCCGTCTCCGCTCCTCCACATGCAGCTGCTGGGTGACCTTGGGCCAGTCACACTTCTCTGAAGTCTCTCAGCCCCACTCACCTCACAGAGTGTGTGTTGTGGTGCAGGAAGGGAAAGGAGAATATTAGCTGAATGAATGCTTCGGTCTCTGGCTGCGCTCCTTTTGTTCCGCAGGGACCTGCAGACTCAGTCAGACGAGCTAGGTGGCAGAGCAGCCTCACACCTAGATTTTCCGTAACAATGTCTTAAATAGATAATAAATGTTCATAAATGTACCAACCAAGCACATACATAGATATGTCAACCACATGTCTGGAGCAGCACAGGAAGACCGTCCTAAAACCATTTAGACTCCCAAACTGACCAAATGTTTTCTCTGCAAGGAGGGAGGGGGTGAGGGAACCTTCCCATTGTCTCAGGAATTGGGTAATCACCATCTCAAAGGAATGGCCAGACTACCAGGAAAAGGAATCAGATAAGGCATTATCAGATAACCTGGCAGACAGGAAAAACAACAACATTCAAATTTTTGTTGTAGACCGCCTTTTCTGTGATGTAGGTATGATTTTTGTAGTAGGTGGTCTTGGGTTACACCCCTTCTGTGATGAATGCAGGGGTGGTCTGGAGCTCCAGGGCAGGGAATAAAGGGCTCTTGTGTCCCCCATAAGGGAAGAAGGGCAGCTTTTGTTTACAACGGCTGGCACCCCAGATGGGACCTTCGGTTGCCCGGATTCTGGGGGCAAGGAAGGACTGGTGATCCAGTGCGCACCAGGCCATATGCCAGGACAAGCCACCAGTCCTCTAGTGACCCCAGGGTCTGGAATGAACTGGAGTTCCAGTGGGGCTAACCAGAGGAAGCAATGCTTGATCAGGCCAGCCACAAATTTATTTATTTTTTAAAATAATCTTTATTGATTTAAATTACACACATATACAAAGAATTTGGAATCTCATACTGCATCTCCCCTTCCGGTCTGCTCCCCTTTTTCCCTCTTTCAGCTTATTGCCATCGCACCACCAGTCCCTGGGCTCTGAGCCTTCTTCCCTTGTGGGTCCCCCAGCTGGTGCCTCCCCCCACCAGCCAGTCCATAACAACAACAGCAACCACAGCACTGTAGTCCTCTGGTAGGAAAACTCCCGAGTAGCATGATTGAAGCAAAACTTCTGGGACTATGGAAAAATACACTCTTTCCCAAACCCTGGAATAAGCAGGAGCTCTGGGGTTGCCCCATGGGGTTCATGAGTGAAGATGCCCCCCCAGGAGATTTCCCTGGTACCTGCAGCCCCTCCTCCCCCCTCTTGAAATTAGGCTTGGGGGAAATCTCCCATTCAATTTCAGTATTTCAAGTCTTCTTCAGAACGCGCAGGGCAGGAGGCAGCGATGAAGTTCTGGTGAAGAAGAAGTGCCAGGAGATCATGCGGTGGGGGGGGGTGGTGACAGAGTTTGGTGCAAAAACCAAAGGTACTTTCATCTAAAATTATACTCATGATTGTGAGATGTTGCCTTCATTATTTCATTATTATACAGTTTAACATATAAACACCAGAACATCAAATATACCTCATGCTTTTAGGAATGATTTCCTGCTGAATTCATTGCTCAAGGTGTACTCTGAGAGGAAGACGTCCCACACTCCATACATCTAAATGGGTTCTCCCATGTGAGAGTCCCTAGATGTTCCTTAATCACTCCATTATAAATAAAGCACTTTTTGCAGACTTTTCATTTAAACTGCTTCTGCTGTCCATGAGTCTGTTGATTTTGAACTTCCACTAAGAGTGAACCTCTATCTACTTTCCTGATGTTTATATGGTTTATCTTTTGTGTGAGGTTGTTGACATAAATCAAGGGTTCCACTCTGACTGAAGCTCCTTCTGCAGTCCATACCTTTAAATGGTTTCTCCCCTGTGTGTCTGCTGATGTTTTCTAAGATTTCCACTCTGAGTGAAGCATTTAGTATTTACTCCATACTTTAAAAGGTTTCTTCCGTGTGAGTCCGTTGATGTGTTCTAAGTTTTCCATTATCACTAAAGCTCTTTCCGCACTCCATACATTTAAATTGTTTTTTACCGATGTGAGCATGTTGATGCCTTCTAAGGTTTCCACTATAACTGAAGCTCTTTCCACACTTCATACATTTAAAAGGTTTCATCCCTGTGTGAGTCTGTTGATGTATTCTAAGGCTTCCACTATCACTAAAACTCTTTCCACACTCCATACATTTAAATGGTTTCTCCTCTGTGTGAATCCATTGATGTCTTCTAAGACTTCCACTGTGACTGAAGCGCTTTCCACACTCCATACATTTAAATGGCTTCTCCCCTGTGTGAGTCTGTTGATGTCTGCTAAGGCTTCCACTATCACTAAAGCTCTTTTCACACTCCATACATTGAAATGGTTTCTCCCCTGTGTGAGTACGTTGATGTCTTCTCAGGTGTCCACTCTGACTGTAGACGTTTCCACACTTTATACATTTAAATGGTTTCTCCTCTGTGTGAGTCCATTGATGTCTTCTAAGGTTTCCATTATCACTAAAGCTCTTTCCACACTCGATACATTTATAAAGTTTCTCCCCTGTGTGTGCCCGTTGATGTCTTCCAAGGTTTCCACTATTACTAAATTTCTTTCCACACTCCATACATTCATATGGTTCCCCCCCTGTGTGAGTCCGTTTGTGCACTTTAAGGTTTCCACTCTGACTGAAGTTCTTCCCATACTCTCTGTGTGAGTTTTCTCTCTGTGTGAGTTTTCTCTCTGTGTGAGTCCACTGGTGTGTTCTAAGTTTTGCATTGAAAGAGAAGCTCTTTCCGCACTCCATACCTTTTAATGGGTTCTTTCCTTTTTCTGTTCGTTGATGTGAACTATGTGTGCTCATTCAGTGAAGCATATTCCACATTTCACACATTTTAATGGCTATTCCTAATGAAACGAAAGGTGCCCTGTCCCCTGCAGTTCTGTCTTCTCCATCCCCTTTTTCAGAGTGGGCAGAAAGGAAATCCTGTTTGGGTTTCAAGAAAGAGAACACAGGGGAAAAAAGGACACATCAACCGCCATTAGCACCTTCTCTTATTGCAACATCTCCTACATTCTCCCATGTCCTCCCCATGTTCCCAATTTTTTTGAAATGAAAATGGTAAGGTGTCAAATGGTAGTAACGCATCAGCAACCATTCATAATCCTCAATCATCTTTAATAACACAGCATGACCTTGGAATACTGTTGTCCTGTGGGAAATCCTTTCCAATCAAGTGGTTGCCCCCGTTTCCACCTCTAGATCTTCATGAATCACCTGCACAGTCTCACCGACCTCAGGAGGTCCATATGGACTATTTTGGGAGACCCAGGTCTACATCTTTTCTGGGGACTGTGGTCTGGGTCAGTCAGGGAACTAGTGACAAGGCTTGGTGCTTGGGGTCAGCTGAATGGGTGCTCAGGGAAGCTCCTGTTCTTGGAGATGGACCTCTGTCTACATGCCTCACATTGCATGGAGAAGCAGATGGCACATGGGAATCCCAGGCGGAAACACCCACCCCAATGGTTCTTTATAATGATGATGTTCTGCCTGATCCTCTGCTTGTCTTCTGACAGAGCACTATCCTAATCTGGCACTGAATAGCAGGATATTCAAGGCAAGGAGATAACTGTACTTAGTGGTAGGTAGCCATATTGGTCTGACACAGTTGAAGTAAAAAATTAACAAAAATAGTCCAATAGCACCTTAGGGTCTTGGGAGAAAAAAAAAGAGAAACCTAGACAGCATCTTAAAAAGTAGAGACATCACCTTGCCAACAAAGGTCCGTATAGTTCAAGCTATGGTTTTCCCAGTAGTGATGTATGGAAGTGAGAGCTTTACCATAAAAAAGGCTGATCGCCAAAGAATGGATGCTTTTGAATTCTGGTGCTGGATGAGATTCTTGAGAGTCCCATGGACTGCAAGAAGATCAAACCTCTCCATTCTGAAGGAAATCAGCCCTGACTGCTCACTGGAAGGACAGATCCTGAAGCTGAGACTCCGATACTTTGGCCACCTCATGAGAAGAGAAGACTCCCTGGAAAAAACCCTGATGTTGGCAAAGATGGAGGGCCCAAGGAGAAGGGGACGACAGAGGACAAGATGGTGGGACAGTGTTCTTGAAGCGACCAGCATGAGTTTGACCAAACTGCGGGAGGCAGTGGAAGACAGGAGTGCCTGGCGTGCTCTGGTCCAGGGGGTCACGAAGAGTCGGACACGACTAAACGAATAAACAACAACAGCAGCAGCACCTTAGGGACCAACTAAGTTTGTTTTAGGTATAAGCTTTCGTGTGCATGCACACTTCTTCATATAGTGAAGGGTAGTGTGAGATGGTAGTAGGAGTACCTTTCTGAGAAAAACCCCAACCCACCCTCCCACGATATACAAAGGTCTGCTGACATCTGTGTCAGTGTATCTGAAGAAGTGTGCATACACACCAAAGCTTATACCTAGAACAAAATTAGCTGGTCCCTAAGGTGCTACTGGACTATTTTTAATTTTTTTATTTCAAGTGCGTCAGACCAATACGGCTACCTACCTGAATCTAGATGTCATGGGGTGTTGGGGAGCAGTAGTTCCTTTGGTGGGGGACATGTCCTACACCTTCTGGGGTCATTTTTCCACCCTTGGTCCCCACCCTGCACTCAGCTCTCACCTGTGGCTTCCAGAAGCTGTCAGCATGCAACAGGGGTTCAAGCAACGGCTTCAACCGGCCGGCTAAACCAGGTGAGGAAAGCTGATGGGTCTCAAATCCTTGGGGGGCTGGGGAATTCTGCTGCACCTGAAGTCAAGCCCTGGTGAATGGAGAGGAGGAGAACAACCGTGAATCCCACAGTCCAGAAGGCAGATTCTGCCCGTGCGGAAGAGGAAAGTGAAGGGCAGGTGGGGCACGTCCACCTGGAGGCTTTATATCTAGTCCCAGGGTTACTCTGACACTGAATTATATATAAATTACAGTATTGAAATGCGCCTGCTCCCACTTCATATTCTGATATTACTCTACAGTGGTGCCTCGCAAGACGAAATTAATCCGTTCCGCGAATCTCTTCGTCTTGCGGTTTTTTCGTCTTGCGAAGCACGGCTATTAGCGGCTTAGCAGCTATTAACGGCTTAGCGACTTAGTGGCTTTAAGAAAAAGGAAACAAACTCGCAAGAACTCGCAAGACGTTCCGTCTTGCGAAGCAAGCCCATAGGGAAATTCGTCTTGCGGAACGACTCAAAAAACGGAAAACTCTTTCGTCTTGCGATTTTTTCGTCTTGCGAGGCATTCGTCTTGCGAGGTACCACTGTACTCTGCTTGTCTGTTTCTTACTTGAGTGCTGTTTTCGAATGCTAAGTCAGGGTTTTACTGTGAGTTACATTTTTGCTATTTTTGGATCCTGTTATGCTTATCTGTCTTCGGCTGCGCAAAGAGGGAGGACTGCGCAGCGCCCCTTCAGCGAGGCGCCTGTCCTGGCTTCTGCCTTAGCCTCTTCATCCTGCTGCCCTTGGCGCTATTATCCCAGAAGCCTGAACAGCCACACAGTATCCCAGAAGCCAGATTCCTCTTGCTGTTCTGGCTTCTGGGATTCAAAAAATTTTTTTTTCTTGGATTCCTCCCCCCAAAACTAGGTGTGTCTTATAGAGCGAAAAATACGGTAGGTACCGCTCCGGCGGGAAGATAAACGGCGTTTCCGTGCGCTGCTCTGGTTTGCCAGAAGCGGCTTAGTCATGCTGGCCACATGACCCGGAAGCTGTATGCCGGCTCCCTCGGCCAAGAAAGTGAGATGAGCGCCGCAACCCCAGAGTCGGCCACAACTAGACCTAATGGTCAGGGGTCCCTTTACCTTTACCTATATGTACTGTAAGCTGCCCAGAGCGGCTGGGGGAAAATACTAATACTATAACGTCTAGAGTGGTACCTCAGGTTACAGGCGCTTCAGGTTACAGACTCTGCTAACCCAGAAATAGTACCTTTTGTTAAGAACTTTGCTTCAGGATGAGGACAGAAATCCTGCTCTGGCGGCGCGGCGGCAGCAGGAGGCCCCATTAGCTAAAGTGGTGCTTCAGGTTAAGAACAGTTTCAGATTAAGAGTGGACCTGCAGAACGAATTCACTTCTTAACCCGATGTACCACTGTACTATTATTATTATCGTGTGATTTTTTTGTAGTTATTTTGGAATTCGTACTGCAATATCAGCTCATGAAATGTTATGGGTGGAGAAAATCACAGGGTTGCCGTACATTATAATCCCACCCACAAACTCTCATTCACATACAGTCTGTAAATTTGGGGAGGTCACACACCTCACCTGTGCTAATACTGGCAGTCTTTGGCCTGTATAGGCAAACCCTGTGTGTAGAGCCTCCAGCCACAGGCACTGTCTATCATGAAAATGGGTCCTTTGACTGGGAAGATTCATGCAGTCACTGTCATCGGATCTCAGCTTGTCAGTCACTGTGACATTGCCTACAAAGAATAGGGGGAACAGAAATGCTTTTGAGGTGCAACTTCTGTATCAATCCTGAGAGCCATTCCATGGACTCTGCACCCTTGTTTCTGATGACAGGTGTACATTATCCTCATCCTCAGTGGAAAAGACAATAAAGATGGAAGCCTGAGAGAGAGGAAAAGGTTTCTGGCTGCTTCCTGGGTGGGATTGCGGGAACAAAGAGCCACTTCTGAGAAGGCCTCCCCCCTCCCCTCTTCCTCTCCGGATTTCCTCTCCTCTCCAGGGGACTAATGGTTGGACTGGGCAGAATCGCTGCGTCTGGACAGGGCAGGGGCTTATGGGGTGGAAAGAGGATGGAGATTGCAGGAAGGCGAGGGACGGGGACTGGACCCCCACTTTCCAGGGATCCCTCTCTGGTAGCCTTGAAGGGGGGGCCGATTGCTGGGCGGGAGGGAGAAGCCAAGGCGGCCCCTCCGGAGATTCCCCAAGGAATCCACGATGGAGACGCCCCCCCCCAAAGACTGGTCTTCCTATCTCCCTTCCCCCCCTCCCATTGCTGCGCTTCCCTGACTCGGGGATGCCCCCTCCCTTCTCCCCCTACTTCCCCGACCTCCTCCCTTTCTCCCGGAGTCTCCCCTGCATCCAGACGACCCCTTGGTTCACCCCTTGCCAGGCGCGACCCATCTCTCCGCCCCTTTTGCCCCCACAAGACGAGCCGGGGAGAGACAGGGGGGTCTCTATCCTGGCTTCTCTCCGCGCCCCAGGGATGCCTGCGCGGGGGAAACGGGGCCAGGGAGTCCTCGTGGGTGGGCGCCCGATATTCGCCCCTTCGCAGCACGCGTGCCGGAATCCAGGCCCCACAGAAGGCGCTTGGGGGAGCTGGTGGGGGTCTCTGGGTCCTTTTCTCCCCTCTCCGCCCCCTGCGAGCCCTTACCTCTTTGTCCTCGCTCCCAATTCTCCTTTCCTGCAACATCCACGGGGGGGGGTGTCCCCTGCCTTCTCCCTCCCCTTTCCGAAAGCGCCTCCCTAGAGCTACGGGGCAGAGCAGCAATCAGGAGTGGAAGCTCCACTTCCGGGAGAAGAAGGCAGGGTGGGAGGGGGCTCACCCCCCCATTCCTTCAGCAGAAGCCGGATTGGAGGAGGAGGAGGAAGGGGTGGGATGTTTGGGGGCGGGATCTGGGGTTGTGGGGGCGGGGTGAGAGGAGGATGTGCCGGGAGGGGAGGGAAAGAATTGGGGGGGGGAGAGGAAGGTTCCCCCCTCCCGTCTTCCTTCTGGGGATCAGGTGAGCGGGGGAGGGGCTGATCCCGGAGATCCAGCTGCAAAGAGGGGTCCCCCCCACAAGTGCAACATCTTCCCCTCCCCCACCCCA